CACTAAAAGTAGTATGTTACAAATATCATCTTTAAGGCCACGATTTTTATAAATAGAAATGTAAATAATAAAGTACTCGTTTCTTTAAAGTTAGTTCAGATACTGAAATATTTCAGATTCGATCCATATATTTTCATACATCCGTGAATGAAGCAAACTGATGACCATATACATTTCCAAATGTGTTGACTGCACATTTCACAATTAGTACTAAGAGCTTTTATTCAACAAATATCTCAACTTCCTCATTCCCAATTGTACGCAATCTGAATAATCCATCCAATTTCAATTATGCACTATCCATGATGTGATCAATATTTTACCTGCTAGAAATACCATTGATTGAATATACAGACCAGAAACATTAATAGATGAATTCCAAAAACCTAATAACTGCAACTATTTCTAAGTAAGCACTGAGAATTTTGTTGCGTCGTAAGTACGGATTTTAATTTGCCAGCAATACTTAGCAACTGCTGTGCATAAACGCATCCTCTCTAGCTGACAACAACATTTACATTTGTATCGTGTTTTTCACGTTGGGAGAACCACCCAGAGTCCTGATTCATACATACTGAGATTCCATAGTATTAACAATCTATATAGTATCTGAGAAATCATTAACTTTCTCTCTCCACGCTGCTTTGAGTAAAGAGGAAAGGCTGTCAAGGCAGACCAATCGCCTATCTGTAAAGCTGTACCTGCTTAAGCTACAAAACTGGTTCCAGTTCCAGGAATAAAAAATCATCCGGGATTGTGTGATGACTGTTGTTACAGTCAGCCAGTCAAAAAAGCAAACATCACAATCAAAATGTAGGTTTTCATTAAAAATTCAAAAACCAATACTTGTAAAACATCTATCGCTATTACATAGTGTTTGTTAACAGAATTGTTACCCATGTGTTTTGAATTTATTTGAAACATATTACAGTATTAACTGTAGCTAGTTTAACAATTTAGTAAATATTTTAGCATTGGCAAGAACTAGATCCAAAGAATTCTTTCTGTAAAAAAGTTTCTAAAGTAATATGATTTAACAATCTGAAGAGATGTGGATGGCAAATTTGTTGGGAGTAGAGAAATGCTGGGGTCCTGGACCTCACCCAAGAGGTAATCATTTTCATATGAGTGAAAACTGTGATCGTTGGCAAGCTGATTAAGAGGGCATCTCACTGAAACCTAATTTTAAAAACATAAGAATGCATGCAAAAAGAAACACTGTTTCAACCAATCAAGCCAACTTCTCTGACAGACAATCTAAACTAACTTGTTTTAACAAATCTTAGTTAAAACAAAACTATATAAATGGGTCTTAATATAGCTACATTCAAAAAGAGAATACCAACCAGTTTCCCCTCCCTGATGATTATCTATTGACAACCACTAGAAATGAACATGTAATTATCTGATGCAGAATCAGATTCAACTCTAATACCCTCCATTGTCAACTGACAAATCCAATGACTCTGTGCAGAATCGTGTGCGATGGTTACCTGACTGAGATACTGAAGAGCTGCTATCACAGCATAGTAACATCACCACCTACAGGAGAGGATAATAATAATAGCCAGTTGCTCACAGAAATGTCCCACAAACAGCCACGGAGTTAATGAGCAATTTTATTTAGGAGATTTATTGGCCAGGACGCCAAGAGAAAACTCCTTTCTCTTTTCGAATAGTGCCACAGGATCTTTAACATCCACCTGAACAGGCAGATGGGACCTCAGCTCAACATCTCATCCGAGGGACAGCACCTCTGACAATGCACCTCCCCCATAATATAATAAAAATAAGGATGAAAACTATGTTAAATCATTTTTAGACCAACTCCTGCATTGAAGTCCAATTCAGTTAAACAAAGAACTTGTGCACCAACAATGTAATAAGCACCAGAAAAACTAGCTTATATACAAGTTTACTATTATGGAATCTGGTTAAAGGAGTACAGATTCAATTAAATGTACAAGTCAATAATTACTACAAACCTGAAATCATGATAATAGCATTGTTGATTTCTATAACAGGAATACTTAGGTTTAATATAAAACTGAATCGTGAACTGAAAATAATTTTACTTGCTTCTTTCAGTGTCCAGTTAAGAAGATACAAGATAGAGATAGAAGATTCCCTCTTAACATTTAAAAAAAAGGACAAAGGCTATTACATGGTAGTCCATGCATGCCAATGAATTAAACTGACAATAATTTAATATTTAAGATATGTAAAACGTAAACATGGTATTAATTTAATTATTGGGCAAAGAAGGAAAATGGCAGCAGCAGTCATCTGTCAATTCTTTCAAGAAGTGGAAGGGGTTATGGAAGGTTCATTTAATTAAAACTGCCTGTTGATTGTTTGGAGATATTGTATTTGTTTGTATCATACACCTAAGATCGACTGGTCACAATTCTAAAAAAACAGCAGTAAACTAAACATACCAGAGAACATCTACAACATGCTAGTCTGAAGGAAGTCAAGATACACACAAGTGAAATAGACATCTAAAGCTGGTTTTCTGGATTATTCAGTAAATACTCTTCAAAAAGGGAAATATTAGATATGTATGCAATACTTCTTAAAGATTCACACCTATAGCTGGTACATACACACTTTCCACCAGACTGAAGATCAGGAGCAGGAAACCTAGATGATTTTACCCTGTCACCAAAGGACACTGAAGCTTAAAGTGGCAAGTGGCACCCTGCTTAGATAAGTGTGAAATAGGATTTAATTTGCAACCTTTCTCGTCTGTATGGTCTAGTAGTACAATGAGTGTGACTTTATATCATAGGCCATTAGAGGGAGCTGGGTCGACTGTTTTAAGTAAATTTGTTATCAAACATGACAAACATCTGTCCCTAATAATTCCATCTTTCTACAATGAGCATCTCATAAGCTGCATTTTAGGCAAGTATCCGTTTTGTCTAAACTGGTGTACAAACAATTTCAAGTGTGTGAATAAACAATAAAATATGTTTTTATGTTGTGGCATGTACAACATGTCCATTTCGGCATATGCCAGTTAGATTTCTGAGTGCACTGCTCAAACTGCACACCACTGAATTCAAAAGTAAGATTGCTTTGGCAATTGACTGAGCAGATCTAGAGGAAGAAGTGCAAGTTGGATCGTTATAAACAACAACAAAATTACATTTGTATAGCGCCTTTCTCGTCAGTAGGACGTCCCAAGGCGCTGAAATTCATTGTTATAAGCATGTATTTTTTCTATTAAGATGGACTGAATTAAACATTATGGACTACAGGCCAGCACACTTTCCAAATTGTTTCATATCAAATGAGAGTAAATGTATTCCACAAAACATCCAAACAATTTCATTCTTCCCTTTTTACAGCAACGAGAAATAAAGAAAGTCTTTACAATCCAATAGGCTATTCAATGCCCAATAATCTTGGCAAACAAATCTCCTAACCTCTCACTATTTCTCCCTTAGTTTCTCTCTATTTATCTTATGAAAACCTATTTTTATTACAGTATTTAGTCATATTGCATGCCTTCACACTGTTTTATTTAGGGACTAAATTTTAATTACCTCCTACAGTGAACTCTGGTGTGAATAATAAATCTTGCTTTCCATTTAAAGATAAATTACAAGTAACAGCGATTCAAATCCTTAAAATAACAATATTAGCCACCATACAGACCTTTTAATCCCCTCTTTGTATTATTCTATTTTTCAAAGCATTTCTGCAACAAATAAAGTTTGAATTTTCTAGTATCCAAAGATTTAATTCTGGCCACTAACACTGGCTCACTCGATGTGGTGTGTTAGAACAGAAATTTACAACACAGAAGAAGGGCAATGCGGCTGCGCTGGCTTTTCAAAAGAACAATCTATTCAGTCCTATTTACCTGCCCATTCCCCAAATCCATACAAATTGTTCCTTTTTACATGCATTTACAATTACAAAGAATCTACAGCACAAACAAACCTTTCAATCCAACTAGCATGTGCTGTGCTCCTACTACACATAAGCCTCCACCCATCCAAATTCTGCTTTTTACCTGGCTTCCACCTTTAATGTTCTATGTACACTCTGGGACGTTATCCTGCTTGAGGGGTGCAAGATAAATGCAAGTTGTTGTTGTACATTATCCCTCGGTGTCTGTGCGTTTGTACTCCATTATAAACAAAACAGTAATTAATATATATTGGATACTAATACCTAGATAAATCCATTTCTTTAATCTACACTTACCTGTGTAGTACAACAACCTTTTAAAAAGATCAAAGTTGAAGGGAACAGTATACACAGATAGATTAGTACAAGAAGCTCTGACAACCAAGGATACTGGTATGGGGTTTGGAGGTGAAATAAGTGTCTTGATAACTCACAATGTATACCAGATTGAACGGCTTAACTGGATTGAATGTCTTAAATTATATTACAAACAAAAGCCAGTACAAATTACATTTGTATAGCACCGTTCATGTCAGGAGGACATCCCAGTTTTTGTAATGAATAATTTTCTATATTTCACTTCCATTGTTCAATTTTTTTTGAATTAATAGAAGAATGAAGCCCAACTACTTCTGACAGAATCATCCTCTAAGGTGCTCCCTTTAGTTTTGAAATGACATGGACTGTACTAGTCAGGCATCTTCATCATAGTTTGGAAATTAATATCTTCAAGTAACTTACAGATCAAAACAGAGGTTCAAAAATGAAGAACCCATTTTTTCTCATCTTTTTATAATATCCAGCGTTCAAATTAGAACATCAAGTGGATTCATACAATGAATCAATCCGCACGACGTAAATGACCCGCCCTGGTAACCCGTTCATTATCATCCATGTAAGGAAACTATGGGTGTCTGTCCTAGATCTGTTCCTTCACAACCTCCAATCCTTTTGTCCTACCGTCTGGCATATCTGACACTGTCACAGATATACCTTTTTCCGTTCTATTAGGTACTCTATACACATCTATAAAAGGTTTGTTGAGAAATCTATTTTCAAGATGAACAGCACCATCTTACCTAATCAGTCCCTGTAGACTTCTGTTCAACACTGGCAATGAACACCAATGCTCTCTTCGATCTTCCTCTTCGGAATCGGCAGCTCCATATGTCAAAGCAATCAGACATATGCAATGACCAGAACTGGGGCACAACTTCAGGTACAGCCTGAATAGGGCACAACTTCAGGTATAGCCTGTACAGTTTGAACACAATACCTGAGAACCTGATTTGGCAATATAGTAAAACACCACACATCCACCCATCAACTGTCCACACGTCCAACTATTCTCATTGGGTTCTGATGAGAAGTTAAGTCAGGCTGTGACAGTGGGAATTTATGTTTACAGTACTTGCATGCATGCACATGAGCTATGCAAAAATCACAATTTTAATAGAACAAACTGTTTTCATACCTGCAATGGGGCCAGTCCCAATCAACAACAACAACAAATTACATTTATATAGCGCCTTCACGCAAGAATTACGTCCCAAAGCGCTGGATAGTCAGGGGTCGGCACCCAAGCTGGTGGTTGGAATTAGGAGGGGTGGAGGGCAGGGAGGGGTAGGAGGGTGACTGAAGGCACAGTCGAAGAGGAGGGTCTTGAGACTGTTCTTAAAGCAATCAGGGGAGGCGGTGAGGCGGAGGGACTGTGTGATGGAGTTCCAGAGGGTGGGGGCAGAGAGGCTGAAGACCTCAGAAAGAATATTTGTCTCTCTACTGTTAATGCCAGTATTTCGTGATTCACTAAAAAAAATCATCAGTGCTCCATACAATCTTGTCTGAAAAGTCATCAGTGCTCCACATAATCTTGTCCCTTGCATCTGAGTACTCTAGAATACAATTCATCCATCGTGGGAGAATTTATTGATATTCAGCCACTTGAGCCTAACTGGAACCTTGAAGTCCAACCTGACAAATTACATTGGATGTTGGGAGAGCATATTGCTCATGTCTTTCCTAGCTGAAAAAAAACCCTTCAATAAGTAGTAAATTATTATAATAATAATCTGTGCATTTGATATAGCGCCTTATCACGTCTTTGAGACGTCTCAAAACATACTGTAAAGGGAATTGACTAATAGTTTGTGGGCAAAATCTTAACCTAATTTTCTACTCCCTTTGAGTATTTCAGAGCTTCAACTTCCTCCCTGCTACCAGTTTTGTGTAATATTTTCTTTGCCATTATACTTTGCATCTGCTATTTGTCACATTCGAGTTCTAACTTGGCTTCTATGTTTTTTTAAAAAAGCTGCTTCTATAGGGTATTTCAATGGTCATACTCTCCCTCCTCCCTATAAGCATAACTCTTTACTACTACTACAGTAGCAAATACATACATGGGCAAGAATGATTGAGACAATATTGGAGCAGAAGTGTGTGTGTGAGTGAAGAGGGAATGTTGGGATCACACAAGGCAAGGAAAATGAGATACTATAGTAACCTCGTCCATTCTGCTGTCTCCTTACTAGTCAGTAGCTACACCCCATCATCAATTAAAAACTACCTTGGTTGGAACCAAACCCATCATGATAGGTAATAATAATAATCCTTGCATTTGATACAGCACTTATCAGGTCATCGCAACGTCTCAAAGCGCTTCACAGGATATACTGTAAAATGGATTTGACTATATTTTGTGGGTGAACTGTAGCAGCCAATTATGCATAGCAATGTTCCACAAACAGTCACAGAGTGAGTAATTTTATTTAGAGAATTTGTTGGCCTGAACACAGAGAGAATCTCACTTCTCTTTTCAAATAGTGCCACGGGATCTTTAGCTTCCACCTGAACAGATAGCACCTTGGTTTAACATCTCATCCGAAGGACGGCAGCTACAACAATGCAAATCTCCCCGGCACTACACTGGAGTGTTATCTTAGACTATATGATTTCAAGTCTGGACATGGGGCTTGAAACCACAACCTTCTGACTCAGAGGTGAGAATGCTACCACTGAGCCAGGCTGACATTTGATCAGATCACTTCATTCCTAACACTTTAATAATCTTTCACTAAAATAAATAACTCTTTCATTTGAATTTCACTTAAAAGATATTAGAAATTTGATGTCGCATTCAGAGAAACAATTGCAATAATAAACAAAGAATTAATACAGGCTAGAAGGTCGCAGGTTTGAACCTTGGTCGCTGCTGATTAACTGATCATAGTCAGTTCAGCGATATGAATGCAACAATTGGTCTGAGTGCACGACAGAATAGCCTCCCACTCCTGATCACAATCCCAAGGTGGAAACATAGGGATATATCCATTTGCAGGTTGACTTTGTGTTGACTGTTCAGATTATCATTCATTACCCTTCTAATTAATTTGTGATGTCATGTGAGAACAGAATTGGGATTACATGTGAAGCACCTAAAATCAAATAGCATGATGATATCCATGAACAGGCACCAGATATCTGTGGATGCCATATCCCTTGGGGTGCTTTCAAGAAAGGAGAAAATTTGCCCCCAAAAAGTAAAACTAGGTTCCATTAGGTTAGTCAGACTGATAGTTAAAGTACTTTGAAGGAAATGATCATAAATCTTGGGCGAAGGATAAGGTAGTGGGACATCCCAAACTGGTGCTGACTGTTCAGAGTATCACTCATCACCTCTACTAATTAGTCTGTTACAGGGCCTAATTCTTTTTCAAGAATTCTGAATCCTGCCACAGTGATGTTGAGAGGGATTGAGGGGGTAAGGCTGAGGAAAGACACTTTTAAAAATAGGAATAATTTTGTAGCAATGCTCTCAGTCATGGGGAAATAAATAATGTCGATATCAACCCCCCCCCAATAAAGTGCAGGGAAAGGTAAATCAGGCTGTTTAGATGCATTTCTTAGTGATTAGTTCAAAAGCACCACTGGTAACAGCTACAAAGCAGATTCATCGTCTGTGACCACTCTCAGTACAGATTGGAAGAAATTTAAAATGAGAATTTGAAAAATATGTATATATATAGTGTTAATTGGCTAGGATTCTACCTAACCTTCAATATTATGGATTGTACCAATCTCTCAATACTGGATTATGAATTGAAGAATTCAATATTATGGATTATCAATCTCTCCAACCTTGCTAGCTACTCCCACTTATTGGTTACTCTCCACACAACATGCTTTTTGAACACATTCTGTGCTTCCATGGGCTACCTGCAAACTCCATATATATTCTAACATTCACATTTATGACATAGGAAAAGCTGTATTTATTAACGAGTTTGATTGCACAACTGACTTGTTAGAATTTGTCTCCATCAACACATTTAATAAAAGTCTGCCCTTTTGTCTTTCTCCCTAAACAACTTCTAAATCTGTGCATGTAGAATCAGTAGCTAAAATAACTGCCACAATACAAAGATGGGTAATTCCAGTTACAGATGATTTTAACTACTTAGTATAAGGATCAGATATCTTACACCGTCCTTAATATCAAATCCGTCTTCAATTCCATGAGATTACAAGAACCGTTGCCGATTGAAATAAGATCGGCATCAAAAGATTAACAAAATTAGAGATCGGCATTAGAGAACAAATTATAATGTTACCGGTATTATATTAAAAAAAACGATTACTGATACCAAATCAGTCGAGGACGAAAATAGGCGTTTTCATTAGCATTTCTTTTAGTTTAAAGGCGACCAGACAATGTCTGATGATTTTACAGTCTATTTTAAGGCAGTCAGTTACATGACTTAAGCTTTTTATCTATCGTTCATCCGGAGATACACAATTAACCTTCTCATTACAATGGTTCTATTTTTAAAGGCAATCTTCACACCCAGGCGGCACAATGTATTGCTATATTCAGACATGGCCAGACTCCCCTGGCCGTGAACCGAGGCGAACTCTCACCTGGTTTTAACATGTCGTACCCTCGGCTCGACAAGTAAAGCACAAATCTATATAAAGAGATGAGGCATTGTAGCATCCAGTCCCGCAATACACACGTCCTGTACTGCACTGTCTGCTCCAAATCCCCAGTGATTACTGCATCTCCCCAGCACACGAGCTGCTATTCCGGCCTATTGGTGGTGGGGGGGGGGGGGGAGATGGGGGGGCGGTAGGACTAGGCCGTTGGGCTAATTTTACCGTCAAACCCGTCGCTTCCGCGGCTCATCCGTCACTCCCCACTTTCCCACTGAGTCTGGTGTGGATTTTCGAAGCGTTTAAATAGTAAAAAAAATAAGTCTCCGATTTTTGTGGGTTTTTTTTAAAAAAAGAGAGAAAAAAAGCGAATGGTCTGAGGAGGAGATGATGGTGATGGTGATCTTACCGGCCGCCAGCGGAGAGGATTTGTTGCAGCGAGTGAGGAGCATGGCTTACCCTCCCTCCTCCTCCTCCCTCACCGCCTCCAACCAAACCTGACGGAGGAAATGGTGACGCGCGAACCGACTGACAGACCGAGCGGCCAATCCGACCCCCGGCAGCCGGACCCGGGGTTACCCTAAATATAAATGTTTAAAAGGCTCGAGAGGCTACACCCAAAAAACAGTACCACGCACTCAATTTACCGTTTGCCTATTGAGGATTATGCGTAAAGAGCCATTTAATAATATGGCGCGCGCACACGATAATGGCTTAGAGACAGTGTAAACCGCACGATGTACAACACAGACATCACACGCAGTCGACGATTCGCATTTGTGCATAATAATGCACGTTATTTAAAGGGCGAATGGTTGATCTTCACTTTCACTCCACCCTCCCCACCACATACACACACAAAACAAATCCAATTCACACTGAAGATACCAGGGTCACTGTGCAGAAACGCTGCCTAAATCCCCAACCTCACCTTGGGTGTTAACGTCGAGCTACCCCCTGGTGCTGTTCATACCGTCAACGCAGAGATAAGACAGATCACCATAATTGCCGTGTTAATAGATTGAAACAGGTTCCACCGCGCACAACGGTAGTGTTTTTGCTAATATGTAACTGCGGAATAAAACGAATGCAAACAGACACCAGACCCCCCACCCCCCCAAAAAAAAATAATTCAAGGCAAGTGGTGAACTACTGTGGATTTCGTGCAGACAAATAGCTGTGTTTCCCTCCCCCCGTACGCAACAGTTTTCCTTCCATTTCATCTGATCGAATGCTTTCCTTTTTTATTCCCTCTCTCCCCCGACATTTGCTCTGACAGCTGTCAGTCTCGAGGGCGGAGCAACAACCGCGAGCCAATGGTCTGGGCGACGCTTGCTATCAGGTTAGGTTGAGGCGGCGGGAGCTATCGGGTTAGGTTGAGGCGGCGCGAGCTATCAGTTAAGGTTGAGGCGGCGCGAGCTATCAGGTTAGGTTGAGGCGGCGCGAGCTATCAGGTTAGGTTGAGGCGGCGGCGAGCTATCAGGTTAGGTTGAGGCGGCGCGAGCTATCAGGTTAGGTCGAGGCGGCGCGAGCTATCGGGTTGGGTTGAGGCGGCGCGAGCTATCAGGTTAGGTTGAGGCGGCGCGAGCTATCAGGTTAGGTTGAGGCGGCGCGAGCTATCAGGTTAGGTTGAGGCGGCGCGAGCTATCAGGTTAGGTCGAGGCGGCGCGAGCTATCGGGTTGGGTTGAGGCGGCGCGAGCTATCGGGTTAGGTCGAGGCGGCGGGAGCTATCAGGTTAGGTCGAGGCGGCGCGAGCTCGGGAGTTGAGGGTCGGGCTCGAGCTCGGTTTGAACTGCCGACCCCGGGGGGGGGGAGGGAGTCAATCAGCGCCTCACTGCCCCCGCCCCGCCCCGCTGCTGCTATACCACACACAAACACACTGTCCTCCCATTCGGCAGGACAAAGGACACAAACCCTTACCTAAACAAAGATGGTAACAATAGCCGATACCATCAAACGACCGAAAGAGGAAATGCTGTACCAACATAAAATACAACCGAGAAGAGAGCAGTGGGGGGGTGGCGGGGTCGCAGCCCAAATAAAATCACCCAGAAAACTCCCCCCTCCCCCAACCAGACACTGTCCCGGCATCACACCTCCTCCCCCTCCCCGCCCGCGTCGCGCCCCCCCCCCTTCCCCGACAAACCCCGTTCTGCGTCATCGCGCACCACGTCCCACGGTGGCCGCGGATGACGTCACCGCGCACACACACACGCTTCGGCCGAGCGTGAGCGGGAAGCTTTCGGGGGAAAGCCGTGTCTCACGTGTCAGTTGCGGGCGGTCAGAGCGCGTGAAGTGAGTCGGTGTAAAGTTTGGCCTCTTTAATAACTGTAGTGATAATATTGATAATAATGGTTGTTGTATTTGATGTGCTGATCTTCTTGCCCTTGATGTGCTGATCAGGATAATCCCGGCGTTTCAGCTGATAACCGTCGCTGCCTTTGGTTTTGGCGCCTTTTGTGTCACTCTGAAACGCTGCTTCGCAGGAAGACATTTTCTGACTCGGGCGCTTCTCGGGGGTCATTTTTTTTTCTCTCCGGTTAAGCAATTTGAGATCATGTCGGGCAGCGGACTGCAGTTACCAATTTGGAGCCAGAGGGTGATTTGTCACTTCGCTGGACACCGACCCGAGATAAGGCAGTGTCCAGTGCTCGGCTGCACTCCACTGATAATAATAATAATAATAATAATCCTTGCATTTGATATAGTGCTTTTCACGTCGGGAGGACGTCCCAAAGCACTTCACGGAACACACTGTAAAGTGAATTGACTATATTTGTGGGCGAACGCGGCAGCCAATTGCGCACAGCAATGTCCTACAAACAGTCGTAGATTGTAAATGACCAATTTATTATTGTTCTTGTTTTTTTTGGAGGGATTATTATTAGGCTCTGTGTGGAGTAAGGAAACTTGCCCAAGGTTTCGCCCTCTGCCTGGAATTGAACTCAGGTCTCTCGCTTGCAAAGCGAGTGCTCTAACCACTGAGCTACAGGACTGAGGACTGCAGTCAAACACTTCCAGTCAACCACTATGTTGAGGCAGGGGAGGATACTCGCTGAGTACTAACTCATATGCTTGTCAAACAACAACAACAAACTATATATATAGTGCCTTTCACATCGGTAAATAAAGATAGTTGATTTATATGAATTGCTTTTTAAACGAGGAGCTGGTGAAATATTTTTGTTATGTCATTTTCTGTTGGTGTCCTGGCCAACAATTCCCCCACATACAATTGGTCATTCACAGCATGACTGTTTGTGAGGCATTGCTACGAGCAAAATTGGTTGCCACATTCGCCTACAAAATATGCGGTCTCTGCGCTTTTCAGTATATTCTGTGAAATTCTTTAAAACACCCCCCTAGCCATTATTTAGAATATATCATAAGGTTATCAAATTCTGTTATGATGTTTAGCAAAAAGTAAATTATTTCCATAGTTCACTGAGTACTATGATTACAGGAGAGTCATGAAAAAAGTACTGGAACTTCAGCAAAACCCTCACTCTTCCTTCTCTAAAAATCAATGTTCAGAAAATGAGACTGACAGTCGCTTATCAGCACTGCCTGAAAAGCTCAAGCAGAGACTACTTCCTTTCCAAAAAGAAGGGATCAAGTTTGCCCTTGAGAGAAATGGCAGGTAAGCAAATCTTAATTTAAACTTAGAAGTTATTATATTCTATTCTGTAGTGCGTTGGCTCAGGATGCTAGAAATTAAAGTATTGAAATGTGGCGTCTTTGAAGGCTCCACTTGTTGGATACTGCAGACAGTATGAGGACTGGGGTGATGGTCATGTGGCGTTCAATGCAAATGAGGATGCAAGTGTGGAGTTTTGAATGAGCTGGAGCTTGTAAATTGTGAACGAGAGAGATTGGCGAAGAGTGTGTTAGAAAAGTTGACTAGGGAGGTAACAAGGACATGAATGAGATAATAAGATAGTTTCCAACTGCCCTATTGCATTCCAGAAATTGGTGTACTTTAGCAAGAATAAAAAAAAGGTCACTCAATCCTAGACTGTTTGTAAGACACTGCTGTGCACAATTGGTTGCTGCATTTCGCTCACAAAATATATAGTTAATTCACTTTACAATATATTCTGTGAAGTGCTTTGAGACGTCTCAAAGACATGATAAGGTGCTATATCAAATGCAAGGATTAAAAGAAGTTAAGCAAAGAAATAGCAAGTTGAAAAAAGTGTACTCAACCATTGTCACTATAACTCTCATTTCAATCATATCTGCTAATCTAATGAAGTATCTATTTAAGTATTAGCTAATAGTATTGTGTGTAAAGCAGTAACTCGACTCTAAATTGTTTCATACATCAGCAGTTTCATAGATTATAGGAAGGAAATATTTTGATGAGCAGATGTCCTTTTGTACATGGAGATTCACATTTAACTGGCCTGTAATTGCAATAGAAACTCAACAATTTATTCTCCAACGTTACCTACTCTCGAACGTATTGCTGCATAGAACCAGTCCCTGTGGTTTCAAAGCTATAAATGCAAACATGTGACTTATCAAAATTGTCATTCAAACCCCGTTCAGATTCAAAGATATTTTAGTTTGTTAGTGGAAATTGATAACTCACGCCTTCTACATTTGTTTATAAAGCACAGAGGAATCAATCATAGAGGACAAGTTCCTGTGTTTGCATTGCATGATTGATATCATTGGGGAAAAAGGTGATTTGCATCAGTTCTTGCCTCTTAAAACTTCATGAAGTAGTTTCTGGGGCATTGCAGATTTCATTAGTTTGGTACAATTGGACATAATGTATTTTGGGAAAAGTAATGACACTTTGGAAGACCCACAAAACTATGTTTTAAGGTTAACTTTTTGATTGTATTATTGCATTTAATTATAAAAAGTGCAAATGGTTATTATGTGATCTTTAATTTATAGACAGCTTTTTAATAGCCAACTAGTCATAGGATATTCTACTAATCCTACTTCCGTTATTTCTCAATCTTATTTACAACAGCAGTTCAGAATAGATGATACTTTGAAGTGAATGCTGTCACATATCAATGACATGTTAACAGCTCCTATAAGCACAACATTAAATTAGAACAGGAGTAGCTCGTTGAAGGGATAAGGAAAAGGCCAAATTATGGAGCTTGGAATTTTCTGAAGTTAGTGGGTTAAAGAACAAGGAAATACTATGATAAATGTTTTACCGCACAAACTTTGCTTTTAAAGTATGCATGTTTCTTGTACCATTAGAAGTGGGTTTGATTTATCAATTTGTCGCCCTCCATAGAAACTCACTGGTTTTGGCCTTACTTACAGCTGAAGCTGCTTGAATGCCAAAGAGTAGCATGCCGCATCTATCACAAAGTGGTCCATTCATTTTAATTGAGAACAGAACTTTGAATTATTTCTATGGTCTGAACATGCACCTTATTTCAGATTTAAAGTAATCAGTCTTATATGGTGGCTTTTTATGGGACCCCCTACTATTCAATACCCAGTGTGATCACTGCCCTCTTTGCTGTAGATGTTAAAACCTTTCTAACAGTACTGTTTGTCACAAAGATGACTTAAATGTAGAATTTGTAAGATTCAATATTTTCATTGTGTCCTCAGGCATACTGATATATTCCTTTCCAGAAGATTCATATGTAGCCTGTAGCATTAACTAACAAAATGTAAATGTTATATGGTGGCTTAGAAGCAATCCAATTGGTGTACATCTTTGTCAAAAAAGACAGCAGCAATTGATATGATTTTTGTAATGAGTTTGTAAGACATCTATGTTGCACCTAGCAACCTTTCAGCTAATGCTCTACAGTTTAATATCTTTGTACACCCATTTAAATGAATAATTTAAATGAATAACGGTCGAAGAAGAGGGTCTTGAGACGTGGCTTGAAGGAGGCAAGGGATGGAGCGAGACAAAGGGAATGTAGGATGGAATTCCAGAGGGTGGGAGCAGGGAAGCTGAAGGCCCGCCTGCTGTTGGTGGGGTGGGCTGGGCAGCGGACGTGGAGCCTGCTGAACGGAGGTAGCGGACTGGTTGATAAGGGGTTAGCAGGTAGGAGAGGTAGGAGGGGACAAGACATTGGAGGGCCTTGTAGTTGAGGCCATGAATTTTGAACTCTGTCCTCTGATGGGTGGGGGTGATGGGGTCACGGATCCTGGTGCGGGAGAGGACTCAAGCTGCAGAGTTCTGCATGATCTGCAGCTTGTGGAGAGAAGAGTTGGGAGGGCTGACAGCAGGGCTTTGGCATAGCCAGGCCTGGATGTAATGAAGGCATGTATGAGGTTTTTTGGCAGTCTGAGGGGTGAGGAAGTGGCGGAGTCGGGCAATGTTGCGGAGATGGGGGAAGGCGGAGCGGGTCATGGCACGGATGTGGGGCAGAAAGGACAGTTGAGGGTTGAACAAGACATGTAGATTTTTGATTGAATTGGTGAGGTGGATTGTGCATCCATGGATGCTGATGCTGCCAGTGCCTGAAGTACAGAGGTGCTGGCGCGAGCCAATCAAGAGCGCCTCGATCTTGCTGATGTTCGACAGTAGAAAGTTGGCTCTCATCCAGGACTTGATGTCTGACAGGCAGGCTATCAGGACATCAGTGGTCCTGGGGTCGAGGCTGGAGGTAGAGAGATAGAGTTGAGTATCATCCGCGTACATGTGGAAGTTGACCCCATGTCTGAGGACAATGCCACCAAGAAGGCCACTGATTCCTGACAGGGCGAAATGTTGCTCAAGTTTCCTTACTCCACACGCCTCTGTTTACCTAGCAGTAAGTAGGAACCCGGTTGTTAGTCGATTAGCGGATTGCTTTCCGGAGTTAATAATTCCTTCCAAAAAAATACCAGGGTTCTTGAAATTCTCAGTGGTTCCTGAAATGAGGTTTGCTTCATAGCTTCCATATTCATATCATATTGGGTGAGTAGATTAACGAACAATTAAATGCAAAGGTAGTATATTTCGCCCACAAAATATACAGTCAATTCACTTTACACTATATTCTGTGAAGCGCTTTGAGACATCTCAGGGACATGATAAGGTTATTTATCAAATGCAGTGATTATTATATTATATATAGTCGGTGGATAGTACATGAATCCTAACTGTTCTAATAATTGCAGGGGGTGAAATTGTCTTTAATGTTATGCTTTAGTGATTGTTTTGCCCACAAAATATACAGTCAAATTCACTTTACAGTATGTAAGAACATAACATATATTCTGTGAAGCGCTTTGAGACGTGATAAGATGTTATATGGAGTCCTGTAGCTCAGTGGTTAGAGCACTCGTCTCGCAAGTGAGAGATCTGGGTTTGATTGGACCACTGCTGTCCTGACAGAATGTCTGTCAGACATCAAGTGCTGGGTGAGAGCTAATTTTCTTCAGTTGAACGTCAACAAGACCGAGGCTCTCCTGATTGTCTCCCGTCAGCGCATCCACACCGCAGGTGATGACAGCATCACCATCCATAGTTGCACACTCCATCTTACTAAGCCAGTCCGGAACCTTGGCGTCTTGTTTGACCCTCAACTATCTTTTCTACCCCACATCTGAGCCATAAGCTACTCTGCCTTCCCCCACGTCCGCAACATCGCCCAGCTCCTTCCAAAAAAATACCAGGGTTCTCACACTGCAGGCTGCCAAAACCCTCTTACACGCTTTCATTACATCAAGGCTGGACTCTGCAAACTCCTTACTTGTCGGTCTCCCCAACTCCTCTGGCCATAGGTTGCAGATCATCCCGCAGTCCCTCCACCTCGCCCCCTCCCTTGCTTCCTTCAAGACCTGCCTCAAGACCCTCCTTTGTGAATGTGCTTTTGATCATGCTTCTTCCCCCTCCCCCCGCCCACCACTCTCCCCAATCCAGACCCCCAGCTTGGGTCTGAAACTCTGACTATCCAGGACCTTGAGATGTCCTCCCAACGTGAAAGGCACTATATAAATGTAATTTTGTTGTTGTTGATTTCCAGCAGGGTGAATTGTTGGACAAGTTTCCTTACTTCACACACCTCTGTTTACCTAGCAGTAAATAGGAACCCAGTTGTTAGTCAATTGGCAGATCGCTTTCCGTGGGTAATAATTCCTTCCAAAAAAAAATAATAATAAATTGGTCGCTTCAATCCACGACTGTTTGTGGGACACTGCTGTGCCCAATTAACTGCCGCATTTTGCCCACAAAATATGCAATCAATTTACTTTACAGTATATTCGGTGAAGAGCTTTGAGACTTCTCGAAGACATGATAAGATGCCATACCAAATGCAAGGATTATTATTATGTCAAATACAAGGATTGTTATTATTACCACAAATTTATATTGTAAAATAATCCATGTAGTAATACAGAACAGTGCAGGTTTAGCTATGCTGTATAGCGGGGGTGGGGATTGGGGTGGTGGATGTGGTTCCCAATTGCATTCAGACAATATGTATTGATCATACCATGATTTAGATGGGCAGCTGTTGTGGATAACTTGACATTCTGTTTTGGCGGGCCATGGTTTGCCCTTCGGGAACTCTTGATGGTAAATTGAATGTTAAATATCTGTACCACAGTATATATGAAATGGTTGCCATTCGGGTATAAACCAAATGTTTCACATCTCGCTGTGAAATTTACTCATTAATTATAAATCTATAAGTCCACAGGGTTCAAATGTTATTACTTTCATAATAGATTATCGTATAAGCACTTGCCTTGCAAGTGAGAGGACTTGGGTTCAGTTCCCAGCAGGGTGAAACGTTGAGCAAGTTTCCTTACTCCACACACCTGTTTACCTAGCTGTAATTAGGAACATGGTTGTTAGTCGATTGGCGGATCGCTTTTCCGGGGATAATAATTCCCTCAAAAAATAATAATAATTTGGCCACTCAATACATGACTGTTTGTGGAACACTGCTGTGTGCAATTGGTTGCCGAGTTTCGCCCACAAAATACAGTCAATTTGCTTTACAGTCTATTCTGTAAAGCGCTTTGAGACGTCTCGAAGATGTGATAAAGTACTATATCAAATGCAAGCATGATTATAAATATTTCCTTTTGCTAGTATACAGGAGCTCCTGATGGCACATTTTCTGTTCTGTTAACAGAAATAAACTGAAGACCAATGACAACAATTATAAAAATGGCATTCAGACTGGTTATAAACCTTGAGAAAAAAATTATGCTGCTGTTTGAAATGCTAATTACTGTTGCAGCTGAAAACAAAATTAAAATTGTGCTTGAGAGGCAACACTACATAGAAACCTTGAGGACAATTCACTCAGTACATTTTTCCCATACTGTACAGAATACATTTAAAAGCCTGACCTGGAAATCTACCCTTTGAAGCTTATAATACTCAATCTGTAGCATGATAAAGACTCTTTTGTTGGCAGTAGTGCAGAGTTCAGCATGTAGATGGCTCTGGTTGCTATGGTGATTCCTTTTTGAGAATGGTTGCTGCTTCATCAAAAATGGTCACCCAATTGACAGGAGAGGCCTCAAGTGGTACTGCTTTAATAATAAAGTAGTAAAATCTGCACCATATTCAATTTTTCTCTGCTGAATCCCTGATAGAGCTGATAGAATGGCTGTAAATGAGCTGATGGAATGGCTGTAAATGGTGTAGATGTAGAAGAGAAAATTAATGGCAGGTGATGAAATTGTCTTAAAAGTTATACTTTTGTGATCATTACATGTCTTGTAGACTTTGTATTAAAAAAGTGGATATAGATTTTGTGATCAATGGCAGAATGGCATATTTTGCAACTTGTTCCAAAAATACCTGCTGTTTGTTGAAAAGTCTTAAGTACAACATAGCCACAAGTTGATGCTAAGATGAGTCTCACAGCACTGCTATTTCATTACTTTCTCTTGTTTGTTTTTTAGGTGCATGCTTGCAGACGAGGTAAGAATATTTCTTTCTGTCTACATTATTGAAGACCTAATTGAAGAGCTGATGCCCATAGTTTAGTCTACCAATAATATTGAAGTCCAGGAGAGAAATTAAGATCAGTCAAGAAGTAGCTGGGAGATGTGATGTTTGTCTTTTAAAAGTTGTAGATTCTAGGATAAAGAAAAGACTAAGTAATAATAATAATCCTTGCATTTAAGGGAGATAAAGAGGAGTGCCCCTGTTTGGGTGCCTGCACATTGTGAAGTATCTATTTCGATCAACCTAAAAACTATTTAGTATTCACAATATTTAATATTGTGAAAGAAAATACACTACTTTAAAGTAAATTATCACATAGTGTTCAGATCATGCCATCCTCCTCCACCGCCTCTCCTCCCTCATCCACCTTAGTGGGACTGCACTTGCATGGTTCAAGTCCAATTTGACTAACTGCTAACAAATGTCTTGGGAAACAGGTCCTTCCGCCCCCGCCCTGTCACCTGCGGATCATCCCAGGGCTCCCCTTCTTTTCATCATTTACATTCTCCCTCTCGGCAATGTGATCCGCAGACATGAAGTCAATTTCCATATGTATTGCGGATGACTCACAAATCTACTTCTCTTGCTCCTCCAGCTGCATCTCCCTTTCCACTGATGTCCTGTCAGCTTGTCAGACAGACATCAGGGCCTGGATGAGTGCAGATTTCCTGCAGCTGAACATCGGCAAGACGGAAGCCATGCTCTTTGACTTCCGTCATCATCTTCTTTCCTGCGGGTCTGAACTTTTCAACCTCCCCGGGCTCTCCCTCAGACCCACCAAACCCGTGCGCAATCCAGGCGTCAGGTTCGATCCCCAGCTTTTCTTTCCCCCCCACATCCATTCCACCTCCCACATTGCCTGCCTCCATCCATACCTCGCATCCACAGCAGCCGAAACCCTCGTCCATGCCTTTGTCACTTCCCAGCTGGAATTTTCAAATGCCCTCCTCGCCGGCGTGAAGGGCGCTATACAAATGCAAGTTGTTGTTGTGTAATCAATTTGTGATTTCACTTGTTTAATTCACAAATGGCAAGAAATCCCACTTGAGGCTCGATTTACTCTCCATGTAGCGTTATTCAGTGTGCTGAATGCAAACCGCAAAAGAAAACGGGCTTGAAAATTAAGACTGTTTTGAATTTATCACATTCAGCACATTCAAGTTCTTTTAAGCACTTACAAAAAGTTTAGATAGAATTCAACAATTTGTCAAATTCTGTACACTCTAAAATGCTGCATAAATAGAGTAAATCCAGAATTTTCCCCCAAAAGAATTTTAAAATTGTTAGGCAAAACTGTTTTGGGTAATTTATCATTCTTTTAGGCTACTCTGACAAATCAAATAATGCCTATTATTAGCTTTGGCAGTGTGTTCTGGTTTGCAGACCATCAGCCCATATTGGATCATGTGTTTTCTAAGCTATTTCTGGAAATCATTAAGACAAACACTTAATTGGTATAATTGATGCTATGCTTTCTTTCTGACCTACAAACTGCATGCAATTTAATCATTTATTTTGTTGCAGTTTTTGTAAAAGTTAATCAAAGTTTATTGCCACTCTGCTATCAAACCTAATTTTGGCATTGATGAGTAACAAGAATAACAAAATCCAACTTCCCCCCATGAATAAGTAACAAAACCCCAAATATCTTCTGGCAAAACGTTTTCTCGGGCTGTTGGTATTTAACATTGATTCTTGAGGGAGATTGATATATAATTACCTTAGAGTGTGAGGCTCACTCTTCATTCTAAATTAATACAAATTTATTTTATTTTATTGGTGTTTCATCTTTTGGTGGTAAGGAGTTCTTATCAATCTATTACAGATCACCCTGGATTCTTTTTTCATATCTATTTAAAAGACAGATCCAGAGTCCAATCTTTTCAAATTAGGCATATTAAGAAACATTGTACGATTTGGGGAAAGGTCATACAGTATTTTGGCAAGTCAACAATTTTAAGATAAAAAATCTTTTTTTCTACATTTAGATAATTTGTGAAAAATCTAAAGGATTCACAGAAGTTGATTTATGTATTTTCTACAGATGGGCCTTGGGAAAACTATTCAAGCAATTGCAGTAGCGTACATGTATAAAGCGGAATGGCCCCTACTGATTGTGGTCCCATCTTCTCTCAAGTACCCTTGGATAGAAGAGATTGAAAAATGGATCCCTGAATTGAATCCTGAGGATGTCAATCTTATTGACAATAAAACTGACATTGGGTGAGTTTTATGAATCAAATGTAGTACCAATTTTAGTCAACAAGTAAGTCGCTGACACTGAAGAGCCATTCAGAATATCATGCTAATGCAGACAGCTCATTTAGCAACAGAGACTAATGTCAGAATTTCTGCCATTAAGATAAAGATACAAAAATATGGTAAGCAGCAAACAAATGTGCCAAAATAAAATGCTTGTTTTAATTAATTGCATATTTTCAGGAAACTGTGTTCAATGTGAAACAAACTTTGGGGAAAAAAATTTCTTCTCAATCAATCATTCGATCATGTTTTTTTTCCTAATTTTTTTTTAATAATTAGAAAATAATTCAACAAATTGGATGTGTAGACAGTGTCAGAAAAAAATAGAATACATTGGAGTTCAGGTTGATTCTTGTGACAACAATTTGCATTTATATAGCGCCCTTCATGCAGGGGAACGTCTTGAAGCTCTTTACAAAGACAGGGTCGAACACCAACATTATTAAGAGAGCAACAATGCATTTATTTTATGCAATGTTTGACCTGAGAGTACTCCGTGCTGATACAGGATCTAAAAGTCCCTTAACATTGCTCAACATGATTACAAAATGATCTCTCTCTCCCCTTGTCAAGAAAAATTGATATATTATTCTGTCAAATTATATATTATCCCCAATTGAACAACATTGTTTCAGGATTGTCAAGTCTACTTTATTTAAAAAATTGATTTTAAATTGTATAATGGCAAATTAATAAATGCATCCCAATGATTTGAACTCCTTCAAAATGCATTAAGAGATTTATTTGAAAATGCTCAATTTTGGGAAATTTGTTTGCCATGCAACTAGAAAACCAAATTGAACTGATTCATGTTCAATGCTTACTGCCTTAAACAGCACTTTGTTAAGGCAGTAAGCTTACAAGATCGCTCTGCTCCCAGTCTCACCGTGCGCATTTGGCTGCCGCCCCTGACATGACCTGAGCCACCCCCTCCCAAAATGCCCTCGCTCCTCCTCCCCACCCTTCGTTACTCCCATTCGGACCTTCTCTCCCTCCTAGACCCTTCCATGGACACCCTCTGCTCCAGTTTGGGCATCCTCTGCCGGGCTCACCGTGGTACTCATCGATAGTTGTCCCAGAGCATCCATCCCGACTGCCCCATCACCCATCTACTCAGCAAAGCCCTCCCCCACCTCCGACAGGCTTACCCGCCTTCTCTCATATGAAGCCCAACACCCGCTTGCTCGAATCCTTCCCACTCTGCTTCTGCTCACTCAACTCCCCCTCCTCTACCCATTGCTGGCTGACAACCAACCAGTCCCACTCTCCCTCAAAACCACTGTCATCACTCCTCCTTAAACAACCTACCCTTGATCCCTCCAGCCTCATCACAAACCTGCCCTTCCTGGCAAAGGTTTTGGAAGGGGTCATTGCAAATGAACTTCGCTCACACCTCTCCCTCCACTCCCTAATCAAACCCCTCCAGTCTAGTTTTCGCCCTGTCCCCAGTACAGCGCTCGTCAAAGTAACAAATGACAGCCCCTCTTTCTCTGTGACCAGGGCTCTCTCTACCTCCTCGTTTTCCTGGACCTCTCCACCGCATTTGATACAGTCGATCACCCAATCCTCGTCGAACGCCTCTCCTCCCTTGTTCACGTTAGTGGTACTGCACTCGCATGGTTTGAGTCCTACTTAACAAACCACCAACGATACATCTCGGCAAATAGTTTTTCCTCTAGCCCCCACCCGGTCACCTGTGGAGTACCCCAAGGCTCCATCCTTGACTCCCTTCTTTTCCTTATCTACATGCCACCTCTCGGCAATGTTGTCCGCAGACATGGAGTCAACTTCCACATGTATGCGGATGACACACAAATCTACTTCTCCTCACTCTGCGACTCCAGTCCACTGATGTCTGGTCAGCTTGTTTGGATGAGCGCAAATTCGTGCGCAACTAAAGCATCAGGTTCGATCCCCAGCTTTCCTTTCTGCTCCTTTCCCAACTACTCATCCGCACAAATCTACATACCCCCATCACACCAGTCCTTACCAGGCTCCATTAGCTCCAAATTACAGAACAGATCGTTTTCAAGATCCTCTCACTCGTTTTTAAATCCCTTCATGCCCTCCTGTTTGTCCCTCGTCCCCTCTTCTCCACCGTTGGTGGCCGTGCCTTTAGCCACTACGCCCTAAAACTCTGGAACTCTCTCTCTCAATCCCTCCACCTTGCCTCCTCCCTCCCCGCTTTCGAATCCCACCTAAAGACCTTTCTTTTTGTTTGTGCTTATGGTCACTTCTTCCCTCCCTATCCCCCTGGCTCGGCGTCAGACTCCGCAACTTTCAAGCACTCCAGGACGCTGTCCCACGTGAAGGGCATTATATATATGCAAGTTGTTATTGTTTTCACTGAATGTTGTGTTTTCATTCCATCCTATATTTTTACTGTGTCAGCTCCAATCACTCTTACAACTACTTACAACAACAACAAGATTACATTTGTATAGCGCCTTTCATGTCGGGAGGACGTCCCAAGGTGCTGGACAGTGTACAACATTTCAGACCCGAGCTGGGGTCGGGAAGGGAGAAGAGAGCGAGGGGAAGGGGGGTGACCGATGGTCGAAGAGGAATTTAATCCATATTGCTCCAAATTCTTAACGAGTCTGCAATTTTTTTCCCCAGTCCCCAGCTATCATATGATATTAGGGCTCTCCTGTGAAAGGATATGGAGAGAAGGAGATGAATGTTTAGATCACTATGGCTGAAAGAAATGGGCCTACCAAGCTTTAAGACCAAAGTTGAACCTATTCTTGGTGACTAAGCTATTTATATTACAAACTATTCCTGGTGATATTTTATTTGACTAGAGTAGGTCGCTCCAGTGGGAGAGCTATCATTGTAAAGTAGATAGGATGAATGACTTCCATCTGTGCTGAAACTTCTATGATTCTATAATTAACACTTTCTTGTACTGTGAAATATCTGCTTTCTGATAGGAAATAAATACGGCTTTCTCCTCCATGCTTCTAACTTGGGTTGAACGTAATTTCTGTCTTTTTTTCCCCCTCCCCCAGTGATGTTTCCCTTGAAGAATGAATAACCTTATTATGAAAAGCAAATGCCCTTCCCCCGATTGTAGACATTTCCTGAGGGAAAGTGATTCCATCATGTTTGATAAATGACAAGAGTTCATCTTGACTTTGTGCCACATACTGTAAACCCCGAACCACAGGGTTCTTCTCATTCTACTTGCTTTATCAGTTCAAAGCTTAGATTTATTCAGAAGTTCTGCAGCATTTCTTCATAAAACATATCAATGTGTAGCTATTATAATAACCATAGCATTAGCACAAACATATTTTCTTTGTTGACATTTCCCACTCCTTATAAAGCTTAGGAAAACAGAATCTAGCTACGAAAGAGTGAATACAGAGAATAAAGCTGTGCTTTAAAGGGGTATCTTGCCTATGTCGAGAGGAAATCTTGAGACAGAAAAATCATTTCTCTTCACAATACACCCCTAGATATATAGAAGGGAATTATAGCTATAAACCTTTGAGCTGTTTGTAGAAAAGAATAATCTCTTTATTACATTATTCTGGATTCTCCTCTTCCTGGGATATCTGATGATATAACCCACAGATGTTAGCTATGTTTATTCTGTAGACTCCATTGTATTGGTGGAGAGGGGCTGCTTTGGAGTGCTTCTAAAGCAGTCCATACCTAGAAAAACTTTTAACAGCTATCAATTTTCACTGTATTTCACTCTTATGGCTGCCAAGGTCGTGCAAAGTTCTAGTTTGGCACCCTGGAGTCCCAAAAAGATTTGCAACCAGAATTCATAAGCCTTTTACGACACTTCCAATTTAAATCCACGCTTTTTTCCTCCAAAAATGAAACCAGTTGTTTTGTTCATTGACATTGATGATCTCTGATTTCAAGTTGCTTTATTAAAGTGAGGATTTAATGAAATGCCCACTTGAGGATTTCTCATGTAAACCACACAATCTGCCAATCTGCTTTGGGACAATGAAAACCAAATTATGTGAAGGACCTGAAAACATAAAGTCACTTACTCCCCCCCCCCCCCCCCCCCCCCCCCCCCCCCCGGCGTGGTAATCTGTGAAGTTTGAGTTTTAAAAAATGCTACACCTTTTTAATGGTACTTGAATTGAAAGGTTAACCTGGAACAATTGTCAAATTATTATTTGCCGGTTTATACCATGCAATAATGATTAAAACTCTTTTTTTAGTGAAGTAAAGAAAACATTTTCTGGGAAATGTACATTGTTGCTATCAACTCCCAATGCAGCGAATTAGTTCCACAATTGATGGCATAGGGAACAGAATTCCTCCACTTGTACCAAGTAGTGCAAATGTAGTGCTTTATTATATAGGTGTTTTTGTGTAAAAATAACACTCGTGTTCCAACAGCTTAGTTGTTAGGCAAAGAGCTTATTATATTGTGCCAGGTATCAGTTATTTATGTTTATATTTTCCACAGGAGAATTCAAACCAGTAAGGTCACCATATTGGGTTATGGCCTTTTAACCACAGATGCACGCATGTTAATAGATGCTCTCTGTGAACAGCATTTCCAAGTTGTTATCGTTGACGAATCCCACTACATGAAGTCACGTAATGCAGCACGAAGCACCATCTTGGCACCTATAGTGCAAAAGGCCGCTCGAGCAGTCCTCTTAACTGGAACTCCTGCACTGGGTCGCCCTGAAGAGGTGAGTTTGCTAATTTTATTTTTATTTCTAGAAATTTTATTTTTGAGACTTATTTGATTTTTTTTAATACATTTTCATAAGGAATATATCAGTAACAACATTAATCTGTAAATATTGAAAAAAAACAATCTCCAACATGTTCGGCGATATAAAGCCACTGATTTGGCCACTGGGATTTATGTGTAGTTTCTACAAGCCACAGGAAAAGCAAGCTACCCATTTTTAACAAAGTCTAATTTACAAAATTGTCCCTAACCAATATCAAAACATTATTTATCACAGTTCAGGCTAAATTTTTGATTACTTGATTAAAAACCTGTCTCTGCCCCCAATGCAACCATGGTAATAACTTTTATTTCTGAGATTTATATGCATAAATGACTTTGATTACACGATGCTGGGACTTTAAAAAATAATAATATATAAAACATTATAATTGAGTCATTTTCCCCATTCATTTTTGCAAAGATGTAGAAATAAGAACAGGACATTAAGAACAAATGCATGAAGAAGTCAATTCTAGTTGTGTTGCGTCAGGTGTTTGTGCGAGATACTCATTTTAAAATGTCTCCTTCCTGTTCTGGACTCTTCAGTTGCCTGTATAGTAAAGGTAGGCAGCCAGACACGAGCACTTCGTATTTTACGTCACTTAAGTCACACTTTTTATTCACTTGGGTATTTTAGATTTGATGTGTTCAACTCATAGTACGATGGCAAAATTCAGCTTATTTTAAAGCAATGCCATGCACCCCTCCTCCTTTTAGGTGTTCCATGATTTCAGTTGTTCAGTTCTCATTGTTGTGAGAGACAGTGTTCTCATTTGGGTAGATGACTTAGGTACTTAAGTAGGTGAATGAACGAATGTGAAGAGAGAGAGAAAGGTAACTTGGTATCTTTGATTGAGTAGATGTAGATAAGAAATCAGTGAGTGCAAAAATCTGTGCAGAAGTTATATTAAGGATATCATCTATTATATTTTGAATTCTGGATTTTCAACATCACCTTGCTCTGACTACTAATGTCCTGTTTATTCCTTCATAGCACTTCTGTTTCATGTAAGATTTTTTTTCAGTGCTGATAGTTGTGCTATTTTTAACATTTCCCATATAAGAAATGACTTGATCCCAAGGGTAAGATGACTTGAGGCACTTTAACAATAATGCCAACGCATTTGCTATATTGTATTTCTCCGATCTCAGAGGCAGTTATTTAAAGTTAATTGGTATGCTACCTGTGCATTTTTTTAAAAAGCAGCAGTTAGCTTGAATCAAAATATAATTAATTTATCAATTAAAATGCCACAATGCTATATTGTACTCATCGTTTAGTATATCATGGAGATCAGAATCCATAAAGTCGCTTCCAATATTTGGAACTCTTGATTCCTGAAATTGAAGTCCAAAATGCTTCCCACTGAAAAGGCTGAAAATGTTTGGGCAAATTAGCTTCATCTTGTCCTCAATTATCTTGCACATAGAAACATCCTGGAACCACCACTACACATCCTGCAGTGATCAAAAATTAGAATCCTAGCTACTTTTTTTCTGTTTAACACAGGATTGCTGAGGCCATTGTTGCATCCTGCTGTCATTAACTAATTGAACCATGGTGGGAAGGGGTAGGGAGGAGGAAGAGCAAGTTCAAACATTGCATACAACAGCAACTTGCATTTAAGGGCACCCTTCACATAGGTTTGCATCTCTGGAACTGAAACATTCATTCAGTCATAGCAGTGGTAATATGAAGGATATTAAATATGAAAGTCTAGCTGTTTTCAGGGTTTTAATTTTCGTTTTATATATTTCTATAGCTTTTCATGCAGATTGACGCTTTGTATCCACGGAAATTTGGGACTTGGTCTGAGTATTCGAAGAAATATTGCAATGCTCATGTTAGGTAAGAGAGGCAATCCATGCTAAATATAACTAATATTAATTCACCTAAAACCGTTTTTTTCCACAGAACATGTAGAGAATCTAATAATCTACTGCAAACTATGTGGTGAAAATGGAATTAGTCTTAAGAGTCAAAAGAGAGATTTTCTTGAGGTTCAGCGCAATTCATTTATTTGTTATTTGCTATCCCTATACTTTAAATGATGTGGCCAATAGATGGTATTATTTATAATCTACAATGAATCACCTGAGTTAGTGGAGTGGATCAATTGAAATTCAGTCAATTTCTGTTGTGCTTAATGTCTGTCTGCTGAATAAACCAATATTATCAATTGATTTGTCACTGAGTGAACTAGTGTGATGTTGCAATATTGCATAAACATTGAGAGTTGACAATATTGTGATAAGATAAGCACTTCTATGTTATAATAATGGTTTAATTTGACCTAGCCCTTATTGAAACGTTTTATAGCCAAACGTTGTGACTATTGTTTGTAGGTAAACACAGCAACAACTTGCACTTGTATAGCACCCTCCATGCAGGGTAGCAGCTCAGAGTGCTTCTAAACTAATTTATACACGGCAAGACCTCAAGTAATAATAATAATAATCGTTGCATTTGATATAGCGCCTTATCATGTCTTCGAAATGACTCAAAGCGCTTCACAGAATATACTGTAAAGTGAATTGACTATATTTTGCGGGCAAAATGCGGAAGCCGATTACACACAGCAGTGTCCCACAAACAGTCTTGGATAGAGTGACCAATTTATTATTATTTTTTGAAGGAATTATTACCCCCGGAAAAGTGATGCGACAATCGACTAACAACCAGACTAACTTACTGCTACGTAAACAGAGGCGCTTGGAGTAAGGAAACTTGCCCAACGTTTCGCCCTGCCGGGAATCATACCCAGGTCTCTCCCTTGCGAGACGAGTGCTCTAACCACTGAGCTACAGTAGCCATGAAGTGAAAATACAATTTATCTGGAAAATTGTTGGCCAGGATTTCTCTTTCTGAATAGGGTCATAGCATTTCAACATTTCTTTGCAAATACAATAGATCTGTGATATAAATAAAATTGTGCACAAATTGACTGTGTCGTTCACATACAAAATACACAATCACTAAACTTTACAGTTTGATGAGAAAATTAGCACATGAATATCTGATATTCAGTCATACTTTTAATATGATTTCAGTTATATGGTTGATCATAAAGCTAAATTTCGAGTTATTTCCTACAAACATGTCCAGAAGCTCACTCTTGATTGGTCAAGTATTAAGGTGTAATGCTTAGTTAGAAATCTCAACAGGTTCCCAGTTATATTACAGGTGGGTGCTGATTAACCAACCTCAGCTAGAAGAATAGGAATCATCCGAATTTACTTTAACACCTCTGGGCGTGGGATTAAACATTTGTTAGGGTTCTTGATTGTTATCCAGAGCCTCCTGCAGGGATATGGGTAAACAATGTCTGCAACAGAGTTGGGCTTGGCTATGATTTATGTCCAAGTAGCCTGGCAGCAATGATTAGGATCAGTTAAAGAACGGAGACGGGGGCAAGGTGCCAGAGGGTAGCCAACACTGAAACCATACTCGTCATGCGTCAATACCTCCAGGAGGCGAGCAGATTGGCAGAAGAAGGGGTCTCACAAGTCCAGCAGTCATTATTTTAAAAACATAATTTTGTATAAAAAAAATCGAATTAACATATTGGTCTGTAATATTTTGCAACTTATCTTTTCCACAATAGGCTTGAGAAAAATTGACTTGATATTTTACCTCCAATGCTGTGACAGGTATTTTGGCAAAAGAGCTCAGTGGGATTGTAAAGGAGCCTCCAACTTAGATGAACTTCACCTCTGCTTGAGCAAAATAATGATCCGCCGAATGAAAGATGAAGTTTTGACACAGCTACCGCCCAAAGTTCGACAGCGAATTCCATTTGATTTGGGAAAAGATGCTTCTAAAGTGAGGTTTTTATATAATGATACAGGCTTTAACAGAATCTTCATGTTGAATTATCTATATTATTGTGCATTCATTTTTCTTCTCAAGAAAAAAAAATGTTTTCTAGGTTACTCACGAATGTTAAGGATTTCAGTTTTAAAAAAGAATGATGAGCTATGTCACACAGATCTCTCATCATTTTCACCATCTTCTATACATTGCTTAAATCCTCTCCTCAGTTGTGTCTTAAATTTGTAATGGTTTTTATATTTAAATTTCCCTTTTACTCTACTGCATTAACAACCCTATCAAGCAACAATTTTTTTTAATATTTGCTGCATGCCTTATCAAAAATATATTTTTAACTTTTCTGGGATTTGATTATTCCGTGTCATATGGTCCCCATTCTCGTGAGTTATGAAATTTATGAAAAAATAGAATCAAGAAGAAGTGGAATAGAATTCTTTATGGCCCACATTTGCACCTTGTGACGGGAAGGGACAGCAATATAGGAAACCCTTTTACGTCTGAAAATTATTTGTGTTATGTATTTTTATCCAATTTTTTGTGACCTCTTTCCTTCATTGTACAATTTGTAATACGATGCATCAGAAATTCTTTCGGTCAGTTATTCTAAGATGGTATACAACCCATTTAATACAGTAATATGTAGAAGCTCTCAATAAGGAAATTTCAAAAATAGCAAACTTGAAATAGTTAAACAATAAAAAAAATCTAAGATGCCCTATTATTTTAAGGTTATAGACAAAAAATAAATTTCAGTTAAACTCAGTCTCTGGTTTAGTGTATTAGAAAGTTATCTACAACAACAACATCTAGAGTCTTATCTGTAATAAAATAACCCATTTTGTAAACTGCAAAATTAGAAAATTGAATGAATAATCGTAAAAATGTACACAGATAATGACGAATATTCTGTGGTTCAGCAGTTGTATGTAAAATCCTTGATTTATCTTATCTTGTAAATTGATATATTGTGAAACATCAAAGTGGACAAAAGATATGTTGTCGGTAATTGAGTGGAGCGCTTCAAAATACCTTTCTTAGATATTTGAATTGCTTGAAAGCCTATTTTTTTCTCTTACATTTGGTTAAAACTGTCTTAATCTAAAATTCTGTGTCACAAATGTATTTCCTGGTTATATGACTGGACTTTCTAACTTTCTAAATACTTCACAATTTCTCCTTGAAAAATTCTAGGTCCTTGATTTATGATGGCAGAGTAAAGAATTTCCATCTTCGCCCCCAGCCTGTCATAAGCTTCTATAATTGGATGGGCCATGTGACTGACCTATACAGCATTGACGTTTTTGCAGGAGCCGTCTTATATCTCTGGGAATTTTCCTGCTCTTTTTCCCTCTGCTCTCGTACAAGAAATTGGGGCATGCATCACAGATCCATTAATTGCTCTGCCCTTTTTTGTTCAAAACATTGTTCTTTCTGCCCACGTAGGAAATGAATGCCAGCATCGAGGAGTGGGAGAAATTAATGAGAAAGCTGCATTCGTGTTCTACAGAGACCGATAACCCCTTTATACAAGTCATGGGGCTCATCACTCACATGTACAAACAAACTGCTATTGCAAAGGTATTGCCATCAACACTTAATTGCACTGTAGAATTCGTCATTTTACAAACTGTTTCAATGTAAATGAAATGCAGAGTTTAAATGATTGACTGGATTAGCTAAGAATATAATGCTATATTTGGAATCCTAACTTTCAAGGGAAAACAAGATATAAATATTTGCAGAGTGAACCATTTTTCTTGAAATTTCTGAGATTGGTTGTAGTGTGATTTTTTTAAAGAAAAAACTTGAGCAGGTTTTTTTTCCATTCAATTTTTTTTACAATATTATTTGCACATGTTAAAGCTGTCGCTTTTAATTTTAATTATAATTCTCCTATTTTTCATCATCTGAATGTAGAGGATGGTACATTTTGGTTTATGTGCATTTTCACAGTTAACACTCATGCTATTTCTTAACATGTCAGAAAGTGCACTTGAGCAGCGTAGAAAGGGACCACAGTCTGTTTTCGCTCTTTCTTGCTCTCACACACCCAAATCTGCCAATCACTATGCAGAGAATACCTGAGAGTGAGTGTCAATGTGCATTAAAGTTTGGTCTCTTACCTCCAGTTGAGTCAATCCCCCAATTATATTGTATGCTAGTTGTTAGTGAAATCCAGTCTTTCATTATTGGGGGCCTTGTAACCTTTGTGTACTTATTTCAACAAACCAAATTGTGAAACTGAGAACTCCAGATTGTTTCAGGCTTTATACCCAACACTCTCCTTGCCTGTCTCATGAAAGTGCTGACTTGCGCTCTCTCAAAGCTCTACAGACACAAGCTACCATCTGGTTCCTCCTCACTCATGTTTGATCCTAGATATGAATATTCACCATGGGAAAATTTGAGAACAGCCCTATGCTGACATTACCCAACCTTCCTTCACAAACTTCAACAGTCCTGTAGCTCAGTGGTTAGAGCACTCGCTTTGCAAGTGAGAGACCTGAGTTCAATTCCAGGCAGGGCGAAACCTTGGGCAAGTTTCCTTACTCCACACGCCTAATAATAATCCCTCCAAAAAACCAAAAACAATAATTAAATTGGTCATTTTCAATCTACGACTGTTTGTGGGACATTGCTGGGACATGTTATTACTCTTCAAGAAGCATTTCAGTAATGACCTTTAACTTGATTCTAAGTACTATAGTTCAGGGGAACTTCAATAAGGATCTGAAATAACCCCAAATCCATTTCATGAACTGTTACTTCATATCCATGTGGAGTAGAAAAGGGCAGTTCCCTTACTGATGACTTCACCTTATCCTAACATTCATTACAAACCCTCAAACTGAACTCTTTTCCTGCACTGCTGACATTTGTGAATTGTTGTCAATTATTTTGTTATATGCAATAGTTATCATTCTATAAAAATGCTCACTCCATCTTAATACTTTATAGAATGCCACAAAGATTTGAAATGCTATTTTGACAAAATGAAAAGGGAAGGTATATACACCAGAGAAAATCGGTGTTGATTAAAGTTTTTTTGGAAAAAAATTGTATTCAGCTTTCTCCTCCATATAGTCTTCTGGATCCTCATTCTGAATGTATTGTGAGAGTACATGACTACAGATACCGATTCCTGTTCTACCACCTCATTGTTTCATCTCTTGGAAATTTTGCCTCTGCTCACCAGTGAATTTGACAACCCATTCAAGATTATCGGTTTGTTGAGGGATAAGAGCATTGGCTTCTCCGCCCATTAGTACAACATACATTACTATGTTGCATTACTCAGTTACCCGCATTTATTAATTTATGCGGTGAGAGTCAGAAAGAAGCACATTTTTTTTCCAATTGAGTTTTGAATATGGATCAGGAAACTTTTGTTAATGCTGATCCATCTGGATGTTTTGTTTCTGTTACAGACTACACAAGTGAAACAGATTCAGATGTACTATTTCAGTAGTCCAAATCCAAACAGCTATATGTGTGAAAGTTTGCTTTTCAAAGGCTAGAGTTTACCTCTATTTAGAATGAACAGGATTGGGAGTAGTTGGTGTTATCCTAGCATGAAACACGTGATTTATAATGTTATAAAACTGCATAGCGCAAATCATCATAAATTTTACATATGTTTTCTTTAGGCAGGAGCAGTGAAAGACTACATTAAAATGATGCTGCAAAATGAAAAACTGAAGTTCTTAGTGTTTGCTTATCATTTGAGCATGCTCCAAGCTTGCACGGAAGCAGTCATAGAAAATAAGGTATTAAAATTATTAAAGCAATTTCATCTTTTTAACCAATAGTTTGGGTTTTAATGTGACAAAAATAGTTCATAGGATATTTTTTCCTAAAGCAAAATTGAATTAAATCAATGACAAAAAGCTATAATATAATTATAACTAGATTTTTGCTGATTTCATTGTAAAGGCATGCTATTTTAGTTCCAATCCACTATGATCCAAGTGATTGATCCCACCTGAAAATCAGCAATCATTATGTTGTATAAGAACCAGAGTGAACCATTTGGACCATTGAGCGAGCTTGTCATTTTATTAATCCTTCATTCATAACTGAAGCTAATTCACTGATTTTTGGATCTTCCTCTCTTAAAAGTAAATTTTAAGTTTTATGAAATGTCGTGGTGCTGAAGTTTCAATCTAGTGATTCCTAACTTTTCTATTATAAGAATTATCTCTTCATTCCCCATGACCCGCTCTGCCTTCCCCCACCTCAGCAACACCGCCCGGCTCCGCCACTGTCTCACACCGCAGGCCGACGATACACACATTCATTACATCCAGGCTTGACTATGCAAACTCCCTGCTTTTTGGCCTCCCCAAATTCTCCCTCCATAGGCTGCATATCATACAAGACTCTGCAGTGAGTGTACTCTCCCGCACCAAGCTCTGTGGCCCTATCACCCCCATCCTCGCCCAACTCCACTGACTTCCCATCACACAGAGGACACAGTTCAAGATCCTTGTCCTCACCTTCAAAGCCGTCCATGGCCTCGCTCCCCCTCTGTGACCTATCAACCTGCCCACTCCTTTCACTCAGGGGCTCTGGCCTGCTTCACATTCCCTGCCTCGCCCGCCCCACTATTGGCGGGCGGGCCTTCAGCCACTCTGCTCCTACCCTCTGGAACTCCATCCTGCAGTCTCTCCGCCTCGCCCCCTCCCTTGCCTCCTTCAAGACCCATCTCAAGACCCTCCTCTTTGACCGTGGTTTCGATCACCCTCCCTCCAACCTCCCCAATCCCGACTCCCAGCTTTGGGGGCCCTGACTGTCCAGCACCTTGGGACATCCTCCCGACGTGAAAGGCGCTATACAAGTGTAATTTTGTTGTTGTTGGTGTTATATTAATTTCCAAAGTATGTTCATATTTTGTGTGAGAAATAGTTTTTTGTCAGTTAAAAAAAATGGGAGCCAGATTATAGGTTAACCTATCACTTAATAGATATAGGAAATAGAATAAAGTATACAGAACCTCCTTATGTTGCTCCCTGACAGGAAGGCAAGACCCATTAGGGAAATTAGATGTCATTCTGAGCTTAAGATCTGCTTCCTTCAGGGTAAGAATTGAGGGGGAAAAAGGCTTTCTGCACATCAGAATTTCTTGTATATGAAGGCCAAACTAAAAAAAATTAGAAAGATCATATTACATATACCATATATATATGTAAGGTATGACCGTATCTTACCCCAAATGCAGCTGAAACCTTCGTACGTCCTCGCCAGTCTCGTCAGCTGCACCATTCAAAAGATCCAGCTCATTCAGAACTCTGCTGCCCATACACTGACCCGGAACAAACTCTGTACCCACATCTCATCAGTTCTGGCCAGGCTCCACATCACCGAAGGATCAGCTTCAAGGTCCTCACACTCATGTTCAAATCTCTTCACTCCCTGGCACCTCCCTATCTCTCCAACCTCCTCACTCCCCAATCCACCGCTTGGTCCTCCCATTCGACTGGCACCAGCCTCCTGCTCGTCCCCCGCACCCTCTGCCCCACTATCGGAGGTCGCGATTTCAGCCACTGCGCCCCAAAACTCTGGAACACTCTCCCTCAATCACTCCGCCTTACCCCCTCTCTCCCCTTTTTCAAGTCCCGCCTGAAAACTTTCCTCTACGACCGTGTTTACGGCCACCTTCCCCCCCCCCCCCAGTTCGGAGTCAGGCTCCACCACTGTTAAGCACTCTGAGACTCTACCTTGTGTGGAGGGCGCTATATAAATGTTATTATGTGTGTGTAATTGTAGTTAATCTATCCCTTGCCTCAATATAAACTTGCCTTTTAGAACAGTAGAAATTGTGGTTTGAACAAGTTATGGTTTGGAAAATAAGTGTTAACGACAATCTTACTGGAGTCATTGATGCCTGAAATGTGATTTTTGGATGTTGTCAATGGCTGCTCATTGAGTGTAATTACTAAATCTGGTGGTTTAATTTAAATTTTCAATAACTTGCTTCTTGAGTTTGGTCTTTTGCAACAAAAGCAGTCTGCTCCTTCCACTCAGTGGGCTCCAGCTTGCTTCACATTTCCCGCTTCGCCCACCCAACCATTGGTGGGCAGGACTTCAGCCACTCTGCCCCCACCCTCTACATAAAGGTTTATATATTTAGCCTCATGTTTGTTGAAGACCGTCCCCTCATTGTAAAATCAGAAATGTTATAAATGATGTATTTTAGTTTTAGTCCGGTTTGTCTGTGTTGTGTATTGTGACAGCTGGGATAGATTTTGCTTAGCGGGCTATAGCTAGGTAATTCAGAAATTTAGTGTCTTATGGATTTATACTTTAATTATTTCAGGCTGTGTGTATTTTTGCTAACCAAATGTACAGTCAAATCTGTAGTAAATTCTACCTTATAAAATGGTCCTAAAAAATTCACTGCACAAAAAGTACTTTAATGAGAAAGTATTCTGTTTGTTATTTCTATTCCTTAACAGAGTGTTAGAAACATCTGAGTTACTCTGAGTAACATGCAGAAACCTGAGTATATTCTGAAATCAGAAATTATTTTTTGTCAAGAAACTGAGACATGTTAATCTATTCCTCCCATCTCAGTATATCAAATTGTTTTACATCTTCAATAATGTCCCAACACCGCAAGAATGTTTCAGGTTGGACCAGATTACTGTCCAATGTTACAGTTCTGATGCATTACACTTTTATTTTCAGTAGATAAATATGAAATCCTGTGCAATTTCCATTTTTTTTAGGTGGGGTACATCCGAATAGATGGTAGCGTCCCATCGTCAGAAAGGATTCATCTTGTCCATCAATTTCAGAATGATCCAGACAAGCGCGTAGCAATTCTCAGTATCAAAGCTGCTGGTCAGGTATGACGAGCACTTTATTGGGAAAGTTATCAAAACCTACAGATTGTTTTGAAGATATGTGACTTTTGCTAAATAAATAGATACTACACGTAGTATTAAATATGTTAGAAAACACATTAAACCTGTTAACTTCTCAACATTTCTCCAGAGACCAGGGCAAACTTTATTTCTATCACTTTCACGGTTTTCCTTCTTGTACGTTTAGATTCTGTTTTATCTGCACATTTTTTTTACATATAAGATCAATCTTGGTTACTTTTATTTCCCAATTTTTTAATGTAGAAAAATCACCAGATGCATAATATGTAGATCAGATTAGCTCTCAGCCTTTAAGGTCCAACAACACAATCCACTTTATTAGCATTTTGCTTCCATTAGTTCATCTCTGCCTTAGTTACTATAATTGCCATTTGGGAAAGGAAAGGTAACCCAGCACTATTCTGTCAACTGGGCCCTTGGTTAGAATGTAGCTCAGCTAATGCCATTAAATGCCTCCGTTCTCTGCCAACTCTAAAGTTGAATGTATTTCAGCCTGTCTCTAGCAGTATGCTAGTAGCGCATAAATGCTCAAAAGTCAGCACAACCTGTTTGCCTTACTTGATGCTGATGTGGAAAAAGAAACATTTACAAATGATTAATCATCTGAGATGGAGTTTTACGCACACAGCTAGCACAGAGTGGAGCTTTACTGTATTTACTGTATACACCTACCTGGCTGTGATCCACCTGATCTGGATTCGTCTGAACAGAAAGTTCTTTGGTTTAATATGCGACCAGCTGGCATATTCTTCTTTCATTTAAATGTTCTATCAAAACACTAAGTGGTGCTGTATTTTAATTGTTCGGGGATTTAATGACTAACCACCATCATTTTTTGCAACAGAACAAGAATAAATAGAGAAATGCTTCCTCCTTAGGGTTTAACCTTTACAGCTGCTACACATGTTGTGTTTGCTGAGTTATACTGGGATCCTGGTCATCTTGTGCAGGCTGAAGACAGAGCTCACCGGATAGGTCAATCCAGCTCAGTCCACATCCATTACCTTGTCGCCAAAGAAACCATGGATACATTCATGTGGAGCATGCTAAACCGCAAGGTACAGTCTCACTGACAGATATGTGGATGTAAACATCTTTAAAACATTCTAATACTTGATGTTTTTCAAAATATGAGCATGGACTGAAATACACAGCACACAAATTGAACAACAACAACTTGCATTTATATAGCGCCTTCCACATGAGGAGGATGTCCCAAGGCGCTGGACAATCGGGTTTGCATCTAAGCTGCGGGCTGGAGTTAAGTGTGGAAGTCAAGGTGGGTGGAGGTGGGAAGATGACCACAGGTGCGGTTGAAGAGGAAGGTTTTATGATGGGCCTTGAAGGGGTCAAGGGGGGGGGTGAGGTGGAGGGGCTCCAGGATGGAGTTCCAGAGGGTGGATGCAGAAAGGCTTAAAGGGCTGACCTTCGATGGTGGAGCAAGCAGGGCGGGGATCGTGAAGCAGGCTAGTACCCACCGAGCAGACATACGTACTTTCTGTGCCCATCTCCATGCTGACTACCTAAGATAAATTATATTTGTCATTCTGAAGGACTATTTGTACATTCTGTGGGATAGGCTGACCTGGTGTGATGCTGGGTACAGGAGTGCTGTCCTTTGGATGAGACATTAAAACAAGGTCCCATATTCTTGTTCAAATGGGCATTAAAGATCCCATGGCATTATTTGAAAAGAGAAGGGAGCTTCTCTCTTGTGTCAACAATCTGTCCAGATGAAATTGGTCATTCGTTTCATGGCTGTTTATGGGAAATCGCTGTGCTTGAATTGGCTGGAGCATTCACTTACAAATACAGTCACTACACATTACAATAAATCCTGTGAATCACTTTGAGATATTTCAATGACAAAGTGCAATACCAAATGTAAGGATTATTATATGAAGGATATGGAACTTTAACCAGTTACTCAGATCTGTGCAGTCAATTGATTGTAACCAAGGCAACAACCGTGCCCCAGCTTGAGCTATGTGTAATATTGTACCGGTGTCACAGATGTGTTCTGCAATTAAAGATGAAGATTTATTATGTTTTTAATGATCCAGTGGATAAGATGTCTGCTAGCTACACATACAAACACACACCGGCCTCTTTCTTGTGTGCCTCTGGCACTAATCCATGATGTAAGCAGCAATGATACAGGTGTATTATGAAGATGTTTTCTGACATCGTCTAATCCATACTAACCCTATTTCGAGGTTTGATTATATTTTACTCCTGAGCTACTGAGCGATTTTACTTTATGTTTCCTTTACACGGAAAGATTAACATGTTAGTGAGAAGTGATGAATTCTGTAACTTTCTGATTGCAGACTTGTGTTACGAGTAACACATTAAATGGGACAAAGAAATCTTTGGAAATCGAGGAGGCAGACAATGAGCAGTGGGATTTCCTGAATGCTGCGATGGCCTGGGTGCCAAATGATAACCTGCAAGGGAGCCAGGATGAAATGTTCTTCACTCATGTAAGAATAAATAGCATATTGTTTACATTGAATTACATAGAACTTTACAGCATGGAAGCAGTCCATTCAGCCCAACTCATACATGCCAATATTTCTACTCCACGTGAGCCTCCACCCCTCCTAATTCTATTCTTACATACACAGAGACCCATGCACATGCATCCAATACATTGCAAAAGGCCACATTAAAGCAAATGGTACTGAGAAGGTTCTAAAGAGTTGAACCTCCTAAGTCCTGGGTAAATTAGGTGGTTATACAACACACAAGTAAGATTGGTTTATCAAACAAATGCATTTGTAATGCAATCCATTTTTGAGCTATTTAGAATTGGCAGTTAGCTCTGTTTACAGATTGTTCTTTTCTGTGATTCCTAGTTCTTGACTAGCCTTATGGATGCAACCTTCATCTTGCGTAGAATGAATATATATTGCCACTTTTAAAACGTCTAATTAAAATCAGAGTTTAAAGCACAATGCCATGAAACATTTCCTGCTTATGTCTGCACATAAAGCTTGGAATCACAGCTTGCAATGCTAACTACATTCACATTAGATCCAAGATGTCGTGAGCGTGAAATTGTTCACTCCCCGGTTACTAATAACAAAGCTTCTGCAAAGGTGTGAAAATGTAGATCTTGACATTTAAGTAGCTGTTTTGTAAATTGTTTAACAGGATTCAAGCTTCGCCTGAATCATATAAAGTCATACAACAGCAAGTGTTCCTAGTTTCAACAGGCTAAAAACAAAAAGTTCTAATTTATTTTCATTATCTAAATGAAATGTAATTTTGTAAGTGGTTATAGGTTGGAATATTGCTGATAGGAACAGGGTTGCTCAGCTCCCTGGAGGTGAAAGCAGTTTCACAATGGGCATGACTAGCTTCATAATGGGCAAAGCCCCTCATCTGAGCACCTAGAGTAGATTGGAAGTAAGCTGGTATGCAGCATTAGACCTGGACCTCACAAACGCCAAAGTGGGATGTTGTAAGGGGTCCTGCATGGGTCTCTCACCACATTGAAGGCAAGATGTCAATCAAATAGATGAATATGTTCTGAGGCTTGGGATGACACGTGCTGGCAGCTGAAATAATAATAATAATTCTTGCATTTGATATAGCGCCTGATCACGTCTTCGGGACGTCTTAAAGCTCTTCATAGAATATACTTTTAAGTGAATTGACTATACATTTTGTGGTTGAAACGTGGCAGCCAATTGCACACAGCAGTGTCCCAAAAACAGTCGTGGATTCAGTGACCAAATTTTTTATTTTTTTGAAGGGATTATTACCTCCAGAAAAGCAATCCGCCGCCAATCAACTAACAATCAAGCTTGCCCTGTCTGGGAATCCAATCCAGATACTCTCGCTTGCGAGGCGAGCACTCCAATATTGTGAGATTATGAATACACTTTTATATATTGAGTGCATTTTGATTGGTGCGCATGGTGGTAAGCAGTTCCTGCTCAAGCTCTGCATTTCCAACTTTTGGAACAGTTGCTCAATTGGTAGGGATGTGGGCAGAAGGAGGGGCAAACTAGTTCATGGGGGCAGAGAGTCTTTCCATTCGGCTCCTGTTAATCATGCAAGCCAAAGCCCTGATGAGTAGGTTGTTGCAGCAGGAGCTTTCCAGACAGTGCTCTTAATGACAAACTATGCGGTTATAGCTGGTTAAACTCCAGTGGGATCCCCAACTCACACATAGGGGGCTACTAGGCCTTGGCTTTTGCCAGTTTGTGCCTAATTCTTTCTGGGATTTTAGGAAAGCAGGTGTGTGTCCCTCTAGGGAGAGAGTATACATTCCGTTCCAGTCACAGGAACATTTTGATATGTACAAGGCATATGTATGCATAACTGTCTGGTTTGATTAATCTTAAGCACGGCAATGGGTTTTCACATGTGACAGATGCCGAGTTGACCAAAAACAATTATAGCAACATTGTTACTTTCTACTGGAAAATGTCTCTGTATAATATGTAAATATAGTAGTTAACAAACTAAATTCCATGAACTTATTTGTGTTATGGTTGAGCGCTCTTGTTCCTAATTGAATCTTGTATTGTTTTAACGTTATTACATTGCCTTTGTTCAGTTTGAGAAAGAAAAACAACATGATATCCGCTCGTTCTTTTCATCAAAACGTGATCCTGCAGAGAAACGCAAGAGGACTCCATACAAGCTGGCATCCATCAAATCCTCTGACTTGTTTGAGCTACAAGAATTAACAGATTCCCCGAAAGCAATTCAGCACCCACAAGAACAGCTGAGTGGAAAAGAACCTGGTAAAAAGGACATAGATGAAGCAAAATCCCAAATAAATGATGCCGAGAGGTTACTGGAAACCGATTTTGAGCCACAAACTAAACGGTTTAAATCTTCATCCATGCTAGTCCGAAACGAGGCAAGAATGAAAAAGAGAATGTCTGAGGGTGGGAAGAAACCATCCCCACGCAGAGTGCAAGGAACTCAAAGGCTTCTGGAAGATGCACAGCTGCCAAAGAAGCTATGTGAAAATGAAAAGTGGAACTGCAGTGCATGTACATACGCCAATAATTCCTTAATGCCTTACTGTGAAATGTGTGACGTTCCCAGAGATGATGGTAAGCCCCTATTTTGTGCAGCTTACAAATGTCATACAAACCTATACTTTAAAAAAAAATAGGATTTGAGATTAAACTATCAAGTAATGTGGAATCTAAACAATTTAATTCAGCTAAAACAAATCATCGGGTTTCCTCAGTGGTTTGTGTAATCAAGAAATTGTACAAATCAAGAAATGTTTCAACTGACCCATTTTCTAACCCAGGTGATGAGAAAGAAAACAGTTTGGCTCAGGATAAAAATCCAGAAGAGAAAGAAAGTGAAGGAAGAAGCCAGACTGACTGCATTGTTCTATCTGACATTGAAGGTGAGCCAAAAGAACTATATACAGCACCCAGGCACTTCAATCGCGAAATGATGAGCAGCAGTGAGGAGATATCTGCAGATACTGTTCCTGTGAACATGAATGAAAGCAGTAACACTGTTCCAGTGGAAGAAAATGTAGACAATGAAAGTGCGAAGCAACCAGGTAACTTTTAATAATAATAATCCTTGCATTTGATTTAGCACCTTATTGCATCTTTGGGACGTCTCAAAGAGCTTCACAGAATATACTGTAAAGTGAATTGACTATTTTGTGGATGAAATTTTTGATCAACTTATCCTACATCCTAAATGGCAATTGTTAAGTCTTTATTTGAGAATGAAAGAGAGGCATTTATCCAATACAGCTCAAGCATGATGTACAATCTTTTCTATGTGTGGATGTAGCCCAAAGAATCTCTCTTTGTAACATTCCAGAGTCTTCATTCATGTCACTCATCTCTGAATTGGCTTCAATACATCATTGTCCTTTTGAAGGCAGTGTACTCAAACCAACACATAGTATTCCAAATGAGATCTACACAATGATCATACAAGGTTAGGATAACTAGTTTCAGATTATTTCAAGTGCCATAAAGTTTTATCCTTGTTGATTACCATTTCATATTGATGATAACTGTATATGATAAGTACGTGAAATCAATTTTCCTTTTCGACCTTAGCTCCAAGACCCACCATTTATCTCAAACCTTGGAAGAATCAAAGTGAAACATGGGTGCTTATTAAAAAGATGAAAATGAGAGACTTTACCATTTGGTCCCATAACCAACATCCACTCTGTTAGATAATTTAAAGGAAAAGTAATTTATCACGCAGCGTGTCTGGCGATGATGAATTGTTCCTTTGCTTCTCTGACAGGGAGGTATTCAGCTGACACGTTACTTATAGGCTGTAGGCTTTAGACTTCTAGACACATACAACAGATTTGTTTCAAGATTTATGCGGAGAAATTGTGTCTTCATGCTATTTTGGCACAGAACAGATTTTGATTGAAATTGCTAATAGAATTGAGTACTAATAAAATTCTAAAAGCTCTTATGGTGTCAAATGTCTCCCTAATGGACCATCAAATCTCCATGACTCCTTGATGCCATCATCTAGAAGTTGAAAACCATAATGTTTGAAACCAGTTTTTGTAGACAAAAATAATCATTTGAAACAAAAACCAAAACACTCTTGCAAGCTCAAAAATGTATGAAAAGTTTTTTTTATAACAACACTGCACAGTTATAGTTTAGAAATACTTCATTTTAACAGATAATGCAATTTAAATTAGAAAAGCTTAAATTCTGTGCATAAGCAAAGAAAACACATGCCTTTTGGCTATCACAGTATTTTTGTCTTACAGGGTGGTTTCGTGGTAAATGATAAAAATATTGTGTTTTGTAAAAGAGGAACTAATAGTGACATTTCTTACAAGTTACATTTTTTTTCTTTCTCTTGTTCAGAAAAAGTGGATATCCCCTGTGACAACAATATTCCTGTTTATGATGGTTTTGCATATTGTGCAAGCAAGCATACTGACAGAGTATATCTCTATACAAAGGTAAGTGGGCATATATATTCAGTATAGTGATATTGAATATATTTTAGATTTGAACTATTTAAGTCGCAAACAAAAGAGCACTCAGAAAGGTGATCAGCGCTTTGGGACATCCTCCCGACATGAAAGGCACTCTATAAATGTAATTTTGTTGTTGTTGTAGTGGTTGTCAGCTTCCAAGTGGACTAAATGGATACAGGACTTTAGAGCAAAAGTAAATTGTGTTTTCAGTAGAACAAACTACAGTAGAACCTCATCATAACATGTGTCTCGATCAGACAAGTTTGCTTATAGTGTGGACTTGTTAACATGAAAGGCATTTTTATCGCACAAATGTGATAAGCACATTTGATACAGCAATCATGCCTGGTTGGGTTTTTATCGATCCTCCCCAAACTATCGTGTCATAACCGGGTTTTACTGTAATATTGAAATTCCATTTATGCAAGAGGAACTGGGTTCAAGTCCCAGGCGGAGCGAAAACTTTGGCAAGTTTCTTTGCTCCACATGTCTCTGTTACCTAGCAGTAAGTAAGAACCCGGTTGTTAGTCGATTGGTAGAACATTTTCCAGGGATAATCATCCTTCAAAAAAAAGACATGTTTAAATAGCCTGCTGTGCTTCCTTCCATTTTATGAACCTAATTTCTATACAAGTATCGTTCAGGTCATTATGTAATGAAATGAAACCATGCTTTGTATTATTCCGTCTGATGTTTGATTGTCTAACCGCCAAAACCCTGAGGCTGCCGAAACCCTCATTCGTGTATTCGTCATCTCAAGGCTCGATTACGGAAACTGCCTCTTTGTTGGCCTCACCAACTCTTCCCTGCACAAGCTGCAGATCATCCAGAACTCTGTAGCTCATGTCCTCTCCCGCATCAGGCTCTGTGACCCCATCACCCCCACTCTCGCCCAGCTCCACTGGCTCCCCAGCCCTCAGAGGATAGAATTCCAAATCCTCGTCCTCACTTTCAAGGCCCTCCACTGCCTCGCCCTCTCCTACATTCTCTGACCTGCTGACTCCCTATCAACCTGTCCACTCCCTCCGCTCAGCAGGCTCTGGCCTGCTCCAGGTCTTCCACCCAACCCACCCTACCGTCAGCGGTCAGGCTTTCAGCCTCTCTGCCCCCACTCTTTGGAACTCCATCCCACAATCACTTTGACTCGCTTCCTTTCTTGCCTCCTTCAAGGCACAACTCAAAACCCTCTTTTTTGATCATGCCTTCAGCCGTCCTCCTACCCCCTCTGCCCTCCCTCATCCCAACCGTGCCCCCTACACTCGGGTCCTGATCGCTGACTGTTCAGTGCTTTGGGATGTCCTCTTGACGTGAAAGGCACTTTACAAATGTTATTTTGTTGTTGTTGTCTACAATTCCCCTGTCACCTGGACAAATTGTTCTGAACTACAGTATTAAAATTTCAAAAATCTTCTTGTGAGTCTTTGCTGCTCTTTGTTTATTATTAGGAAACAGAACCTTTGAACTCTAATTTTATTCCTTTGGATGTAAAGTTAGAAAACTGGGAGGATTTACCAGAAATATTTCAACAGAAGAAAAACTATGCAGTGGTAAGTATATAGTATATGTCCGCTAACTAAAGAGTAATAAAACATCAGATTATTATCAGAAATAGTGATCCTCAGACACCGTCAGAGGTTGGACCTTCAGCCTTTCTGCCCCCACGCTCTGGAATTCTATCCTGGAGCCCCTATGCCTTGCCCTCTCCTTTACTTCCTTCAAGGCCTATCTCAAGATCTTCCTCTTTGAATGCGCCTTTGCTCATCTTCCACCCCCACCCCTCTTTGACTGCAGCCCCCAGCTCAAGTGGAAATCCTTCACTGTTCTGTGCCTTGAGACATTTTCCCGAAGTGAAGGGTCCTATATAAATGCAATTTATTGTCATTATTTGATAGTGCCTTTCTTTATTAGAATCATGTGGCACATGGGGCAAAAAACACATGCATAAACCACAATTCTGCAAACTAACACAGACTGCTCACTAGTGGAGGCACAGTAAAAACAAATGATTCTGCTACTGGATGCTATGTGTGTTTGTTAAATTTGTGACGTAAAGTGAAGCTTACTGGATTCTGATGTACAGGGTGTGTTTGTAAAATTGGCATGTAATAATGGTGCACTAATTATAATAATTGAGTCACTTGTTATTAATTTTGCTCAAAATCAAAATGTTGAAAATAATTAAATAATAATTGAAAGCCTATGCTATCAATTACATAATAAACCACCTCAGTAATGTTATTACATAAGTGACTGCTTGCACCATGTTTCAGGAGGAGCTAAGTGTACAGTGTTTGTGGTGAGGTTAGTGCAGCAGCAGCATTTTATGTCATTTACTCAAACCAACCATCCCATCTAAGAATTGGGTAGGATCCTTTCCAGCCGAAGCCGTTCGCAGTACATTTTTCAAATGAAATGAATCAAATGAAATAATGGATGTATTTATGACGATTGTGAAATGATTTATGTTAGGCAGTTATACAATTAAGATGTTTTCAATTGCACAGAAGTTGCAACTGAATCCTCCAGAAAAAGAAGGAAAATTTGTTTCTGTACAGCAGTATATCAATGTGATTTAGCTGAATTTGTTACTTATCATTTAACATTGCCAAATCAATTTTTGCTTCCCAACTTTGAGGTTCTGCGGTTTGTACGAGAATGGTTCAGTTTAAGTGCCATGAAGCAAAAACTGATCAGGAAAAGTGGTCAGATCTTCTGCAGTCCTATTCTCGCATTCGAAAGCATCACAAAGGAACAGCGGAGACAAAGCTGTACTAAAAGGTCAGCTATTTTGAAGTATATTTCAAAGGGTTCTTGGTCAGATAGTGAATCCACTTATTTCATGATCTTCCATTTTTGGTTTTTATTTTTGTTTTTATTGTTTTAAAAGTTCAATAAAAAAACTAAGCAAGGGTCAAAGATCTGGGTCTAAATTTAGAGCAATTTGAGTAAACATAGAAGCCGGCTTTGTGAGGTGGATTGAGTAATGTTCACAAGTAGTTTCTTCATGTGGGTGTTTTAGTGATTTTACAAGATCAGCAACAACAACAACAAATTGCATTCATATAGCCCCTTTCACAACAGGAGGTTGTCCTAAAATGCTGAACAGTGAAGGGTTTGCACTCGAGTTGGGATCGGAATCAAAAGGGGTGGAGGGCAAGGTGGGTGGAAGGATAACCAAAGGCACATTGAAGAGAAAGGTCTTGAGACGGGCCTTGGAGAAATCAAGGGAGCGAGTAAGGTGGAGGGATTCCGAAATGGTGTTCTAGCGGGTAGGGGCAGAAAGGCTGAAGGCCCAGCCACCCATGGTGGAGCAAGCAGGGCGGGGGGTGCAGAGCAGGTGGGTGCCTGTTGAGTGGAGGGAGCGGACAGGTTGGTAAAGGTTAATTAGGTCACAGAGATAAGGAGCAAGACAGCGGGTAGCTTTGAAAGCGAGGAAGAGGATCTTAAATAAAATAATAATAATCCTTGCATTTGATATAGTAGCGCCTTCAAGACATCCCAAAGCGCTTCCCAGAATATTCAGTAAAGTGTAAAGACTATTGTGTGGGCGAACTGCGGCAGCTAATTGCAAACAGTGGTGGAGTAAATGATCAAATATTTTCTTTATTTGAAGGGATCTTTTGAAAGATGGAAATAGCCACTCAAATATAAAGCAAAAATGTTTTTCTTTTACACGGGCTTTTGAAGCACATCCTTAGGATTGTTTCTGCATTTCTGCGTCTCACTGAACACTCAAGTAGGCTGGGGTGCCGTTCAGTGAGTGCCAGCTACCGTCTGGTACCTCTTTGAGTTATTACTATTGTGTGTGTGCGCCTAGGCAGTGACTGCCGGCCAGCTCACACATTGACCAAGATAATGTTGCTTGATTTATGTCTCCTTTCTTTTGCTTTTATCAACCTTGTTGCCCTACACTTCAGCTAAATGGGTTTTAGCTTGAGGATCAAACCAGAGATATTTTGAGTGTGTGTAATTCCATTTGAGATTTCCTTTAAATGAAGTAGATGAGTGAAACCAGTTCACAGAGAATCAGAGTGATGAGAGCCTAGAGTGATTTGTTTGTATTTTTATACTTAAGTCATTTTTGTGTCCTGCTTACTTTTCCCTAGTTAAAAAAGTGCTGCCTTATTGGAAACTGGTTTGAAATTATTTTCTCTCCTTTTTGCAGATTCTTAACAAAAGAAGATGTAGCTGCTGGCTCTCTGAATAAGGCACGCAGTGAAAGTGGAAGTGTTCGAGTTATAGCAAAAGATTCTGCATTCTTTGGCAAAAATAAAACCAAATCTAATCCAGCAACAGGGGAGAATTTAAGCAAGTATGTTTCATTGGTTTCCTTTTCAGCAGACGAAAAAGGCTGTGATGAATGTGAGTTTCACAGTCTTAACACTCAACACATTTCTCAGGAATCGTGCAACACTGAAAAAATGCAAGCAGCCAAACATCTTGTCAGCCTCTGAGTCATAAGGATGTGAGTTGAAGTCTCACTTGAGCTCGAGGTTGACAGTGCAGTGCTGCTGAATTGTTGCATTGTTGGAGGTATTGTCTTTCAGATGAGACATTAAACTGTTCCATCTACCTGTTCAAGTGGACGTTAAAGATCCCATGGCAGTATTTAAAAATAGATGATAGTTTCTCCCAGTGGCCAATAATTCTGCAGATTAAAAAAATTGGTTATTTATTTCATGGGTGTTCGTTTAGACATTGCTATGTGCAAATTCTTTGCTCCATGGAAGTTCTGTGAAATGCTTCTAGACGATGTGATAATAATAATCCTTGCATTCAATATAGTGCCATTCATGTCAGGAAGGATAATTCAAAGCGCTTCACAAGATTTCACTTTAAAAGTAGTGACTGTAATTTGGAGATCAACACAGCAGCTAATTTGCACATAGCAACATCCTGCAAATAACCATGAAGCGAATGACCAGTGTTATTTGGGGGAGGGGGGGTTTGTCGGCCAGGAAACTGAGAAACTCCCTTCTCCCTCCCAATATAGTGTTGCAATTGATAATATTCAGTGTTTGCATTTAATACAAGTTCAGGAACGTAACTACTTCAAAATAGAATAAAAGTTACACAGTGTGTAAAAAAAATCTATACAGTGAATGAACTTGGTCAAATAGCTGAGCAGCATAACAGAATCATAAACTCTGCAAAGCTACTGCAATATATTGCACAATAACAATAAGGCAAAATGATACTCAGTAGCAATACTGTGTTGTATAGAGCTTTTACTTTATTTGTTCAGCCGCTTGTCAAAAATGAGGCAAATGAGGGCAAGAGTAACAGTGAAGAACATCAATGAAATTAGAAGAGACCATTAACCCATTCAAATCCCACGGGTTCCAAAGGCCAATTTCAATAAACCTCATAAGTCGGGTTAGTTGGAGCCATACGTTTAATAAAACTTATGCAAAATATCAGTTCTGTCAAACTTGCATAGAATATAAACTCTTGAACAGGACTGGGCCGATTATACTGGGCGATTCAGACATATGCAAGTTTTACTGTATCTTATACGTACTCAACAACACCCATTTCACTTTAATAAATGAATGTTCTCCACAAATGCTTCCCAATATCAAAAGTAATCCAGCAGAAGTTCAGAATGTCCATCCAGTCTTCACTGTTCAACTCTGGGGAGCAGACGTTCTTCAACAACATGCAACAGTCACACAGGAACCGTTCTGTTCATGGAGTATTTAACAATTTCAATTTTATAACTTCCCACTTGATCCCAAAATGCCATGTTTTTTTTGAAGGAATTAATCAACACAGAATTTTGGGGGGAATTTTTTTCTACATTAACACTCTTAATCTCAGTCCTGCTTAATTAAACCTTATATAGATTTTAATTGTACTTCTCTTACTTTCAACAGGAACAGTGTCAACAGTGAGAAAACAGACTGCGACAGTTTGTCTACCTTGCTTAAAGCTGATGAAATTTCTCTACAAATTGGCTACATTCAAGCAGTGAACCATGAAGGAAAGCCACTTTGCCTTGCATGTCAGGAGCCAACAATCCAGATCAGCAAACCTCATGACTCTACAGATTGGGATACACGATTCTGCTCCCCAAAATGCCAGGAAGACTTTCTGATCCGTTCTAATGGCAGCTACATGAGATCAAAGGTTTTTGAGGTTGAGCACGGGATCTGTCAGCAATGTAAGCTCAATGCTCATGAGTTGTATCTTACTGTGAAAGATGCACCCAAAGCCCTTCGGAAAAAACGTCTTCAAAGTATATGGTTGGCGCAACTTTCCTTAGATCAGGTAAGGGGTTAAAAGCAACTCTTTCATTTTTGATCAGTTTATATTTTACATTTTCTAAAAAAACATAATAATGATATAGCGCCTTATCACGCCATTGAGGCGTCTCAAAGCGCTTCACAGGATATTCTGTAAATTGGTTTGACTGCATGTTTATTTTAAATTAGTATTTCCTTGAATTTATTGTACTGTACTATCTTTCTGCTCTCTACGAGTAAGCCTAACCAGAGCTTTTTAGTATTAGATTTATTAAGGCTGAAGGAGCAAGGCACTGGAATCAAAAGATCTGCCAAGATCCAATAAACTGGTGTAGCAGACTCAGTGGGCTGAATGGCCTTCTCCTGTTCCTGTTCTTTTTTTTTAATCTTTGTAAGATGTGAAAGGACTGTTGTGTTTTGATTAGGTCAGCAAGCAATTTAGAGGTTGCAATGTGGGATGGAATTTTTCACATTTGCTTGCAAAATCTATAATTACAGAAGATTTCAGTGTTTATGTTTTTTTTTGCTCCCTGAGGAGGAGCTTTAGGTTTAGGTTGCTGAGCCCACAGTGTTTATAGCTTGTTGTGAAATCTGGTCATTTTCATTTCAGTCTTTTCTAACCCTTTTAGAATTAACCCTTTAGGATTAGTTATCATTGCAACACAATAGTGAACAGGAATAAAATTACATTTTAAAAAAGTGATATGTTAATCCTGATTATAAAATGAAGTGCAGTTTGTCATGTGTGCTGCTCGCCCCTCCTCCATCAAAGCGCCATGCATTTGACAAGCGATTACCTGGGCCAATAGAAAAGTGCAGCCGTAATTTTTCCGCAGGATCCGCTACAAACAACTCCCTCCACTACAAAGGTATTCGCTACAAGCGAGTCCATCTCTACAAGCGAGTCCCTCCTCTACAAAAGGATTCGCTCCAAACAAATCCCTCCGCCACAAACAACATGTTCCGGTACAAACCTGTAAAAATGAAGTTTCCTCAGTCCCGGCCTCTGCGCACCGCTGCCAGCTGTTTATTGTATAATGTTCCTGTGGGCGGGGCTGTGCCCCTCCTGTATATACTGTGAAGTGCTCTGAGGCATCTCAGCGATGTTAGAAGGCGCTATATCAAATGCAAAGATTATTATGATTTATTTCCTCTGAGGCTATCTTGCGATCTACTTACTATTGCATCTGGTTCACTCTCTACCTATCTCAGTATTGTAGCAAAAGATTGGAAAGTTTTTGTAGCAAATTTAGATTCCTCTGTAGGGTAAATATAATGGAAAATAAATTTATCTCTCAAACACATTTTATTTTGTTCTGATTAGATTCAAAGATCTGTTTATTTCAGTCCACTTCCCTAGTAACATATTCCACAAATCTATTACCCTTTGTGTAAAACACAAGATTTAATCCTTGCATTTGATTTGCATTTGATATTTACCTCACTTTCCCTCTTTATTCTTAACTTCAAAGGATGTTTTCTTACAAAATCTGTTCTCTGATTTGAGAAAGAAATTGTATCACAGAATTTCAAATAGCAATGTGGTATTTAATATAACAGGGGGTTGTTATTAATGTACTTAAAACTGAGAAAACTTCCAGCTATCGAGAATCTGTGGGGCAATTAAAAACTGTTACACTAACATGATGCCAAGGCTTTGAGCTAATGTATTTAATTGGTTTAATTGTACTTAATAAAGTAGCTTTTGTTACTGAGGGCTCTCCAGGCAAACTGAAGTTATTAATAATGCAATCATAGAATTATATAACAACAAAACAATTTGGGTTTATATAGCGCCCTCCACGCCAGACGGCATCTCAGAGCGCTTTAAAGGACAGAGCGCTTTAAAGCATGTGCTTTATAAAGCACAGAAGGAGGCCATTCAGACCATCGTGTCTGTGCCGGCTCTTTTAAAAGAGCTATCCAAATAAATCCCACTCCCCCGCTCTCTCCCCATAGGCCTGCAAACTTGTTCTCCCATAATTGTCTACTTCTCTCTTAAGAGTTGTTATTGAATCGGTTTCCACCATTCTCTCAGGCAATGCATTCCAGATCCAAATAACTCGCTGTGTGAAAGCATTCTTCTCAATATTCCAGCAAAACTTTATTTCAAAAAGTACTTTATCAGCAAGTACCTTTCGGGGAATTTTTAAAGATAATAAAAATATTGGATTATGAAGTTATTGGAGCATGTTGTGAGGTAATAATATTTAATCTTGTTATAAATGTTCTATATTTGAAATAACTGATTTGTAAATAAATTTCAGTTACTACTTGGCAGTGGTAAATGCAGATAATAAAAATATTGTTTCTTGGACGAGAACCAAAAGCAAAGCACCATTTTAATATCGTTGTTATTTTAACAGGGCTGATGGGACGAAATGTTTGAAATATTACACTATATAATCAAAGTACTTGGTGGTGGTAGGAGACCAGAAGTAATTTGTAGCATTTTACTCGAGAAGAGCTCTTTTCCCTACTTAAATTCCCAAGCCTCTTCCTTTTTAGCAAAGCCAATAGAAATTTGCAGAAATATTTGCCATGAATTGCAGGGAAATGTTACAGATGTTGCGGAAAATTGTGGGGAGTCGATTGGTGTTACACACACTGCACATGCACACACCTAGAGAGACACTCACAGACACGGAGACATACACTCACAGACTGAGATACATAGAGAAAGACATACACTCACAGACTGAGATACATAGAGAAAGACACACACATGCTCACAGACAGAGAGAGACACACACACGCGCTCACAGACACAGAGAGACACACACACTCACAGACACAGAGAGACACACACATGGAGACACACACAGACACAGAGAGAGATGCACACACACACTCAGACACAGAGAGAGACACTCACTCACAGACAGAGAGAGACACACTCACAGACACAGAGAGAGACACTCACAGACACAGAGAGAGACTCACAGACACAGAGAGAGACTCACAGACACAGAGAGAGACACACACTCACAGACACAGAGAGAGACACACACTCACAGACACAGAGAGACACACACTCACAGACACAGAGAGAGACACACACACACTCACAGACACAGAGAGAGACACATACACACTCACAGACACAGAGAGAGACACACACACTCACAGACACAGAGAGAGACACACACACTCACAGACACAGAGAGAGACACTCAAGAGACACCCGCAACCACACACACATCTCACAAACAGACACACACGTACAGACAAAGGAGAGAGAGAGACACACATAGGCAATCTCAACTTCGGGATCTGGGGGTGAGCGAAGCCCATTTCCCGCTCGCGCTGCACAGCGAATGTGCGCCCTGAGCCACTCCGCCCACAGTAGCAGCGTCCAGTAAACAGCTGGCCGCAGAGGCTAGGACCCAGCACACTGCATTTTTACAAGCTTCTAGCGGAGGGTGTTGTTTTTAGTGGATTCCATGGAAAGATTGCAGCCAAACGTTTCTGTTGATCCAGATTATTAGGTAGCAACCTGCTCAGTTGGTAACACTCATCTCTGAGTTAGAAGGTTATGGGTTCAAGCACATCTCGCGCTGGGAATTTAAGGTCATAATCTAGCTTGACACTCCAATACTATTCTGCGAGACAGCTGCATTGTCAGAGTTGCCGACCTTCAAATGAAACTTTAAACCAAACATCAAATGCGAAATGACAGTTTGTTCAGGTGGACGTAAAGATCCCATGACACTATTCGGAAAAAAAGAAGGGAGTTTCTTCTTGTGTCCTGGTAAATAACCCCTAAAATAAAATTGGTCGTTCGCTTTGTAACTGTTTGTCGGACATTGCTGTGCGCAGATTGCCTGCAGGATTCGCCTACACATACACAGTTATTACATTTTACAGTAAATCCTGGAAGTGCTTTGAGATGCTGGACAACTTGATAAGGCTCTATGTCAAATACAAGGATTATTATTATTGATTTAGAACGTTTTAAACTAGGTTCTTGGAACGCAAGGGACCACAATCAAAAGAGAATTCCCCATTGGATGTAAATGTATTTGCATTTTTAGAAGTCATTTGACAACTCTACATGTGGAACCTGTTAAAAGTTCATGGAGTGTGTGTAAAATTAGATTAAGAAGTGGCTTAGGAAGCAGAAAGTGATCAATGGAAGAGGCTTCTTAGGGCACAGTGACAATGACGACAAGTTTCATGGGATCTGCCCGAGTTTATTTCTGTTCTGTTCACGCAATTCATAAATGTCTTTGATAAAATTATTTAATATTATAAATTTGGCAATGATAATAAGCTATTTGAACAGTTTCTAGCTTCCTTTAACCATTATAATAATAATCCTTGCCTTTGATATAGCCCTTTTCATGTCTTCGAGACGTCTCAAAGTGCTTCACAGAATATACTGTAAACAACAACAACAACAAGATTCCATTTATAAAGCGCCTTTCACGTCAGGAGGACGTCCCAAGGTGCTGCACAGTTGGGTCATGACCCGAGCAGGGGGGAAATGGTCAGGGTGAGGGGAGGGAAGGGAGGGAGCGAGGAGCGGGGAAATGGTCAGGGTGAGGGGAGGGAAGGGAGGGAGCGAGGAGGGGGAAGAGAGTCGAGAGGGGAGCTAAAGGCACGGTCAAAGAGAAAGGTTTTGAGACCGGCCTTGAAGGAGGAAAGGGAGGAGGCGGCGAAGGCACTGGGGGATGGAGTTCCAGAGCCTCGGGGCTGAGAGGCTGAAGGCCCGACCACCGATGGTAGGGCGGTTGGGGCGGGGGATGTGGAGCAGACCGGAGCCAGAGGAACGGAGGGTACGGGCAGGTAGGTAGGGTGATAGTAGGTTGGAGAGGTAGGAGGGAGCGAGGCCGTGAATGGCCTTGTAGGTGAGGATGAGGATCTTGAAATCAATCCTCTGGGGGATGGGGAGCCAGTGGAGGCGAGCGAGGGTGGGAGTGATGTGGTCCCGAAGCCTGGTGCGGGACAGTACACGAGCTGCAGAGTTCTAAAGTGAATTGACTGTATATTTTTGAATGAAACATGGCAGCCAATTGCGCAATAATTGGACAACAGCAGTGACCCACAAGCAGCCGTGGACTGAGTGACCAATTATTGTTTTTTGAAGGATTAACAACAAAAGAGGAACACATTTTCTTTTTAAAAGCTTTTTCTAGATTACCTAGTTTTCTATTGTATAGTTTACATACAGTGTGAAAGAGTAATGGCCTTGATATACAATATTTGCCTGATTACATGAGCATATAACAGTTGTTCATATGAATCATTCTGATGTTTGTTCCTTTGAGCATTGTAAGTTTCAGGGGGGAATACATTGGCAGGTCATTGGTATGGATACAACTCTAGAAAGTTTTCAAACTCCTTCACTAAAATGAGCACAATAGTTTATCATAACTGTCCACAAGGCAAAACCTTTTGCCATAAACCATGCACACATTTTTCTCTCTGTCTCTCATGCACATAATTAACCTAGAGGAAAACGGGAAGGTACAGCTGATTATAGAACAAGAAAAATAAATAGAATGAGCAGATGGTAGAATAAATGGAAATTTATATTTACTGGAGATAAAGTAAGTTTGAACCCTGAGCCAGAATTAAACAAATCGGAGCATAAATTATGTACCATAAGGCCTGACATCCAAAACAGATTTGCTAAATTGTTGAATATAAACTCACCACTGATATAAATTATCAGTGTTGGAATAAGTAAATTTCAACACTGATAATTTTCTTTGCTTGTGTTCCTTTTCTGTCTGTTTTTGGAATGTCTGTTTTGTGTGTGTGTATACATCAGTAATTGCAGTATTACATAATTAGGAGTTATTTCCACACTTTACTGCAATCATTCCTTAATTTGTGGATTTACTATTAAAAATATTTCACATGTGTATGGTTATTGGAACATTTGCTGCTGTGTTCACCCATAGAAATAGTCACTACACTTTATGTAGATAATTCCTGTGAAGCACTTTGGGGCATTCTACTGACATGAAAGGCACTATAATGAATGCAAGGATTATTTGTGGAGTCCTGTAGCTCAGTGGTTAGAGCACTCGCTTTGCAAGTGAGAGACCTGAGTTCAATTCCAGGCAGAGGGCGAAACCTTGGGCAAGTTTCCTTACTCCACACAGAGCCTAATAATAATCCCTCCAAAACCAAAAACAATAATAAATTGGTCATTTTCAATCTATGACTGTTTGTGGGACATTGCTGTGTGCAATTGGCTGCCGCGTTCGCCCACAAATATACAGTCAATTCACTTTACAGTGTGTTCTGTGAAGCGCTTTGGGACGTCCTCCCGACGTGAAAAGCGCTATATCAAATGCAAGGATTATTACTATTATTATTGTAATTTTGAAACATGATCTAATTTCTATAGCAGCCTTTTTTTGTAAGAATAAATAAGTCTATTACTCCATCCCTCTGCATTGAATTCAGTGAGTGGTAGTCTAGTGATTTTATTTAACTTGAGGATTCTTCAATGAATCACATTTTATTTCAGGTACTAAATATGTAATTACTGAATTTGCATGTTTTGTTTTTAGCTGAATGAAATTATTCAGAACCCAAGCGAGGGTCAGTTTTGGCAAGTGGATCACATTAAACCAGTCTATGGAGGAGGAGGACAGTGCTCACTTGTCAACTTACAGACACTCTGTACCGTGTGTCACAAAGAGGTTAGTGAATTGGTAATTAATGTCATCCCGATGGTTGACAGCCTATAATTTTCCCACGACAGTTTTTTAAAAATTATTTGGATGCTCCTCAGATACCTTGCACTTCCCAAGATTGATAGAAGGAAGATATGGTTGAATACAGAGCAAAATGTGATACATAGTACAATATTGAATTGTATTAAGTGTGAAATTTAACATCTCACTTCAGATTCCATTCACTAAATGGAAGTTATTAAAAATAAATGATTTTTCTGTGCTCACATGATAAGAGGCCCTATATAATTTATTATAACTCTCTGCCTGAACGGGTAGCATCTTGGAGCACTTAACTATTATGATTGAGTATTATACATTTGGTTTACTTGGAGAATATTACAATTTACTTGGATTAGTTGTGTTATCTGTTGAATTTAAGAACTGAAAATGCTTTGTAAGGCCAAGGAGCATGGAATTACATATTGGAGGCAATAGCTTGAATCCAGATTTTTCCCAGTCTGGTCTTGGATGTTTTTTGACATTGGATATTTTCTACAGATGCTTTTTAACTAAGCATTTGAACTGTTCCTGCTTTTTTTGAAATGGGGGCAAGAGCCATCAACATTTGCATTTGATCGTTGTAAATTATATCCAGTCTAATGTGGCAAAGTACACTGACAACTACTGGTTGGAAAATACTGTACCAAAGAAAAGGATCATTTAATTTCACTGTTTGGTGACAGATTTCAGTCAATAAGATCTATAACTTAAAAAACTTTATTTTTTTAAATTTTTCCAAAATATAGTCAATTTACTTCACAGTATATTCTGGGAAAGGCTTTGTGGTGTCTCGAAGACGCGATGAGGCACTATATCAAATGCAAGGATTATTATTATAGTTCGAGATGTAGGGAGGTGCCAGGGCATGAAGGGATTTGGAAACGAGCATGAGGATCTTGAAATCGATCTGTTCGGCAATAGGGGACCAGTGGAGCCTGGCTGGAACTGGTGTGATGGGGGTACAGGGGGTAAGGCGCTATGTTAAATTCAAATATTAATTATATTTTCGTGCTAGTGACCTAGGATAATATTGTGGGAAGTACACGGTATTTGAATTTTAAAGTTATTAAATTTTAAGAAAATGATAAATTGTGAAATAAACTCTTAATTCCAGTTATTACTGTTTCTTCATTTCAGAAGTTAACAAATTATTTTTTTCATTTTGTAGAGGACTGCCAAACAAGCTAGAGAGAGAAGCGAGGCAAAGCGATTGTCAAGCGCTTTAAAATTTGGGTCCGACATCACAAGATTTTTTGTCAAGAAATGATGTAAAATTTAAAGTAACCAGGAGAAGAAATTCAATATGTACCATGTAAATGTAATTTTTTACCTCTGTATAGGATGTTGATATCCAAAACACTTCCTTTATATTACCTGCTAGTTTTTCACTGCGAGATTCTACAACTCACTGCTTGGCAGGGTGCATTGCCACAAGTGTTGGTGAGTCATCAAACCTGGTCCAGGACCCATTCTTTATTACAAGTCTGCAGTGCCACTGAGCTATTCATTCTACTGTGGAGAACATTGCAATCAGGCCTCTTGCCTCCAACAGGGGTCACTACATAGCAATCAGTAGGTTACTTCTGATGTGTGTATAATTTGTGCAATTACTGATGTATAAGAGAGATTGTGGTAGGGGCTTGATGATCTGTGGCTTGCTTCAATGAGCCCTCCAACGTACTTTGACATTTCATTGCTGAGGGAGGTAAAAAGAAAGACTATGGTTCCTAAAACTGTGGTACCCAATGATCCTGAACATTGGGAGTCCTGTGGCTTAGCGGTTAGAACACTACCCTCGCAAGCGAGAGACCTGGGTTCAATTCCCAGGCAGGGCAAAATGGGCAAATTTCCTTATTCCACACGCCTGTTTACCTAGCAATAAATTAGTCAATTGGCAGATCACTTTTCCAGGGGTAATAATTCCTTCAAAAAAAAATTGGTCACTTCAATCCATGGGACACTGCTGTGCACAATTGACTGCCACATTTTGCCCACAAAATACAGTCAAATAATTTTACAGTATATTCTGTGAAGCGCTTTGAGACGTCTTGCAGATGTGATAGAGGCGCTATATCAAATATCATATTCAAGGATTATTATTGAGTGAGAAACGGTCAGGGGTAAGGGTGACATCCTCCCTGATCAAAGAGCCAGTCCTAGGATCAGATGGAAATCATTACTTCATTGAGCTAGTGGAGGTGCTGCTGCTACCCAAATATCCATGACCATAAATCACCAACTTTTGAAGAAAATTGCTTTGTGAATATACAAAAGCTTTAGTGATTTTTTTTGTACTTAACATTAAAGCTGTCAGTTCTCGATAATGCAATGCTTCCAGCTTTGGCATTCAGATTTATACAGCAACTTGTTCAATTGATGAAACCGTGGATAGCTGGCTGTTTTCATATGCAAAAGTTTCCTATTTATTTTGATTGACAACACCAATATTTGAGTTGATGTAAGAAAGCTGGTTTTATTCTAACCCTTTCTCTCTCATGTTTAATGGTAACACCATCAACTATAGTACATCTTTTAAAATATTCATTTATCATGGGTTTATAAACACTTCAATGCTCAAAAGTGAGCAGGCAGATTTTATTTAAATACCAGCCATTTGCAGACACCAACACAGCTTGCAATGTTACAGGGAATTGTATCCTGGATAGTTGCTTTAGCAACACGACTTAGAATAGCCTTATACTACTAGTTTTGCCATATTGATGCCATATGAAAAATATTCTGCCAAAGTGATTTTGTCTATTAAATATATTCTATGAGCTTCCTTTCAAAGCAATATTTCACTAGTTAACAATGATACAGCTTTTAAACTTGTAATTTACCAATGCTATAAAATATCTTTAAAACCATACAGAATTGGAAACAAAACTGAATGTGGGAAACATGACGTGTAATTGAAATGCCACTTCTTGCTTGCTCAAAGCTATGAAATGTCTACATTTAACTGCCCTGCATAAATATACAACTGAATTAATAAGCATTTCAAAATACACTGTACACTATCGATTCCATTTTACAAAAGCTTAACAATTTGACTATAAATCATGCTTTCACAATATCTGAAAAATGTTCAACTCAAATTGATAAAACAATTGCACATTTACCCAGTATCATCTATTATTGAATATATTAACAAAATCAAATTATGGTACTTTTCTAAATTTGCATGCTTTATATGGTAGTGAGGGGAGGAAAACAAGGAGTGCTTTCAGATCACTTAACTGTGATATTTAACAGCCACCATGCAAACATATGCATCTACAGTTTACACAAGTGCGTGACAAAATATACGAATGACAGTAAGTCTAGTACGTCTGGTTTTCCTTTAACAAACGCCTCTCCATTATCACAAAATTAGAAGAATGAGGTGTCTGAGGAAAATGCACCAGCTAGACGGAAATCATCTTTTAATAAGACACAGTACATGCGCTGTGGCAAAGATTTCGAGTATGGTGCTGGTCGAGGCACGGTTGTTCGAAGAATTATTTCACGGCCAGTTGGAGGAGGAAATTCAGGGACTGCTCCAGAGCTTGGCCTGCGCTCAGAAGAAGGCTTTCTGGGTTCATCATCAATTGGTGTCAGAGTGGCAGCCTTTAAAATGGAATAGATAGGTTTACAATACTCATACAAAAAACAGTTCTGCAATGGAAAATAATTAAAACATTTAACCAATGCTCATGATTCATATACTTGGGAAGTGCAAAAATAAACATCTGTTAGACAAAGGCAAATTGTGCATATGGATTTTTGCGTGGAAGATGAAAATGGCCATACATGTAGATGCTGAAGTAAATGCTGGTACATAACACTTTTTTTAGGGTCAACTGGGAGTATGATACGCTTTCCCTGCTTAAGACTCACTTTTTCAACAATGAGAGCTTACCAAAGCTGTCTCTGTTTGCACAGCTCAGGAGTGTGTAAATTCCAGGAGACACAAACTACGTAGTTTTATCTCACCCTGAAGTTGATCAACATACATTTTACGAAAACATGGATTAACTTGAATCAAAATCTCCAGAGAAATAGGTAGCAAATTACAATCCAATTATATTTTTTAAAAAGGTTAAAATGACATTTTAGGATGTAAAATGAAGTTTTGTTGACTGATCAGATTAATGTATTTGTTTTTTCAATATTCTGAATTTGGTAAAGTACAGTGCAATTTAGAGTGCTTTTAGTCGCTTCTGTAACTTGAACGGTGGGACCACTAACAACTTTTGATTTAAAACAGTTTTAAATGAAAGAACTTGAAAAAATAATGGTGTCTTATGTCAAACGCTTCATAGCTAATTACTGCGAAGTGCAATGACAGTTTTGAAGGAACAATGGCAAAGTTTTGTACCACAAAGTCTTAAAATTATTATGAAGTAAATGATCAAGAAGCATCATGGGATTTAACGTCCAACTGAACACAACTTCTAGCCTGGATCTCAGTTTAACATCTCATCCTGAAGAATGAAGCACTCACTCACTGAGGCATTGCAGTGGTAGAATGAAGGAAAGAAAGGAAAAAGTACAGTTTTGCTCAGCCAAAACTGCTTAAGTCTTCCTACGAGTCTCAAACCTACAACAGAAGTGCTACCGGGTGAGCCCAGCTGACAGGTAAAATAAATAGTAGGTTATGCATTTCCTCCAAATAACAACTGCATCTACATGAGGCATGAATTTGAGGGTGATGGGAGCAGAAGGGCTGGTTGTTACCTCTTCAGTAGATTCAGCCAGCTTGAGAAAGGGTGAGAGAAAAGTAGTATTAGGAGAGGAACACAATGATGAAGAAAGAAAAAACAAGTCAGATGGCTAATAAGGGGTTAGACAAAGGTCCAAAGAAATATTTTCCTTTTTAAAGATATGAAACATGCATCTTCATTCCACATCAAACACTAAAATGATTGTTTCATTGATACAGGCTTATTCACCCTGGAATAATATCAACGGAAAAAGTTACTACAAATATTTACAAGAGGTTTAGATGAAATAAATGGCAAGAAAAAAGCCTGAACAGTTTCTGCAACACATGTAAATCCTTTACTCAGAAATAATTACACAAGTCTGAAAAATATAAAATTTACTAAACTTTAGCAGCAAGTTCCTGAGAGTGACATTTAACTTATACAGGCTTTACTTATAATTTTACTCCATGAAAAACTGAAGTGAACAAATCTGAGGTAAAACGGTTATGGTATGAGTTTTTAGTTGTTTGTGAGAAATGGAAACAAATGTATTTCATACATTGTATCCTTATACGTATTAACTGCATAAATTTAATATTGTTCCATATTAATAAATGTAAAAGTAAAATGGGGTTTAAAATGCAGCTAATTTCAACTGGGATTCTTTAATTAAGTTTCACGAGTCAGTGCGATGTATGAACTTCTAAGTACTGAAAGAAGTCCATACTCGGATTCTTTAATTAGGGAATATAATTGGAAGTTGTTGTGCTTTATACCCACATTGTTAAACATCTGATTGCACATTACAGCAATAATAGCCATTAAAATCATCATTACCCACATGTTCAAACTGCATACAGGTTTTCTTCTAAAGCCAGAATACATTGTTACTGTACTAAATGTAATACAAAAATACCAATGTAAATACCATCTGGGATAGATCTTTGCTGATTTAATAAATAGTGCTCTGATAGTGCTAGAATAAAAGTACACAGCTTTAAAGTTGTATATTTGCAATTTATGCAATAACACTTTAAATGTCTAATGGCTGCAGACATCAGTGATTACATTCAAGTACTATAAAAGTGCCTCGATTAAGACACATTGTCAGAAGGTGGAATAATACAGATCGGTATATACTGCCAAAGGTAAAAATCTTACAATTAAATGTCAATATGCCATATTAAACTGCTGATTTATCTATATTGAGGTTTACTGCAGCTAGCAGAAAATATGATCTAATTTTGTTTTCTAGTTATTTTGCAATGACTAGTGTGTAATTCATTTCCAAATGGCCCTTCCCCCCAAAGTATCATGAAATTATTCAAAATTTTCTTAAGGGTTTAAGTTCTCCACTGTGTAGTCATATTAATAAAGTTTATCAATTATTATAATGAACAGAATAACAGTTTAGAAAGGTTAAAACAAAGGGGTTCCCACAATTGAAACAAATAAGAGCATTTCAACCGGTAGCAAAACAGTTTTAAACAGTTGTGTAAAAGGAAAGAAAGCTGCTATTTATCGAATGTCTCTCACAATACAGAATGATGATTAGTAGAGGGATAGTAGTCTGGGTTTGCTTTCGTATTATTAACCCCCGCCAGACACTGCCTCATGCTGGAGCTTAATCTCACATGTGTTAAGGCACTGCCAATATTGCAGCCAAGTGGTCAGTCTTCATGTGCAAGTCTGAGGATGGGGGGGCAAATGCGATGGCATCACCTGTACCTTCCAATTCAATGGACGTGGATCACTTATCAATTCCATATTTCAACATTGTTTAAACCAAATGAAAAACTGCTTCCCAGATACATACATGGTAGATAATGGAAGCATATTTGCCTAATTAAAAAAATCAGGCACAAATATTAACAGAAATATAGATTCACATTCATTTTTCTTACCCTCTGTGCATTCACAAATAACTTGTAGATAATAGTCCCAATGTGTCCTCGTCCTGCTCCAGTAGCTGGCACCTCTGGCTGCTCTAAAAGGCAGCTCACAAACCTAGCCATAAAAGGATTTTTAAAAAGTTAGTGAACTAGAAAGTATTCTATCCATTCTCTCAATGATAAGCATGCGATTGGAAACCCAATTTCAGTTTATTCATTGTGCCAAAACGCTCAATATTAAGAGCAGAATCTGAAAAATGTATACCTTCAATACAGTATAACAGAGTTAAATGGGCTATTGTAATTTGAAAGAAATAAAATCTGTACATTTATGACTCCATATTTCTCCACAACTCCCTCTCCTCCATTCTGGACTCCCTTGCCCCCCTCACCTCCCGAACTGCCTCATACTCCATAAATCCCCCTGGTACACCAGCTATCTCCGTTCCTTCAAGGCACAAGTGCGAGCTGCCGAACGTGTCTGGACCAAATCCAAACTAACGGTCCATCAGCAGATTTGGCTTTACCATACCAAGACCTACTGCTGTGCTCTTGCCTCCGCCAAATCCTCCTTCTACTCCAAGGATATCTTGGAAGCAAAGGACAACCCCCGGCGTCTCTTCACCACTAACTGTCTCCTCCGTCCACCTTCCCATGCCTCGGCCATCCTCTCTTCAAACTCCAACTGTGAGGAGATGCTGGACTTTCTCAAATCTAAAATCGAGGGGATACGTTCAGACACCTTAGCCCCGTCCACCGCCACCCCCACATCACCTCTCCCTCATGATCCACCCCCCACCCATCCCCCCCTATACTCCTTCGACCCTATCTCTCCCTCCTCTCTCACCACAACTGTCCGCAAACTCAAACTCACCACCTGCTCCCTCGATCCCATCTCCACCTCTCCTCGACTCCCAGCTCCATCTTCTGGCCCCTTTCCTGTCCGATGTCATCAACCTCTCCCTGTCAACCGGCTGAGTTCCCACCCCCCTAAAAATGGCCGTCATCAGCCCCATCCTGAAAAAATCTCCCCTGGATCCATCCCTCCTCCCCAGCTACCGCCCCGTCTCTAACCTCCCATTCCTCTCCAACAACAACAACAAGATTTCATCCATAGAGCGCCTTTCACGTCGGGAGGACGTCCCAAGGCACTGTATAGTTGGGTCAGGACCCGAGCAGGGGGGAAATGGTCGGGGAGGGAAGGGAGGGAGCGAGGAGGGAGTAGAGAGTCGAGAGGAGAGCTGAAGGCACAGTCAAAGAGAAAGGTCTTGAGACCGGCCTTGAAGGAGGGAAGGGAGGAAGCGGCGAAGGCACTGGGGGATGGAGTTCCAGAGCCTGGGGGCTGAGAGGCTGAAGGCCCGGCCACCGATGGTAGGGCGGTTGGGACGGGGGATGTGGAGCAGACCGGAGCCAGAGGAACGGAGGGTACGGGCAGGTAAGTAGGGAGATAGTAGGTCGGAGAGGTAGGAGGGAGCAAGGCCGTCAATGGCCTTGTAGGTGAGGATAAGGATCTTGAATTCGATCCTCTGGGGGATGGGGAGCCAGTGGAGGCGAGCGAGGGTGGGAGTGATGTGTTCCCGAAGCCTGGTGCGGGACAGTACACGAGCTGCAGAGTTCTGAATAACTTGCAGCTTGTGGAGGGAGGTGCCGGGAAGGCCGACGAGGAGAGAGTTCCCATAGTCCAGCCTTGAGGTGATAAAGGTGTGGACCAGAGTTTCAGCAGCTTGAGGGTCCAAGGTCCTGGAACGAGTTGTTGCGTCCCAGCTTCGCTTTCTTTCTCGCCATTCCCTCTGAACCCCTCCAATCCGGCTTCCGCGCTGCCCACAGCACAGAAACAGCCCTGGTCAAAGTCACTAATGACATTCTGAACATCTATGATCAGGGCTCCCTCTGCCTCCTTGTCCTCCTCAACTTCTCTGCCGCCTTCCGACACTGTCGACCACTCCACCTTCATACATCACCTCTCCTCTTTACTCAGTCTTCGTGGGCCTGCCCTTGCTTGGTTCGATTCCTATCTCTCTCACCGTCTCCACTTTGTTGCCTCCAACGATTTCTCCTCCAGCCCCCACACTGTCACATCTGGCGCCCCCCAGGGCTCTGTCCTTGGCCCTCTCCTCTTTAATATCTACATGCTTCCCCTTGGTGACATCATCCGCAGACATGGGGGTCAACTTCCATATGTGTGCGGATGACACCCAACTATATCTTTCTGCCTCCACCCTCAACTCCAGGCCCACTGCTGTCCTGACAGACTGCCTGTCAGACATCAAGTCCTGGATGAGGGCAAATTTCCTACAGTTGAATGTGAACAAGACTGAGGCCCTCCTGATTGGCTCATCTCCCCCACTCTCGCCCGACTCCATTGGCTCCCTATCCTTCAGAGGATCCAGTTCAAGATCCTGGTCCTCACATACAAAGCCCTCCATGGCCTCGCCCCACCCTAACCCCCTACCAACCTGCCCGTTCCCTCCGCTCAGCCGGCTCTGGTCTGCTCCACGTCTCCCGACCCACCCACCCCACCATTGGTGGGAGAGCCTTCAGCCACTCTGCCCCCAACCTCTGGAATTCCATTCCCCAGTCACTCCGCCTCGCCCCCTCCTTCAAGTCCCGCCTCAAGACCCTCCTCTTCGACCATGCCATCGGCCACCCCCCTTCCCCTCCCCTGCCTGACCCCCCCAACCCCAGCTCGGGTCTGAAATGCTGTACACTGTCCAGCGCCTTGGGACATCCGCCCGATGTGAAAGGCGCTATACAAATATAATCTTGTTGTTGTTGTTCCAAAGATAAGAAAATTCACTGCTTGGTTCAGTTTAGTTTTAAGAAAATAACCAAAGTGGCAACTAACTAAACCAAAGAGAGCAACAGTTACTGATTAGGAAACAAACTATATTTTACCTTTCTAGTTCTTCACGTTCATCTTCTTTTTCACATTTATTAATTCCAAATTTGGCTTGAAGTGAGCGAGATCTTGCAATAATGGCTTCTGAAGCTATTATCTGATTAATTATATCCTAAAAAAGAAAGTCAGCCAGTTATGGTTTCCCAATTCCATAAAGATAATTGTAAACCTCTTAAAATAAAGTACACTAAACTTACTTCTAACTTTTTGAGATCAGGGTTTGAATATCTTAAAAGTTTGCTGACATGAGTAACTATCTGTTGAATTATTTTTCTTACACAAGGGATATCTTCAATGGATTCTGAAGAAGAATATAAACAAGTTAATAGGACCAGTAGAATTGAAAACGGTTTTCGGGTTGACATCATCTGGAAAGCAAGAAAAGTCAAAGCTCTGAGAAATACATAAAGGCTCTCTCGCTTGAGTAATTTACGATGGGTAAATGTAGCCACAAAATGTAACACACCTTTTGTTGATGTAAATATCATAGGGAAAAGGTTGCTACACACTATTATTAGATTTGTTTTCTATAAAAAATTTAAAGTTTGTCCTGTTGAAAAAAAATCTCCATTTACAGCATTTTGTTCTATTTCCATAATGAAATCAAATAATGGAATATAAATTTATTTATATCATGGGTAGACAATATAACTATATTTCAATCCTTACCAATAACCAGTTCAGAAACTGGTTATTGTCATATAGATGGGAATTACTGTACCAAACATTCTATGGAAATGATGATAATGATTGACTACCACAAAAGTTCTGTTTAAATTTGGCCCTATTTTATCAATAATGTTTTAGCGAATAGATAAAACATGCTTGTATTGACAACATCTTGTAAATTAAAAGAAAGTAGAAGGTGCAATAGAAAATATCCTGGATTGTAATAATTTAGGGAACTAATTAAGCATTATTTTTAAAAACAAAGCAGAAACTCACACATATGACATACCAACATGCTACATCCCCTATATCCTCTTCACAGAGCCAGGCTTGCCGAAAGTAGCAGCTTTTAAACAAAGATGATAACATTATCTGTGACATGCAAGAAACAAGCTTTTTTTAAGCCAATTGATAAACACAGTACTTTAGATTCACTACTATTGCTAACCACCTTTTTAAATCTAACTTCTGTCAGAGTTCTGAAGATTGTTAATCATAAGCAGCAATTGCAATTACTGAAAAAGATTAAACATTGTTTTCTAGATCTTCTTTCTAACAGTTTTACCTTCCTCTTTAACCTTCAACAGTGCAGCATGCATAATGCATGGTAATAAATGCCGAGCCAGGTCTGCAGGTTTCAATCCCACTAAATAGTGAAGGACCTGAAAAGAAAAAAATAGATCTACTAATCTCACAAATTTATAATAAAGTCTCATTCTGCTTACTTATCCATTTAAAGTCTGGCTACCTTAAAAACATATCTGTGTAGATTTTAATTTCTCCCTTTCCCACGTGCATGAAAACCTTGAAATATCTTTTTTTTAAATCTTTTTTTCCACAATTGCATTTTTTTCCCCAAGTATGGCATGTAGTCTTTTTCCTACAATAAACTTTCAACATAAAAATACTGGGAATACTGAATACACACTCATTTTATAGCCCACAATAAGAAACTCTTAACAGGAACTTGACTTTAATATCTCATCCAAACAATGTCACCAAATACTGTTAGTACTTCCCTTGAGTTTTAGTCTGCATTATGAGCGCAAATTGGCAACAACAGCCCTTATTCCCAAGGCTCAGGCCAGATATTGTAATCTGCTCTTTATTATTATTATGGACAATATATAATTCCTCTGTCCTTTTTCCCATGGTTTGTTTATCCTGTACAGAACGGTGGGGGGAGAGGAAGAAGAAATAATTTGCTAATTTTTCAATTTCTTACTTTTGGTTTTCCTTTACACTGTTTCTCTTCAATTTTTGATTTTTCCCATTGAATCTAAAACTACAATTTAAAACTAAATGATACCTTTATAAAGAGAACAGATTTCTTTGTCATCACAACATCCTGATGTAACTATTTAAATGAACTAATGAACTATACCTTTTCAGCCTCCCTTGTGTCATCAAACAGTCGTCTCTGTCTTCGAGCTGGAATTGGTTTGGCTGACTCCCATGCCTCCACCCACATGTTGCCAGGAATTTTCATTCTGGCACTCAGTTCACCTTTCAGTACTATGTTACCTATCTTATCATTGACTTCTTCTTCAATATAGTCACGTGGAGAATACCATCTCACAAAATCTTCTAAGCAGCAACCAGGGTTTGCAGCCTAAAATAAACAAACACCTTGACGTATACACTATTTTAATATATACATTACGTATTTTCAGATTTACCAATCTTGTGATTTCTTGGATAGTTCACTTATTTAACAGAAAAATGGTACAACAACAACAATATTACATTTGTATAGCACCTTTCACGTCGGGAGGACGTCCCAAGGCGCTGAACAGACAGAGTTAGGGACATGTGTGAACAATAAATATTCCATATTTTCATGATCAATGCTGTATTATGTTTGTAATGATTTAATTGACAAATCTGTTATTGTATTCACAACAGTTTAAATACTAATAATTAAAGTAACAAGTCTGCAATGACATTTTAACTCATGTTAACTATTGCCAGTAATGTAATGCAGGACTCAAAGTGCTTAAGTGTCACATTATAACCCTGAATCTCAATCAGTTTCTCTTACATACCTTAAAAGATTCCATATCTGACAGTAAACAGGCACTCTGCATTCTAGCACGCAGGTGTGCTCCTTCAGCTGAAGTTCCTAATTTAGCAAGCACCTCTGATTGTTCTTCTAATAAATCTTCTGTCATTGGTGCTGGCTCCTAGGAACAAAAAAAATACTTGTGTAATTAAATAGTTATTTATTCTCTGTGGAAACTGGAACTTGTCAAAGAGTAAGAATCTGATCTGACCATTTAATTGATTAATAATTACAAAACTGCAATCTGCTTTACCTCTTCAACCTCGCAGATTGCAGTTTTGTAATTATTAGTCAATTTAGTCTACAAGACTACAAATGTCTTTCTTTGTTCAGGGAGAAAGCAATTTGTTTGTTACTTGTTTGAAAGTAGCTTTCTAACAACAAATTGGATTTATACAGTGCCTTCTCATGTTGGGCAGACACTCCAAGGTGCTGGAGTCGAGGGTTTGCACACCAGTTGGGGGTTAAATTTGAGAGGGGTGGGGCCAAGAGAATTGCGGGTGAGACGTTGGCCGAAGGCACAGCCAAAGAGGAAGATCTTGAAACAGAACGTAGAGGAGGCGAGGGAAGGAGCAAGGCAAAGACAGTTGGGGCAAAAAGCCTGAAGACCTGACTGTTGAAAGTGGGCCGGGCAGAAAGGGGAACATGAAGCAGGCCGAGTGGAAGGAACGGCGGGTTGGCAGAATTTTAGAAGGTCACAGAGAAGCATGTAGCAAGACCATATCGGGATTTAAAAGTGAGGATGACTATCTTGAACTCAGTTCTCTGAGGGATGGGGAGCCAGCGTAGCCAGGCAAGGATGGGAGTAATAGGCTCATAGAGCCTGGTGCAGGAGAGGGCACGAGCTGCAGAGCTCTGAATGTGCAGCTTGGGAGGGAAGAGTTGGGAAGACTGCCAAGTAGAGTTGACATTAACAAGTCCGCAATTGATAGAAGCATGGATAACGGCCATAAATTGAGGGAGAGGTAGTGGCGGAGGTGGGCAATGTTGCAGAGGTGGGGAAAGCTGAAAGTCAAGGCATGGATGTGGGGAACAGCGCGGTCAATCTCGGACACCGCTTAAGTCGGACAAAACGTCTGCCCCGATCTGTCCAGCTTCACAGGCTTCCACTGTATTTTTTTCTCTATTAATGTATGTAAATAAAAACATATATACATGAAGCGTCTCTGACCTTTTCCTTATTTCAGTCTCAAAATGTAGCAATATTTTTTAATTAATACTCCTTTCTGAAAATAACCCGGATTTTTACCTGTGTAACTGGAATATACAGCAGCTCTCCCATACGAAGCAGAGTCATGTTTCCGTACTGATGTAGACGTCCTTCTGGTTTCCACCTTTGAGTTTCTTTTTTNCCTTCCTCAACCTTCCTCTCGCCTTTTGCTGCCCCTTCTTTCTTGTCACTCTCCTGCAGCTCTTCTGTGTCACTGATACATTCAAAAAATTCTTCCTCACTGTCACTCCAGGAGTCCCAGGATTTCTGCTGAGATGGGTCCCCTTTCTCTTTCTTTTCTTTATCACTACTGTTGTTTGACAATTTCCTCTCTATTGAACTGCTCGATGCATTTTCAGAAGACAGTTGCTTTCTTCCATCATCTCTTGCTTTCTTCCTCTCAATACAACAATTCAGCATCTTTAAAAAATTATAAAATGTTAGACAATAAATAAAAAAAACAATACTCAGCAGACAGAAATTCTCATTGGTCCACCTAACCATATCTAAGATATAGTTGGATTAATCATATCAATACAGGTGCTTAGCATCCCATACACAGAAAATTGCTTGCCTACATTCATTCGTAAAGTTTAGTCTGAACATGAAACTACAGCTTCATAAATAGTGATGCAGGCTAAATGAAGATATTTAAGTCTTAAGAAAACATGCAAATGGTAGAGAAGAATTTCTCATTCAGATTCTATATGATCTGCTGTTTTTTTCCAGTGATTTCTGCTTTTTGACAATTCAGATGAAACAATTTCTAACAATAGAAGTTAAGACTATCACAAAGAATGGTGTCCTCTTCAAATACCTAAAGATTGATGTCCTACCTGCAATTTTTGATGCAATAAACAACATTTTAAATCTGGGGCTCCATTAGCTAAACTGCAAAACAGAATTAACAATTAATCAGTAAAGGAGTACATTGTAGGAGTCATTTTCAAGTTTTTTTAAAAAAACATGTTTTAAAAGTGTCAAGTGACAAGGCTAGGATTCAAATTCAAGCTTCCCAGCTTAAACCTAAGGAAAAAAAAACTTACCCTGGAATAAGGTAATTATTTTCCCATCTGTAGCGCATTTCCAACACAAACTCCTGCCATAAATGAGCCACACCCCTCATTCCTCCATGATAAAAGTTGATCATACAGAGACACAAAGCCAGCTTGTATGTGAGGCTGTTTGACGGAGCTGACTTAAACTGGCTGTAGAGATTCTGATAAAAAAAATCATAAAAAGAAATTACTGCCTCCACTGACGTCAACTGAAACAAACTTTTATTAAACAAGTATACAGAATGAAGGGGTAGCAGAAAGGAACAATGCATTACGCACACCTTTTAAAAACTTCACCAATCTAATGTGCTATTATACTAATTGTGGTACTCGATCAAAGAACTGGACAATTGAACACTGCTACCACAGGTTTAATATGATTTACGCCTACTTAGTGAAGTACTGATCTGGCAATCAGCTCAAGCTGATTGAGGAGTGCGAAAAGAAGATCTACCCCTTGAAAAATAGGTAATGGGTGAAATTATGAGTAAGATAAAGAGACAGACCAAAATCAGAAAGATCCATCCTGTGAGAATTCAGTAAGGGAGAATTAAAATCAAAAAGAGAGAAGTGCGAGAAGAAATATATCCTTTCAGCACCTAATATATAAAAAAGAACTAACATTTTTAGTTCTTAAGATACATGTTGGGTCATTATTATTATTAATGTTGGAGAATCATTTTTGTTAAAACTGTGAAGATTTAAGGATAATATTAATAATCTTTGCATTTGATATAGTGCCTTACCACGTCTTCGAGATGTCTCAAAGTGCTTCACAAAATATACAGTAATGTGAATTGACTACATTTTGTGGGTGAAACGCTCACAAAATATGCAGTCAGTGTCTAAAATAACACAGATGTCTCAATTTGTTTCAATTTGTTTTTCTGCTTTAAACTGGATTAGAATTAAACATTAAGACTTTGAACAATTAGTAAATCATGCAAATGATGAATAATAAAGCCATAACTAGTCAAACACAATTCCTACATTTGTAATATGTCTTGCGAGAGCTAATAAATCCTTCTTATACACTAAAACCCCAGTTTTCTCTGCGAACTATTGGGGGAAAAGATCTAGTCCGACGGGCCAGATTTTCTGGTTAAGTGTAATTATAATGACAGTACCAGAACTTACTGTATTTTTTCCCGGCCCCGGCTTTTAGTAGTGCCAAAAAAATATATAATAATCGCTGCATTTGATATAGCGCATTATCACGTCGTTGAGACGTCTCAAAGCGCTTCACAGAACATATTGTGACTGTTCTTTATTGACGAAACGCAGCAGCCAATTGCTCACAGCAGAGTCTCACAATGGCATTTGTCTGGTAAATGGTATTTTTTGGGGTCATTCTAACTCTAACAAGTAGAATGATTAACGATATTGTAATTGTTTGAATCCCACAAGCAGAAGATAGCAAATAAGCTATTTTCTGCTCACGAGATTCAAACTGAGTCCAAGTCGATACCTCTGGCCGCTGAAGGTGAGCAAGGAGATGCGTTCTAGGAGAATGGGCTGGTGGGAGTCCACAAGCACACGGGCACGCAGAAATTGTTAAGGGTTAATAATTTGAACAGTGGGCACTGATAATGTCATACACACAAACATGTTTGACTTATTTTCCTCTAAATTTGGGTGAGGGATAAATATTGGCCAGAATGTCAAGAAAACTCCTGCTCTTTCTCAAAATAATACAATAAAATCTTTAAGGTTCACTTGAATCATTAGAACAAGCAGCCAGATAATCATATTTAACAAGAGTTTAAAGAAAAAACAGGAAATTGGTATAAGTGTCTATGGTTCCAGTGGAAAAGCTATTAAAAGAATAAAGTCAGAGGACCAAATAGCTTCCTTTTGTGGTGTAATTTATACCATCAATGGTAGAAATTAAAGTACAGAAAGAAATAACTAAATTTAATCTGTATTACTCTGTTGTGGTAGCTAGATTACCTTGTTGTGAGTCTAGATTATGAGAGCAATTTTCTGACCTAAATGAGCGAGTGCTGAGAATAAACCATTACTGATTTTTCTTTTGGTTTTATGTACTGAATAAACATCAATATGAGACAGCTAAATAATTAATGAGAATAATTACTAAAGTGCTGCTCTCAAATTAGAATGATTTGATTGGACTGTGGCACTTACATAGTCTTCATCAGTTGCAGCCATTCCAACTCCACATGAGGTGCTGGGTGTCACATCAGATGCCTCTCCAGCCTTTTCTGCAGCATCTGGAAACAGGAACTAAATATACAAAATAATAGATTACAACAAACTTTGTTTTGACAATTTAAACCGTATATACAAATACAATAACAGCACAAACACATATAAATAAAGTACATTGTGACAACTTGTTAATCCTCAATAACTTCATATCCTGTTCGGAAATATTTACACAATGTGCATAACATGGTTATTTAGAACTGCAATACAAAAACCTGCAATAAGTTATAAGTGATTAAGTCACTGGGGAGCAGGAAGGGAAAACAGTTTATACTGTAGAAAAAGGCCCACTGATCCTATCTTTTGTACTGCTCTAGGCAAAGCCTGTGCATCACATGGTCAATCGTCAAATTGGTAAACACTCCATAGCTGTTTGCTCCATGTCAATTTATAGGTTTGTTGCAGCATTCCTAGTGCTAATAGTCAGTTGTAATAAGATACAAGGTGAGTAAGAAATACATTATAAAACAAATTGGCTGACTTCATTAATTATCAAAACGAGTTTACAGGAATAAAATTGAGGACAGCAAATTACAGAATCTTAATGAGGGTTTCAAATTATGTCAAACTGCAGCGCTCAAGTTGTTTGTAATTATCACCTGAACATTTCATTGAGAGGAAGGACTTGAAATCATTCATATTTTTAACACATGGTGTGGAATTGGTAGAAATAGTTTGATTCCACGTTGTTGGTTGTGCATATCATGATAGGAACCCTGAGAAATGATGATGCATGTGATGATAATCTCACTGAAAAATGTATGACTGGTGAATTCACTCAGTTTAGTACAGCAAAATACTAAAATTGCCTACAGGAAATAATCTAAAAATATAGTAATACTACACTGAGGTGAAACACAATTTGCCAAAACTTAATGAAAAAGAAAGTAATATTAAAGTTGCAAGATTTTGAGCAGCATAACTTTAAACAAAATACACTTACTAATAGAATGGAGTTTAGGACTTCATTATTAATTGGCGATTCTTCGACACGTCTATTTCTGTGCATTCTCTTGCGAGCACTGTGGACTATATTGGACATAGTGGATAATCTAGGAATATGAACTGTGCCTGGGTCTGTCAGTTTCTGCAATGCATGGGTAATATCTGTATTCTCTGTTGAAGAAGAATTCACTATAACTAACGCAATTGTACACATTTTATAGAAAAGTAGTTTTTTTAGAGTAAAAAGCACAATTATCTGAATCAAAAAAATCTGATTGAAACCTTTCCCATCTTCTTCAAAAGCTGACTTTCCAAGAAGTTCATCAGTTGACTCTTTCCGACGACAAATTTTAAGGAACTCAGTAAGAAAATCTCCTATAAAATTAAGAGTCAATGAAAGTTTAGATTTCCATAAGCAGTTCTCTTTTTTAAAATGTTAAAATTCCATTGTGTATGTTACTTTTGTACCACAATTTGGATTAAATTTATACCCAATAAGCACTGAGGGTTATCAGCCTTTCTCACTCTGACAGACCAATGCGGTGCTTGAAGAGGGTCTAGATCCCTAGGGGAGGAAAAAGAATGAGAAGTTTAATTAGTGTGAAAAGTATTTAAAATCTGCTTAAGCAAGCCAGTAGCACTGCTTCAAAGTATTATCACATTATACCAGATACTGGTGAAATTTGCCTTGTGCAGGGGCAGGGAATAAAAACACTGTCTACGTTACTCACAAACCTGATTTGTTGCATTAAATGTAACTTAGGTTTGTGAAATTCACAATCAGCTTTTCCAGACTTTGCTGAATGGGGATTTGCAACTTGCCAGCCATGAATTTCTCAATTGAAGAATTAATGCAACAAATCTGATTTGCAAATAGAAATTAGTCCATGATGTAAACAATAATCATGATTGAGGTGTTGCTACAATAGCTCAAGATTTGAACTTTTTCATTCATCTCCATTTTCATATGTTCTAACATATTACCAGTTAACAATTCATAATCAGTATGAGTTGGTAGAGTATTACCAACTCTAATAAGAATGACATCCTTGAGCAACTTATGAATTTTCTCTTAAAGTGCATTTCTCATATCTCCTCTAATCTTTACAAACCCTTGCTTCTAATTAATTAAATGGGCACATGGAGACAAACAGCCCTAATAAATGTTCTGTTCCAAATACAAAGCAATAAATGTTGTTAAACAAATATAGTACATTTGAATTGCAGTACATTTGTACCATAAACTTTTTAAGACAGCTCTTTTATTGCAACAAAGAGCAAACATATACAGAGTTCTATATTTCATAAAATTTTGATTTCAAATACATAGAAAGATAACATTTTACATTATTAAACATTTTTCAGGAATATAACTATTATGAGATTATCAATAACTCAGAACTTTTGTTAAACACAAATATGTTACGTCAAATGTATTTCAATATAAGATACATTGGGAAAGGATAATAATCATTACTTACGAGTAGACGTCATTGTCAACAACAATGCCTTCTGCGAGGTAAGGCCAAGTGGTGGCTAAGTGTAATTCACTAAAACAAAAATATGACATGACCTCAGTCTTTAAAAAGTACAAGATCTTTCTGTTTATTAAACAATCAATTACACTGAGCCTCCAGACACAATCCTTGAGAAAAAGGTAATGAGAACCTGGAATGTCAAATATCCTTTCACAATTTTGTACCGTTGAGTTTTTTTTATAAAGACATCTAGTTTATTGCCACAAAGAACAAATAGAATGTGTACAGAGTTCTAGTTTTCATAAAATACTGATTGCAAATTATGCATAGAAAAATATAATTTAACCCAAATACAATAATAATAATAATCGTTCTGGACGTCCCAAAGCGCTTCACAGAATAGACTGTAAAGTGAATTGACTGTATATCTCTGGGCGAACGCGGCAGCCAATTGCGCACAGCATTGTCCCACAAACAGTCGTGGATTGAAAATGACTAATTTATTATTGTTTTTTGTTTTGGAGGGATTATTATTAGGCGTGTGGAGTAAGGAAACTTGCCCAAATGGAAATGTATGAGGTACACGCTCTGGTCCCACCTTTCAAATTGCAGCAGCAAAGGAGCTAGCAGAACAATATTAATGTATCACTAACACAGTCATTCTAATTATAATTTGGAAGGCCACCTTCTTCTCTACAGGACCATCTTTTAAGCCATTTGGTGAGTGATGCACAAATGGCATGAGTGATAATGATGCTAAAAATAAATGATGCTAAAAATAAATTAAATGACACCCCATGTTGGTAAAATCACCCCAGATTCCTGGGTCTGATTGCTATTTACTAATCCTTGCTGTCCTTGTCACTGTACAACACTCCAAATAGAAGGCATCAGGTTAGGACAGAATATGGCTGACCTTCAAAACCCTGTAAGGTTGAAAACTCTGCCAACAATGCTGTCTAAGGTCACATGAGAAGAATAATCACTTAAGGGAGATGCCAGAAGACTCTTGCTGCCACCTATGTAAATGTTCCTAGCATACATCAGGAAACAAGCGCCAATAATAAATTACTTTTCAAATAACCTGTTATAGCTTTGTCCAGGGGGTCAGGGATATAGTTTGAGGGGCAAATATTGGCACTATCTCTCCTAATCTGTGAGAAAATAGCCTTGTAAATTGAATATACTACTGCACCATTTATTATTCATTTCAGCCCACTAAAAAAGCACTGTGAAACATATTAAAATAAGTCTAAAATTTGGCATGAATATTAATTTGGTTTACAAAATTAACTTTGCAACCATAATTTCAAAATCAAGGACAAATTAAAACATCTATGTCACACAGTCCTAATTTATATAGCTGTATAGTTGTTTGCATTCATCACATTCTGCCTCAACTATTCAAATGCCCTCCTCGCCGGTCTCCCCAGCTCCAGTATCCACAAATTCCACCTAGTCCGAAACCCAATCCCGTATACTCAACCGTACTAAACTCCGTACCCCCATCACACCAGTTCTAGCCAGGTTCCACTGGCTCTCTATCACCGAATGGATCGCGTTCAAGATCGTTACACTAGTCTTCATATTCCTTCACGCCCTTCCTACCTCTCTGTCCTGCTTACACTCCAACCCACAACCTCCTCGATTGGCTCCGGCCTCCTCTATGTCCCTCGTGCCTTCTGTTCCACTATCGGTGGCCACTACACCCCGAAACACTGGAATATTCTTCCTCTACCTTGACCCTTTCTTCCCCATCTTCAAGTCGCACCTGAAAACCCTCCTCTTCGACCGTGTCAGTTCCCCCCCCCCCCCCCCGGCAACCTCACCTGATAGGGTCTTCACATGCTCCAAATGGTAACTTTCCAAATTCTAGGCCACCCACTTCTCCTCCAACCAATGCATCAATATCTGAGGAAATAATCCCTAAATTAACTTCCTTCTGCTATGAAGAAGTAATAAAAGAATCATTTTTAATTATGTGAAATCCTTTGTTCAAAATATTACTATTTGGCTTTACACCAACTCTAAAAGCACTAAACTATTCAGGTGAGAATAAAAAGATTTTTAGGAAAACATTTGTAAAGCATGTAAACAACAACAACAAGATTACATTTGTATAGTGCCTTTCACGTCGGGAGGTAAAGCATGTAAACAGTGGATAAAGAGAGTTTAAAAAGAAAGCACATTTTTAAAACTCCTAGCTCATACACTGAATAATGTAGCCCATGATCCCAAAATAATATGCAATAACTACTAAAGAAGTAGTTTATGAAAAGAACTTAACATGTTACTTCTAATTCTACACAAACAAAATCAATAAAATGGAAAATAATAAAATGTATCCATGCTTCTTTAAGACATAATAGTATAATTCATGTGAATTCATTAAGAGCTTGAACTTAATTAATTGAATTATATTAAACCTAACTGAGAATATCCATCAAGTTTAATTTTTTTGTGGGTTAAAACCATTTTTGAATCTAAGCCAATGACATTTTGTGCGGACTGGCAGACCATCTAAATGAATTTAGCTTCAAGGAAATGCACCCAGAAAATCTAATAAAGTTTTCTAATAAAGTTTGCGTTTTAAAAACTCAAAAGTTTTTGGTACAGCAATTAATTCTGCCCCTCCTATTTGACGTCTTAAATTACAATCTACACTCAGATTTTAGGTTTGTTTAACAAAGAAAAAAAAGTTATTTCATATATTTCTTCTCCGTTTCCTTTTAGTCTCCAGCAGAAAGACTTGGTTGGCAAAATAACCCCTCCCCCAACCCGATCAACGCTGCATAAAAGCAACCCAGTGGCACCTTACCAACTAGCTTTAATCTGTCTCACTTCAAAATGCACACTGAAATAAGCAATTAACCATGTGTGGCATCAACTCCACATAACACTCTACCATTCAAAGGCAAAGGGCAATGTGCAGTAAAATGGTAAAAGGCAATAATTCAACAGCAATTGGTAAATGGTAGAAGTCTTGCTCAATTGCTGGAATATACTGTAAACCCACCAAAGTGCAGCTATATAAAGACAAGGAAAGCCATGTTACTGATGCAGATAATATGTAATTGGTAATCACAAACAAACAACTATCAGACAACCTTATGTTCAAAGATGAATACAAGTACAAAATGCGACTGTTTCTGTCAAATTACCAGAATATAAAGGCTAATGGAGTTCCAACATGGACTGCAATACAAGTTGGTATGTTTCTCACCTCACGGTCACTGTTATACAAACTGCAGCTATTAATTACTCTTCTGCCATCTGTCCCTAACCTACAAAATTGCTGCTAAATGGAAAAATGTGGCATCAAAATAAAAATCATTCAAATTTGAGTTGTGTACCACAATTAACATTTACACAGTGTCTTTCACTTTGGTAGACAATGCATCCTCAATTACAAAAACTGTCCTCCTCCTCCCCCTATGATGATCATATAACGGCTAGTACAACAGCAAAGCCAAGAAAGGAAACCAAATACAGAGAGGGAGAACGTGTGCGTTTATAAACAATTTGCACAAAAAGAAATCTGCTATTCAAAATCTTAGCATTTTCAATGCACATACAGCTAAAATCTTCTACCTGGTGGTTGCTGAGGCCAAGAGTACTGCTGCCAATCTTGAAGCACATAGGTAAACCGAATAGCCACATTTACTGGAGGTAAAGGCATTAAAGGACATCCCTAGAAGAGAAAATTGCATCCATTTTATTTTAACCTACATTGCCGCCAAGAGAATATAGTAGGGCAAGTTAAAATATGGATTTCATTCTATCTTACAATCTTTGGTTAAATTAAGATATAGTATTACTTGATGCTCCTTTATGAAGCACATTTAAACAAACAAAAAACAGTTTATATAGTACCCCAGAGTCATGTTGTCTTGGAGTGCTTTACAAAGACGGTGCCACATACAAAGCAGAGGGAAGTTTTAGTTTGGGCGAATCGTTAGAGCGAGCGAGACTGAGGGAGCTCGGACTGGCTGAAGGCTCAGCGGTCGATGGTGAGGTGGAGCACACAAAGCAGGCCCAAGGCCTTGGTCTAAATCATCTGGCAAAGAACGTTCCCAGAAGCAAATTAAAATATCTATAAAATACTTACAATCTTCGATTTGAAAATATCCAACAGTCCTGAGAGATGATTGTACTGATTTGGCACTTTTCGAAGGTGAACCATTTCAAAATCTGTCCGAACTCCAGGGCCTTCACAAACACCCACATACATCCTTCTTGCTTTTTGTTGGATTTGCACAAACAATGGCACTTGACTAGTTTAAAGTACAAAAAACATAAAACACATGAATTATTCATCTCTGCACAGCGCTCCTAATCTGAACGCTGCATTAGACAATTCTTCATCACTATTAATACATCAGTCACTAAGTTAATACTACATTTTTGTTATCAATATTTCAGTTAACTTTTTGGAACTTTAATGTAATTTCTATATATATGCATCACATGACAATACAGTTGAGACTGCTTAATGGTATATTCTGTTGGACCATCCTCCTGCCCATCAATCCACACACGCTCCACTCCCATTGGACCATCCTCCTGCCCAAACCCATTCCACAGTCCCAATGGACCATCCATCTGACTCTTTGTTCTGAATTTCAGGCGCTGGAGCAATGTTCCGGAATGCTCTGGCATTACTACATCCCTGGGTATAACAGTACTCAATCTTTTGTTAATCGGGACGGCAAATTTGCATAACATTAGACAAATTACAACATTATACAACAATAACAATACAAACTCAAATGTGTACAAAACATACCAAGCACAGGCGGGTCCAGTATAATATTATGCGGATTATAACAATAGGTGATGACATTTTGTGATCTCGACTTATAGATTGTTGTTGGAAAACAATTTACACAGTACGTGTGATCTCTAAACTGGTGCTTTATTCTTAGTGGTTAATGTGTTCCAAGCGTCCACTAATAGTTTTATACAACGCATTAATATTAACATCAAGGAACAATGTACATTAAAGTATCATATCACAAGTAGCCCAATTGATGAAGATTGCTAGACCACAAGATCGGGTTCAGCTGCGATTACTGTACAGCTTGCCAACATTTAATTGTCAATGACATCCTTGGTGAATCCACACTCCAGTTGAAGAAAAATTGAGTCAAAAGATGTTCAGAAAAGGGAGGGGAAAAACTGGTCAAGCAAAAAGCAATAGAAACAGGGTTCAAGACAAGGACTCTGATTAGGAATTATATGATTTGATGGATTTACAGAGTTATTTTTTCCAGAAATTTATGGATTTAAATAATTGAGGCAGGTAATGGTGACTGACCAAGTCTCAATTTATGAGCCAAAATTTCTAACTGTAACAGCACTCATCCTTAAACCTGAAATTAAAGCTGAATAAAAAGAATTAAAAGCAGCTATGAATAGCTGAATACAAAAATGTGATACCGGCAAAATAGCTGAGTGCTACTGCATTATTCTAATAACCAGTGCATCTGATTCTCTGCACATAGAGCTCCTAAAAGTGAGTCATCTTGAGTGACAGTACATGAAGCAAACTCCAGTAAATCACTACAAATCTCTAAGACAGCCTGAAACCGCATTCCCATTATACTCTGCTGTAATGCGAGGATATTATCTTAATCATTGTGAATGGCACACTGATCACTTTGTTATGAAGAATATAATAGAATTCAAGCCTTTCCAAACTGCAAGTTACTAAAAATAAAAAGTACCTGCAAGATGAATACTTGACACAGCTTCAGCTGTCAACATTGACAACAATGTCAGGAAGGGGTAATGTTCACCTCTGGAACAACCGAGTAATTCAACACAAGGAATCTCTTAGTTTAAATGGCAAGTTAAGACTCCATTGTTAACAAAACAAAGCTTTTACAAATTGAAACGCAGCATACACCTCCATCTAGTGGCTGCATCAGAATGACAATACGCTTGAAATAGAATACATCCATTTTAAACACTAACCCAAAGTAATACAGTAGGCTCCTGATAATTCTTCACTCTGAGGGAAAATGGCTCAGGGGCGAGTTATCCAGAGTGGCAAATTAGGCATATGTATAAGTATGTAAATAAATGTAGCCGGGATATTTACAACATGATAATAATAATCCTTGCATTTGATATACGATGTTATCATGTCTTCGAGACGTCTCAAAGCGCTTCACAGAATATAAAGTGAATTGACTGTATATTTTGCGGGCAAACACGGCAGCCAATTGCGCACATTAGTGTCCAACAAACCGTCATGGATTGAGTGACCAATTTATCATTATGTTTGACTTTATGACTTTTGTGGCATTGACAAGCCAAGGTTGAGTTATCAGGACTTTACTATACTTTTATTCTAATACTGTTCACAATAACAATTTGAAAAACACTCAAATTTACTTTGGTAGATGTAGTTCCAATAATTATGTACATTTTCAAACAAAAATAATTTGGGGACGAAGAACAGTTTTGCAGGTTAGAAGTTTAATTTTTATCAATGAAGTGAAAAAATGTCAGTTGGCAGTAAAATGCACTACTCAATGGCACCAAACAACCCCCTGCAATATTTGCCAAATTTCCTCGCAATTTCCTGCAAAGCTTGACAAATTTCCCTGCAATTTGGGGCAAATGTTTCTGCAATTTTCTATTGGCCCTGGACATGTTCCACAGACAAAAAGGAGAAAATTTAGGAGGAAGAGTCATTTCTGGTCACACCTCCAAGTGACCAGTTCAAGAACAGCATAGGCAGTGTTGTAGACAGAAGAATGAAAAAAAATTACGAGAGCGTAGAGAAAGTTTAGAGAGTAATAACCCTTCAAAAAAAATTCCAATACTGTGTGACACAGAGACAAAGTAAAAAAATGCATTTGCAGCAAACGAAAAACAGAAGTTTTATTGAACTTCAGTGTTTGTGGGAATCATCATTAATGATTCAAAACATTTGCCCATCACTTCCAAGTTCTTTTTCTTCTTCTTCAGAAAATTGCACATGTCAAACACACAACATTTATACCATTTCCAAACCTACCATCCAGTATTGCCCAACGCAATTGAGATCGAGCTGAGTAGAATATTGCATTTCGATTCACTGATGACAGCATCACTGTTGGCTCCTGGAGCAATTATCACAAACTCCCGCAAACTGTACCTAGATTTAAAACACACAAGATAAGATGATTCATTATTTATCACCATTCATTAATATCAAAAACTATATATATTAATTATTAAAGCACACTATATTAAAGGATAAAGCCTACATCAAAACTATTTCATTCTTCTGAATATCCATCAACAACAAATTACATTTCTATAGTGTCTTTAATGCTTGGAGGACGTCCCAAGACGCTGGGCAGTCAGGGATTTGGACCCGAGCAGAGGTTTGGGATCGGGGGGGGTGGAGGGCAGGGGTTGGAGGCGAGGTTGAAGGGGAGGGTCTTGAGATGTGTTTTCAAGGAGGTAAAGGAGGGAGCAAGGCGAAGGGACTGTGGGTTGGAGTTCCAAAGGGTGGGGGCAGAGAGACTGAAGGCCTGACCGCCGATGGTAGGGTGGGGCGGGCCAGGAGGGGGACGTGGAGCAGACCGGAGCCTGCTGAGAGGAAGGGGCGGACAGGTTGAATGGGGTTTAGCAGGTCATGGAGGTAAAAAGAACTAAGATCATGGCGGGTTTTTAAGGCGAGGATGAGGATTTTTAACTCTTTCCTCTTGGGGATGGCAAGCTAGTGGAGCCGGGGAGGGTGGGTGTGATAGGATCATGGAGCCTGGTGGGGAGAGGACATGAACTGCAGAGCTCTGTATGATCTGCAGTTTGTGGAGGGAAGAGTTGGGAAGACCAACAAGCAGGAAGTTGGCATAGTCGAGCCTAAATGTAATAAATGCGTGGATGAGGGTTTTGGCAGCCTGAGGCAATGGCAGAGCCGGGTGATGTTGTGGAGATCGGGAAAGGCAGATCGGGTCAGGGCTCGGATGTGGGTTAGAAAGGACAGTTGAAGGTCAAACAAGATGCCAAGGTTCTGGACTGGCTCAGTCTACCTAACCAAAATGAAACAAATTAACAGTTGAATTTAAGAAATATGATTTCTCTATTTTCGTTTGAGACAAATGAGAAAAGCAGATCTATAAATTCAGTGACTATTCAAGACTAAATTTAGGACAAGAACTTTGAACCATTTTTCTATACGCAGGTAGCTCTCTTTCATGCACATAAATAAAAAGCTCATTCTGATCATTCACAGTAAATTATAAAAGTGTATGGGTTGAGGTGTGTGTATGTATACTGTCATATATGCAAGAATTTTTCTATTCGAGAAAAATACATTGAGGTTAAATTACAAATAAACATGAGAATGTGCCTACCATCTGACAAGGCAGTGAGCTCTCGGTGGAAAATCGTTGTCCACACACAGCAAATCTTGCATAGCTTCAGGAAGGGCATCTATTAAAATATAATATATTGCTTTGAAGAAACCTACTAAAATAACATTTTATAAACAGTTACAAACATTTCTTCAGTATTAGACCTGTGGAGACCAGTAGCTTAGTGGTTACAGAACTTGACCCAAACCTATTGGCTGCGCAAAAGGCAGATCCTGGCCAATTAGTTAATGCTGACTGATGCTATCCTTCACTAAACTGAGATCTGATCAAAGTTGGTTAACACCATAATGGAGGCCTGTAGCTCAGTGGTTAGAGCACTTACTTCGCAAGCGGGAGACCTGGGTTTGATTCCCGGGCAGTGCAAAACAGTGGGCAAGTTTCCTTACTCCACATACCTCTGTTTACCTAGCAGTAAGTAGGAACTTGGTTATTAGTCGATCGGCAGATCACTTTTCTGGGGGTAATAAACCCTTCACAAACAAATAAAAATAATTAGGTTACTCAATCCACGACTGTTTGTGGGATATCACTGTGCGCAATTGGCTGCCTCGTTTTACCCACAAAATAGTCAATTCACTTTCCAGTATATTCTGTGAAAAGCCTTGAGACGTCTCGAAGACGTGAAAAGGCACTATATCAAATGCAAGGATTGTTATTATTAATTATTATTATTATTATTATTATTATAAGATGGCAAGAACAATTCAGAAGGTCTAAGCTTCCTACTATGAAAAGGGTTAGACCCTAAATTGTACCCCACAATTTGTTTTAATAAACAAATCAAAATGTCTCTTAACAAATCACAATTTGTCTAATAAACAAAATGGGGCTGATGAAAACTCTTCTCTATTTATATCAATTAAATCATAGGGAAATAATCCATACCTTCTTCGGAACCTTCTTTTGCTTCCTTATCAGTTAAAGGTCCACGTTTGAGATAATGATGGGTTATACTGAATTTGTAGTCTGCAAAAGAAATCTCATCAGATTTCTCCTCCCATATTCCTGTGGTTAATTCACCCTGAAATTCATACAGTAAAACAATCAACATTTACAATCTATTAAATGCAAAGACTTCATGAGACAGTGGACAATGAATTATAACTATGTGGTCCAGAGGCAGATTATTTGCTGAAATTAAAAGATGTGACAAATATTTTTTAAATTATCTCAAGAGATTCATTTTGTTTCTATTATGCTGACAAATAAACATTTATTGTGGACAAACTAATGAACCGCAAAACTTCATCAGCTAACAATTTAGTTTATTTAAATTGTTAAATATAAAAGATTTGAAAAGAATATATCATTTAAAATTAAATAAATTATGCAAACGTATTTGTTTTAGCTCATATTGCCCACCAAAGTAGAGCTACTGGTAAAGTACTTCCAAACTTAAATTAGTGAAAACTCAAATGGAAATATGATTAGCGTCATTTTAGGGAATACAATTACTACCTCGGCTTATTAGGTTTTAATACATTAGGACTTATTGCATTTTCTGTGAGCACAGATCATAAATCATTGTATTGATGAAAAGGACAGACAAAAAAGGTTAATTACGCATAACGAGATAACTTAATGCATTTTTACAAACATTAAGATGTCACAATTTTCCATTTTAAACCATATAATCTACATTTCCCTTATACGCTACATCAATCTTTGAGTTTGTTTTCTCAAATTATATGCTAATTAAAATATTAAAAACAGAGATACAGTATAAAGAAGAATAAAATTCACCTTTTCCAAAGCTCTGCTTGCAGTGTTTCCTATCAGTTTCCAATCATTTAGCACCTCTTCAACTTTAGATACAAATCTGGAGATATGAAAACAAAAGATGATAAAATCTGAAACTTGAATTGATGTGAATTTCAAAGTAAAATGTAGTACGTCATGCTTATAGAAAGAGTAGTGTATAAAGAAATCTTTTTTTTAAAACTTATATTGCAGTGTAACAACAACAACAAGATTCCATTTATTGAGCGCCTTTCACGTCGGGAGGACGTCCCAAGGCGCTGTACAGTTGGGTCAGGACCCGAGCATTGGGGGGAAATGGTCAGGGGGAGGGAAGGGAGGGAGCGAGCAGGGGATAGAGAGAAAAACAGTGCTTTGAAATATTATTCCAATTGAACTGTCTATTCAGCAACAGGCAGAAAATAAGTGAAAACTTTCATAATGTGTGAACTTTAGTAGTATAGAAAGTTAGTTTTATTCGAGCTTAAATCAAAGCACAATAGAACTCCACTTATCCAACCATGTCACAGACTCTGATGTACAAGTTGGTGTCCATCACTGGTGAGGAAATTATGGGTAAATATAAGGTGATGAACAAAGATGACAGTATCACATAACATGCACATTGACACATTTCATTAGCTGCAAGAGCAATTTATAACACATACCACACTTCCATATGAAAAACTCTGGAAATCTGATTGGCCTAAACAGCATGTTGCTTTGAACACAGAGCACCTAGCTCAAAAACACAGTATACTTCAAACAATCTTTCAACAAAGCAACATCCTTAGATTTCAATGCAAATCAGGAATCCTTTCATTACCTATCATTTCTAAAACAATAATAAACAAAGCAGAAATTAGACACCAGCAAAGGCAACTTACAGAAAATTCTAAACTGTTGTTTGCACCATCGAGAGGGCCCAGGTAAGTGTTCAATAGCAAAACATTCGACAGGAATTATTGTAAAGTGTAGTTACTGTGTATTTTGTAGGTGAATGTGGCAGTCAATTTGTATGCAGCAATGTACCCAAAACAGCCATGAAGTGAATAAACGGCCTCCTGCACGTCCCTCGCCCCTCCACTCTATCACCAATGGCCGTGTTTTAAGTCTCTACATCCTGAGACTCTGGAACTCTCTGCCTCAATCACTCTCCTTGTCATTTTTCAGAATACACTTCCTCTTCAACCATATGGTCACCTCCGCTCCCTCCTTCGCTCAGCATTAGGTTCCGCCAATGTTAAGTGCTCTGAGACACTAGTTTATTTGAAGGGCACTATATAAATGCAAGTTGTTCTTGAATAAATATTATGTGGGGCCTTTTGGCTAGGATTCCTCACCGTCCATTCGAACAGTGTCACATGACCTTTAATGTCCACCTGAACAGGCAGATGGGAACTTGGTTTAACGTCTCATCCAGAGGACGGCACCTCTGCCATTGCAGCGCTTCACCCCCCCCGCACCCCCCCCCCACCCGAGAGCTGGAAAGGAGGAGGATCCACCTGAACTGTGCAAGTTCAACTCACTGATATGGTGGTTTGAACCCACAACTTTCTGACTCAGAAGCCGGAGCTTTGCCGACTGAACCAGGCTGACATCTGCCGAGCCGGCCTGACAGATACTGGGTTCACTTCACTTTCTGAGGTGATTCCGCCACTACCTCACCCCTCAGGCCGCTGAAACTCTTGTGCATACCTTCATCACCTCCAGGCTCGACTATGCAAACCCCTACTTGTCGGTCTTCCAAACTCCTCCCTCCACAGGCTGCAGATAATCCAGAACTCTACAGCCCTTTTCCTCTCCCGCACCAAACTCCATGACCCTATCTACCCCATTCTCGCCCGACTCCATTGCCTCCCTCTTTCAGAAGATTCAGTTCAAGATCCTGGTCCTCACCTACAAAGCCCTCCATTGCCTCGCCTCAACCTACCCCTGCGACCTCCTAACCCCCTACCAACCTGCCCACTCCCTCCGCTCAGCCAGCTCTGGCCTGCTCCACGTCCCCCGACCCACCCGCCCCATCATTGGCGGGAGAGCCTTCAGTCACTCTGCCCCCAACCTCTGGAATTCCATCCCCCAGTCACTCAGCCTCGCCCCCTCCTTAGCCTCCTCCAAATCCCGTCTCAAATCCCTCCTCTTCGAACATACCATCAGCCGCCCCCCTTCCCCTCCCCTCTCCCCCCCCTGACCCCAGCTCGGGTCTGAAATGCTGTACACTGCCCAGCGCCTTGGGACGTCCTCCCAACGTGAAAGGCGCTATGCAAATGTAACCTTGTCGTTGTTGTTGTTGCATTGTAAGCCGAACCCTGAAGGAGCCACAGGGAACCGCTGTGCCCACGACGGTAATAATAATCCTTGCATTTGACACAGTGCCTTATCACGTCTTCGAGACGTCCCAAAGCACTTCACAGAATAGACTGTCAAGTGAATGGACTGTAGATTCTGTGGTAATGAAAGGCGGCAGCCAATCGCGTACAGCAGCAGCGTTCCCCCCAAACAGTGGCGGATAGAGACCAAATTATGATGATTATATATATATAGAGAGAGAGAAAGAGGGATTGTTACCCTCTCCCTCTCCAGGAATAAACCGAAATACACAAAACAAACATGAAGCAGCGCCTGGGGGTGGGGGAGAGGGGGGGGTGGGGGAGAGGGGGGGGGAGAGGGGGGGGTGGGGGAGAGGGGGGGTGGGGGAGAGGGGGGGTGGGGGAGAGGGGGGGGTGGGGAGAGGGGGGGTGGGGGAGAGGGGGGGGGTGGGGGAGAGGGGGGGGTGGGGGAGAGGGGGGGGGGGGGGGGGGTGGGGGAGAGGGGGGGTGGGGGAGAGGGGGGGGTGGGGAGAGGGGGGGGTGGGGGAGAGGGGGGGGTGGGGGAGAGGGGGGGGGTGGGGAGAGGGGGGGTGGGGGAGAGGGGGGGGTGGGGGAGAGGGGGGGGGTGGGGGAGAGAGGGGGGGTGGGGGGAGAGGGGGGGTGGGGGAGAGGGGGGGAGGCGGGGAAGTGGAGGGATGGGGAGGTGGGGAGGGGGGGGTGGGGGAGAGGGGGGGGTGGGGAGAGGGGGGGAGGTGGGGAGAGGTGGTGGGGGGGAGAAGGGGTCTAACCTTTCCCACTCGGAGGCTGTGGTGAAGTCCGTGATTTCAAACACCTCAGACTCCGGCTGTCAGAAGAAACACAGGGCAAAGGGAGAAGGCGCGTGAGTCAGTGATAACGGTCACGGCTTCTCGGCAAAGAACAAATCCATTCAAACACATATATATATATATATACATAAACACAACAAAATAATAAGAGCCTCACGTCACTGTCCGCCGCCATCTGAAAAGCGGCCCCGGGTTTGTGTCTTTGCGGTGCATGATGGGAAAGCGGAGGACCTGCTCTCCCCGCGGCGGGAGCTGCAGTGCCACCTACCGGCACCAGCCGGTACTGCAGGCACTGCCCCCCACCCCGGCCACTGCCCCCCCCACCCCGGCCACTGCCCCCCCCACCCCGGCCACTGCCCCCCCCCCCACCCCGGCCACTGCCCCCCCCCCCCACCCCGGCCACTGCCCCCCCCCACCCCGGCCACTGCCCCCCCCACCCCGGCCACTGCCCCCCCCACCCCGGCCACTGCCCCCCCCCCACCCCGGCCACTGCCCCCCCCCCCCACCCCGGCCACTGCCCCCCCCCCCCCACCCCGGCCACTGCACCCCCCCACCCCGGCCACTGCCCCCCCCACCCCGGCCACTGCCCCCCCCACCCCGGCCACTGCCCCCCCCACCCCGGCCACTGCACCCCCCCACCCCGGCCACTGCCCCCCCCCCCCACCCCGGCCACTGCCCCCCAACCACCCCGGCCACTGCCCCCACCCCGGCCACTGCCCCCCCCCCCACCCCGGCCACTGCCCCCCCCACCCCGGCCACTGCCCCCCCCCACTCTGGCCACTGCCCCACCCCGGCCACTGCCCCCCCCACCCTGGTCACTGCTCCCCCCCCCCCACCCTGGTCACTGCTCCCCCCCCCCACCCCGGCCACTGCCCCCCCCCCACCCCGGCCACTGCCCCACCCCGGCCACTGCCCCACCCCGGCCACTGCCCCCCCCCCACTCTGGCCACTGCCCCACCCCGGCCACTGCCCCCCCCCACCCCGGCCACTGCCCCCCCACCCCGGCTACTGCCCCCCCCACCACTCCACCATCCGCTGCCTCCTCCTGGCCGGCTGCAGCCTCCCGTTCGTCCCTCGTCCCCCTCCTCTCCACCATCAACGGCATTGCTTTCAGCCACTACCCTCCAAAACTCTGGAACTCTCTCCCTCAATCCCTCCGCGTTCCCTCCCCACTTTCAAATTCCGCCTAAAGACCTTTTTTGATCGTACTTACGGTCACCCCCGCACCCCATCCCCCCCGCCGGCTTGTTGTCAGACTCCGCCGCTGTGAAGCGCTCCAGGACGCTACCCGCTTGAATGGCGCTTTATAACTACAAACTGTGGAGTCCTGTAGCTCAGTGGTTAGAGCACTCGTTTTGCAAGTGAGAGACCTGAGTTCAATTCCAGGCAGAGGGCGAAACCTTTGGCAAGTTTCCTTACTCCACACAGAGCCTAATAATAATCCCTCCAAAAAAAAAATAATAAATTGGTCATTTTCAATCTACGACTGTTTGTGGGACATTGCTGTGCGCAGTTGGCTGCTGCGTTCGCCCACAAATATACAGTCAATTCACTTTACAGTGTGTTCTGTGAAGCGCTTTGGGACGTCCTCCCGACGTGAAAAGCGCTATATCAAATGCAAGGATTATTATTATTATTATTATAAATATACAGTCAATTCACTCCACCGTATATTCTGTGAAGCGCTTTGGGACGTCTAGAAGACGTGAAAAGCGCTATATCAAATGCAAGGAATATTATTATTATTACAAGTTGTTGTAATCCTTGCATTTGATATAGCGCCTTCTCACATCTTCTAGACATCTCAAACCACTCTACAGAATATACTGTTTTAAGTGAATTCATTGTATATTTTGTGGGCGAAACACAGCAGCCAATTGTGCACAGAGGTTTCCCACAAACAAGATGTAGATTGATGACCGCATTTTTTTTGAGGAATAATTAATAACCCAAAACGCTCATTGTTCACAATGCAAATTAGTCTGAATCCTGGAAATTGCTACCTGCACTCACCATCCTGAAGCAACAACAAGTTATATTTGTTTAAGCGTCTTTCATGTTGGGAGTAGAATAATAAATAATAATCCTTGCATTTGATACAGTACCTTATCACGTTGTTGAGATGCCTCAAACGCTTCACAGAATCTACTGCAAAGTGGATTGACCTTGTATTTTTGTCCCAAAGCACTGTAGAGTCAAGAATTTGCACCGCGCTTGGGTTGGGACCACCAAAAGTGGGTGTCTGTGAGATTACATACCCCTCCTCCCACACATCTCATAGAGTCTTGCACCTACAGAAGAGATTGTCTTCTTGATCTAATTGATGACTTGCAAGTTGAAACTGAAGGAGGGGAGAGAGCAAGTGAGCGAGTCAGAGGGATTCCGGGAGGGAGTTCCAGAGAGTAGGAGCAAAATGGCTGAAAGCCTGTCCGCCTGTGGATCAGGCAAAGGACATGAGGGAAGCAGCCAAGCAGTAGCGTTAAAGGAGGTAGGGTGGGGTGAGACTGGTGGGATTTGAAGGCTGTTGAATTTGATCTGTGTGACGCTTGGGAGCAAGTGGAACCAAGCAAGGAATGAGGCAATGGGCCCTTGGAGCCAGGTTGTCAGTTCACAACTATAGGATCGAGGATTGATTTCAAGATCCTCTCACTCGTTTCCAATCCTTTCATGCTCTCATATCTTCCTACCTATCTGACCTGCTTTCCTCCCACTCCACCACCCGCTGCCTTCACTCGGCTGGCACCAGCCTCCTGTTTGTCCCTCATGCCCTCCACCATCGGTGACTGTGCCTTCAACCACTTTGCCCCGAAACTCTGGAACTCTCTCCCTTAATCCCTCCGTGTTGCCCCCACTTTCAAATCCCACCAGAAGACCTTCCTTTTTGATCGTGCTCACTGTCATCTCCCCCCTCCGTCTCCCTCTGGCTCGGTGTCAGACTCTGCCACTGTGAAGCGCTCTGGGCCACTACCCCGCCTGAAGGGCACTGTATAAATGCAAGTTGTTGTTGTATCTAGATAAAGAAGAAAAGAAGTAAAAATCAGGAAGGACTATATAATTTGAATGAAATGTGGCTTTCTAGGAGTTCTGGCATATAAACTTGGATTCTAGTTCAACTCTACCTTTCATAATGTCTTGCATTCTTTGTTATTTCTTAAATTGTCTCCAAGATAGAGCATTTTACAGAGGCAAAATAAATAAATCTTTTTGTCTCATCAGCAGAACGTAAAATAAGTCGAGACCTTCCTGTCTCACAAAATCTTAAATTGTCACAAATGCTTACACAGGAAGAAAGATGTTGATATCTGACAACATTTCATCCACAAAACATACAGTCACTACACTTTACAGTATATTCTGTGAAGCGCTTTGAGACGTCCGAAGACGTGATAAGGGGCTATATCAAATGCAAGTATTATTTTTATTATAAATATACATAAATTTCATTTGAGACATCTTAAAATTCTCAAACAGTTCATTTTTTAAAAATTATATAAGCAGAATAAAATCTATCAATCCAATGCAACTGGACGCTATAGGTATCGTACTTGACAACCACACACATCTAAGGGAATGTTCCCTGTGAGAATACAGTGAAGCAAGTTAGTAAAGTAATTACAAATGACTGATTGATGAGGGAATATTTTAGAATGACATTCTTTCTAGAATAACTGCAGTTGGTGTTTTCTTCGGCAACCACAGCCTTGCCTTAGTTCACTGCCAAAACTCTTCCTTAGAATCAGTGAGTCGATCCGTTGCTATCGACAACCAGCCTGTAAACTATAAAGCTGGCGCAACAGCAACAGCCTTTCAACCCAAACTCAAGTCGCTCAAATGAGGTGGTCCCTGTACCTGCCCCCAGTGTTATTGTATCCTCTAGCCAGGCTGACCCTGCATTCACTGAGGCTGTTTTCAAAACTCCTTGAAGGTTTGTCGATTTCAGCCAACGATCAGAACAAAACATAACTCTTCGCCCGCTTGGCCAGCCCTCTATTTTGACCGTGACAGCCTTTCTGAAGGTAAGACAGTTACAGGACACAACGAGCAAGTCTTAACAAGGCGGCTGCATGACTGCGTTTAACAAGACTAGAGGTGTCACAATGGATCGTGTTTTAGGATTGTGCTTTGTGAACCTGCAAAGGTTTGTCATAAATATAAAACAGAATTTGACAAAAGTACAATGTGTGTGCATTGTGCGCTGTGCAAATTGTTGCCTGTTGGTGGTGCTGGGAGCCTTGTGTTGAACAACACAGACAGCAAAACCATGCTCAAAGGTGGGACTGAGGCTCCCAGCTTCTTATCATTTTAATAACACTGATGTTCTATGTGCAATTGCAAGGGCTCAACGAGTCAGAAGACACAAAGACAAAAAGAAAAGGATGACCTTTCTTGCACAGATACAGTTGAGCTGCAGTTATCAATCAAGCTTACCCTAGAAGTGTGCCACAATTAATGAATTTATCTCCTTATGATGTCACGTATGTCTAGCTACACTTATTTATATTATTTATTTGTATTTAAAATTTGCAGGTAGATTACTCTCTACTGAGAGTTTTCAAGATATCTGCTGTTGTCATATGCCTCTATGTGTCTTGAATATTGTAACAATAATAATAATCCATGCATTTGATATAGGGCTTTATTATGTCTTTGAGACGTCTCAAAGGGCTTCACAGAATATACTGTAAAGTGAATTGACTGTATATTTTGTGGGTGAAACACGGCAGCCAATCGCGCACAGCAGTGTCCCACAAACAGTCATGGATTGAGTGACCAATTTATTATTATTTTTCTTATTTTTAAGGAATTAATTTAGAAAATATTCATTTTTTTCTTTGTGGTTGCAGGCAATCAACATGCACTGCAGGCTGTAATCCTATTTGCTGTAATCTCTCAAATTCATGGAGATTTATAAATGCTACTGGAAACTTCTTTAATTCCGCTTGCTGTAATATTGCCAATTTAACAGCAGTGTAGCAGCTTATAAATGTTGCATACTGTTCTGAATTAATGTCAATAATATAATATACTGCAAAACATTCATAATTGAGTAAGGTTTCAACAAAGCTGCTGTTAAAGAATACAGAGCATTTGCAAAAATTGCGCACATGAGAAAATTGCAGAAGACAACATTTTGTGGCTCATTAACAGCTCTGAATATAAACAATAGACCAATACAATGAGATGGAGTGCAACCAGTCATGAATACATCTTTCCAGTACAATTATAATCCACTTGAGGTCATAGGGAAAAATGGACAGTTTTTCAAAAAGGATCTGAAATGGTTTTCCTTATAATTATTTTATTTCAGAAATCATGAAGCATGAGCCCTTTATTACAATGTGAGGAAGGTGCTTAAGATTATATGAGCGAGCAATGGATCAAAACAATCCATTATTGGACATCACGGAAACTGCATCAGAAGGTAACATGGAGACTACAATGCAGCATTTAATCCTGGATGATGAAGGGATTCCTGTAAATATCAGTTTGAAACACCCCAGCACTGACTGTGCAGCAGCTCAAAGGGGTTACACAAAGGTAAGAAATGTGCTTATATGGCCATTGTATCAATACCTATTGTTCATCTTAACTGTTTCTTTCTTTAGACTTGAAAGGTATATTTAATGTGCCTCTCTAATTTATAGATAATATAATACAATTTACATTTGCATTGCTTTTCAGGTTGGGAGGACATCTCAAAAAAGTGGGGGTGGGGGTGAACTGTAGCTCAGTGGTTAGAGCACTCGCTTTGCAAGCGAGAGACCTGAGTTCAATTCCAGACAGGGCGAAACCTTGGGCAAGTTTCCTTACTCCACACAGAGCCTAATAATAATCCCTCCAAAACCAAAAACAATAATAAATTGGTCATTTTCAATCTACGACTGTTTGTGGGACACTGCTGTGTGCAATTGGCTGCCGCGTTCGCCCACAAATATACAGTCAATTCACTTTACAGTCTATTCTGTGAAGCGCTTTGGGACGTCCTCCCGACGTGAAAAGCACCATATCAAATGCAAGGATTATTATTATTATTATTATTAATTGAGGAGGTTGGAGGGAGGAAAGATGTACTTTTAACTTAAATATTTGATCTGTCATTATCATTTTGTATTCTAATGGAACTGAAAGTTCCTGTTTATTGCACTCTTCGTGTTGTGGCTAGGCTTAATCATGCTCAAGAAAAATCAATAACATGAAATTATGGTGCGCTCAGATCAATACTGTTGTATTGATCTTTTCTGATTAGATTGCTTACCTATTTTCATTTCAGGTTGATATGCCATATAGTACTTGACAGCTAACCAGGGCCGCGAACAATTTTATCGAATAAATACAATTTTTAGATGGCCAATGTAATAGTTGTATTTTAGACTGTTGGCTACTGTGATGCCCAACATTTTGAAACACATGATTAAGCAATATTCAAGCAATATTTTCCTATTCACCAAGGTAGCAGATCAAAGACTATAGGTTCAGAGTTGAAAGGGGAATGTCTCGGACAGATAACTAGAAGAATTTATTTACACCAAGGATATTAGAATACATTAGAATATACAGCACAGAAACATACCATTCGACCCAACTGGTCTATGCCGGTGTTTATGATCCACATGAGCCTCCTCCTGCCCTTCCTCAACTGAGCCTTCAAGCATAACCTTATATTCCTTTTTCCCTCATGTACCTATCTAGCTTTCCCTTGAATACATCTGTGCTATTTGCCTCAACTACTCCTTGTGTTAGCATGTTCCACAAATTGAACTACCTGAATGATTTGGAGAAAAATGGTTGAGGCAAGAATACTTGTCGAAGAAATTACGTAGTATTTATTGGTAAACTGGAAGGAAGAGTTCATAAAATCACTAGAAATGCTTTGATAAAGAGGCTCTTCGGCCCATTCAATCTGGTTTCTTTCAGGATACCATTGGTGGCTGAGGCTTCTGCCCTCTGTCCAGTAATTTTTCCACTTGGCTAAAATGAAATACTGTAAGCATCACTGCCACTTGATCTCAGAAAAGTTCCCTACATTTTCCATTGGCATGGAAAGTAGAGACTTCATCACACTCTCCAAATCTATAATGTGTATTTTATGTTGAATATGGTTATTGGGAGAAGCACAATAGCAGCCTTATCCGACGTTTACAGGCTTTATGTTTGCTTTGGAAGAAAGGAGCAGATATCACTCTTTGTAATCACAACAATGAGACAGCTGTATACACGGCTACTTCTACCATCCAGGGAATTCTGCCGTCTGCTGTAAACAGTACCAGCTTTCCCAAGAGGCATCTGCTATAGGCGTCCTGACCTCTAACAACTTCAGCAGGTGCCTGGGGATGCTGTAACGTGAGAACTTTTACCATGTTATCATCAAGCATATAGATGTAGTTACTGAAAGCAGAGGTAACAAATAACTAATGGCAGCTGTAATTCAATTAGGGGAGGGGGAGGCAAGATGCTTCATGTCTGTTTTGGAGGAAATATAATTTAAACACCATCTGCCACTTATTTCAGTCCTTCAAATGAAAAGTTGAAATGTGACGAGAGCTGAGCATCAGCCTTGATTATTTGGCTTATTTTATTTAATAAAGTGATATTGCTCCCATGAAATAATACATATCCATTGTAGTTTGAAAAGAGAAGGGAGTTTCTCCTGTTGTCCTGGCTAACAATCACCCCAAAATAAAATTGGGTATTCATTTCATGGTTGTTTGTGGGACATTACTGTCCACAATTGGGCTCTGAGTTCACCTATAAAATACCGTCACTCCACCCTGCTTTCTATGAAGTGCTTTGGGACAGCCTCCTGATGTGAAAGGCGCAACCTGATAATGATTTCCGACTACATCATGTTGTTTCAGTCAGAAGAGAAGTCTCTAAATGTGAACTGCAGCAACCTCGATAAACTGACTTCTTTAATGTTAGCTGTACAAGATGTGGAAATCTTAGAGACACCAGTGCAATTTTCACCAACAACGTACAAACCTGCGGAGATTGTTCAAGAATTTATTACATACAATGCGTAAGTTTATATTTTTTTAAACATAGATATTGCCATTCAAGGAAAAAACTATTTTAATTCTGATAATTTCCTGATTCATATTGTCTTTGGGTTGGGTTTGGGTTCTGCTTTGTAGCTATCCATCATTTAGATTTATGTATTTATGTTGCGTTAGAATACTAAAAAATCAAAAATTCAGTGTTATTCATAAGTATACATTCACCCATAAAAGAACGTATATTCTTGGCTGTACAACTTCCTATAAATGTGCATTGAAACTCATAAAATCTATTGTAGTTTTCAAGCTGACTGAATTTTTGCTATTAAACACTGCGCTGCTCTGCTTTACAGAGATCTGAATATTTGTGATTCAAAGGGGAGGTCACCCATGAGGTATGCAGACCAGGTGAAAAGCACATTAGGAAACAGCTGACTGACATATTGCTGAATCAACTATCTCTACAAGGTAAACTTATATATATTAGTGGGATTGATATATTTGGCAAAGATCACCAAGTTAGATTAAACTAATTTAGAAGACAGACACTGGCTGATATCTTAATATGTCTGTTGTTAAAAATAGCAACATGGTGTGTTTTCATTGAATCTTTATTTGCAGAGGATTTACAGGTCGTGAGAACTACCATGTATGAGGCAGCAAGTTTAAATTAAAGGGAAATATCTAACATGTTGCAGGACTCAGGAGTCTCAGGATAAAGCAGAAAGTTTTTGAAACGTTTGTACCATTGACCCCTGGTTGTTTTTACAGTCAGGCAAGAAGAGGAGGTCTTTGACTGTCCCCCTGACACAGAGTCATCTTTGTTAGGCAGTTGCATTGGTTGGGAACAAAAGAACTGCACAAATGTTGATTTCAGTACCTGTGGGTCAGAGGTAAGAGGATGGATTTCATGATTCTCAAAACATATCAAAGTGCTTCACAGGATTTTACTATTAAGTGTATTTTGTAGGTGAAAATCCTGATGTGTAATGTCAATTTAGTACTGAAAACATTAACCCTCACACTGCAAGCAGCTCCTAGAAATTTCTAAGTTAATTCATGTAATTTTGTATTGTCTTGGGCCACCATTTCGTTTAATTTTAAAAAAGGTTTTCAGCTCAATTTTGTAACATTGGGACATATTATAATAAAACTGCCCAGATTATAGGAATATATTTTCCACTGTAACACTAACCTGATACTACACAACTAAGTATTTGAAATACATTTTAAATTAATTTATTCTTCTTTCTCTGCCTTTCCATTTCCCCAATTCTTTTATTAATTATTTTTGTCTACTTACTAGTATAACTTAGTGACTATCGTCCGGTGGGGGGTGGGGGAGTTAAATGGAGTTGCCTCGGAGCTGAACTGGCTCCAAGGTGACATGCCTGGCAATGGACTATCAGAATTGAGCCAGCCCTCTGTGGTAGTCTCCGTACTCTGGTTCAAGCCAGTTGGGTCTGTAGTATTCCAGGGAACTGCTGAGGACAGCACAGCCAGCCTGAGTCATTGGCAGGACTTGGAAGGGCAGACCAGTCACTGGGGGAAGGGAGCCATCCCACTCAGCTCCTGTTAACCCTGCAAGCCAAAGCCCTAAAAGGTAGGCTGGTTCTAGCTGGACAAGCAGCGGGAAAGCTTGCCAGACAGCAATATCAATGGCAAGTTGTGCGGTTTTAGCTGGTTAGACTCCAGCAATACCCGATGCACACTCTGGGGTCCCCAAGCTTTGGCTCTTGCGAACCTGCGCCTAATACTTTACGGAATTAGGTAAGCAGGATGCATTCCTCCAGGGAAAGAGTGCACATTCCATCCCAATAATCTATCTCTGGGATTTCCATCTGTAGGCGGGATGCATGGAAATCTCAGCTTGGTTTTGATACTCTTAAGCCTGGTGATAGGTTTCTATTGGGCTGACTAAAAAAAAAACTAATAATTAATATAGCTACATAAAACTATATTTTAGCTTTTATTTTAATGGATTAATAGATGTTGGCCTTTGATTGACCGAAAAACAGCTGCAAAGGCTATGTGTTTTTAGGCAAATGTAAAGGTCTGGTCTGATCACAACCTGAACCCATCTAGTGAATTGTAGCTGGGCTTTGTAATATATAGGAGCAACGGTAAACAGATGGCTCCCAATGACCACAAGAGGTTGGTAATAAAGCACATTTCTTGACATAATAAATATTCTTTGTCACCTTTGCAATTTGTTTAAATATTTGCATAGAATTTCCAAGTACCGTATTATGCATTGCAACACACCTTAAACATTTAAGCTGAGTTATTTTTAATAGTACAAAATGATGTTATCAGTACCTTATCTAGTCATCTGAAAATTTACAGAACTTGTTTAACGTTCAGTAAGCCATTGTTCCTGTAAATAATTTCAGAAATGGAAGCTGAACTGGATGTTTCCATCAATTTGGTAATGATTTAATCTGTAACAGTGACTGACATTTTTTATTTACAAAGAATATATTCATATTTCAGGGCGAAACCTTACTCCCGAGGCTCTCCTGATTGGCTCCCGTCAGCGCCGCCACACCTCAGGCGCTGACAGCGTCACCATCCATGGTTGCACACTCCACCATGCTAAGCCAGTCCGGAACCTTGGGCTCTTGTTTGACCCTCAACTATCCTTTCTACCCCAAATCCACACCATGACCCACTCTACCTTCCACCATCTCCGCAACATCACCCGGTTCCGCCACTGTCTCACACCGCAGGCCGCCGAGACCCTCATACACGCATTAATTATATCGAGGCTTGACTATGCAAACTCCTTGCTTGTCGGCCTCCTCAACTCCTCCCTCCGTAGGCTGCAGACCATCCAGAACTCTGCAGCTCGTGTCCTCTCCCACACCAGGCTCCGTGACTCTATCACCCCCATCCTTGCCCGACTCCACTGGCTTCCCATCACACAGAGGATACAGTTCAAGATCCTGGTCGTCGCCTTCAAGGCCTCCATGGTCTTGCTCCCCCCTACCTCTGCAACCTCCTAACCCCCTGCCATTCTGCCTGCTGCCTCCCCTCAGTGGACTCTGGCCTGCTTTACGTCCGCCATCTCACCCGCCCCACCATTGGCGGGCAGGCCTTCTGCCACTCTGCCCCACCTTCTTTAACTCCATCCCACAGTCCCTCTGCCTCGCTCCCTCCCTTGCCTCCTTCAAGACCCATCTCAAGACCCTCCTCTTCGGCCATGTTTCCGATCACCTTGCTTCTCCCCCTGCCCTCCACCCTCCCCAATCCTGACTCCCAGCTCGGGTATGAAACTCTGACTGTCCAGCGCCTTGTGACGTCCTCCCTACGTGAAAGTCGCTATACAAATGTAATTTTGTTGTTGTTACTCCACATGCCTCTGTTTACTTAGCAGTAAGTAGGAAGCAGTTGTTAGTTGATTGGCGGATCGCTTTCGGGGGTAATAATCCCTCAAAAAAACAATTTGGTCACTCAATCCACGACTGTTTGTGAGACATTGCCATGCACAATTGGCTGCTATGTTTCGCCCACAAAATACATTCAATACACTTTACACAATATTCTGTGAAGCGCTTTGAGACATCTCAACGACATGATAAGGTGCTATATCAAATGCAAGGATTATATATATATATATATAACAATGCTATTTAACATATCCACAACACAATAAATAACCTGAAAACCTATTTAATTGTAGCTGATTATATTGTTTTGAGTGAATAAAACTTTGAGTAGAATTGATAAAAACTTTAAAGTGAAGAAATAGTTATTTGTTTATTGTTATTAGGTCAAACAAATTTTAATATTCTCAGCAGAATGGATTTCTAAAGGGTGAAACCATATATTTCACACAAAGGGACTGAATTTGCAATGATTGTGTGATATCTACTTTCCAGATGCTCAGTGAGGATGTAGAAAACTCTTTGACAAACACAGCTACAGCTTTAGCTTCTGAAAGCAACAGTAAGTTGAATAATCAATGTTGTAGAATAATTACAGAATCTCAAAGTACAAACCCAGATACTAGAGTGTGAAAAACAAAATTAAAATGTTGGCAATTCACTGCATTGTTTACTCCGAAATAATGTTACATGGAAGCTAACAAAAGAGGAAGATAGGTCGCCATTTCAGGTATCCACCTGAAGACTCTTATTTTACATTTCATGTTTTAGTCACAGCATTCAGAAACACAGAGGTTGGACAGTTTCATTATTAACTCTAATATTATAGAGTTTTTATGAGCACTGTAGCACACACATATTTGGCTCCTTGTATTCAGTATTTATACCCTTTGTATACCCTAATTACTGTATTTTTTAAAACTGTATGAATGGATAAAGCACTCTATTATCACATGTCCTTGTTCCTTAGAATAGTACATTATTGTTCTTCCCAAACGTGTAAGATGAGCTCAGGGCAGGTAGGCTTTTCACATGTTAACACCTGTCTTCCAAGCATCTATCATTGGCTAATACACACATTCTACTATATCAGCCCAGACCAGTCACAAGTTACTGCAAATACAGCAGGGACCTGAATACACACAGTGAAGTGGATTGTTTAGCAAACAGGCTTTGTGAGAACCACTAGACTGGACAGTACCGCAGTTTATACAAGGATAAAGAGAATAAACATTACTTCTGATGCCTAATTCTTATTCTCAAGCACACATATTTCATCCAGACTCTACAAACCACAGCAGGTATACATTAATGTTGTTTGGTATGGGATTTATGTATCTGTAATCCTTGGAGCACTATTGTTATGTTTTTGCTTCTGAATTATGTAAAGTACATTTACATTAGAGCAGTTCTATGGTTGCCTAGATATTGTTTTGATGAAAATATGTTTGCAAACCTATATGGACAGGGGCGGGGGCAAAGACTGGCGTTGGGTGGAGATGATTTTAGTGGGAAACACCCTGTTTTTGTTTCTGTGCATGGTTGATAGGTGTAATGTAAACAGTCTCCACCTTTACCCGATCACTTGCCACCATATTTAGCCTGGGAGCTGCATCTGAACATCAGTTAACTTTACATTTTCCAACTAGCTCTACTGTGAGCTTATGTGACATGATTACATCAATCTTACAGCCCGTGTATGGAAATTAACCCAGAAGTTTTCGAAATAAAGGCTCCTCCTCCAAGCCTCACTTAATGTAAAACAGGAACCATAGGATAAAACCTACCATAACATGATGCCCTCTGTTATCTCACAGCCCAGTCAAATTTAATGAAACACACCCTTCAAGTGAATTGAGCTCCAGTGACTCCTGAGATAGTGATTTGAATTTTCATACTTGTTGCAGGCAATTTTAATAATATCACTTTTGGATTTCTATGAAATACAGTATCAGAATGTTCTTTGGAAATAATTTGCAGAGTTGTTACAGTCTGAAATGCTCTGCCTGAAAGAGTGGTGGAAGCAGATTCGCTAATAGGGAATTAGATAGGTACCCATAAGGGAAAAAATTGCGGGGCTATGGGATGAGAGTGAGAATAGTTGGTAGCTCTTTCAAAGAGCCGGCACAGGCACGATGGGCTGAATGGCCTTCTTCTGTCCTGTAAAATTCTATGATTCTGGAGAGGCTAATGTAACCGGAGTAACCTAATAAAAGTTTGATTTTATAGAATTGTAGATTTTATAGAATTGTTTCTTTGAGCAGTGCTGCATTTTCCACTGTTATTCTTGTGATGGATGCTTCTGATTTTGTCCAGAGATATCTGAAAATCATCTAGCAATTAAATATTTCACATGTGGCACTTTTATTTTCCTTGGAGAGGAGATTGAGTTGCATTACAATATATTAGATTCTCACTGGAAGTGTCATCAGTGAAAATAAATAATGTTCAATGATCTTTTTGCAAAACAAAAATCTGCTCTTTCCAGGTCAGAAGATTCTTCTTTATCTTCACACTGCAAAGCATACTTTACAAGAAAGGATTCAAGTGTACAAAGAATTAGAAATGAATAGGTAAGTAACAGTTCTTGGAATGGAAACAAGCATTTTAGCAGACCAGCTGCGGAATTTAAAATTTAATTTTGTTTTCTTTTCTGATGTTCCATATGAGATAAATATTGTAGTCTAAAAGCTGTAATCAACAATAATAATAATAATCCTTGTATTTGATATAGCGCCTTATCATGTTTTCAAGATGCGTCGAAACGCTTCACAGAATATACTGTCAATTTTGTGGGGTTCAAACAATCACCGAAGCATGAGTCAAGATAATGCAAATTAATATATGGTGTTTTCTACAGTCAAGATATGTCATTGGGAAATTCCTGGAAATGTCTTAGAAAGGAACGGCACTCATCATTACCAGATGATATACTTCTGACTCCAATGAGATTGAAGAGACGCTCCTCACTAAACATCACCAGAAGGAGCGGTTATATTAAACAAGTACCTAGCCTTAACATAGGCACACAAATGCAGGGGTCACAGTCTGAGCCAAACATCACTGATACTGAAATCCACTTGGATTCCTTGCCAGCCATGAAAGCTCATATTCAGCAAAGTAAGTTTCTAGTCTTATTTTTTCAGTCTGAGTGTTAGTTTAGTTGTAGTGAAAAATGTACAGCTTTGATTGCCTGAAATTATACTGGAATGGATTTTACCATTAAAAAAATACAACCTGACTTGCAAAACATGTACTTCAAAGAAACAAAACCAGTTTTTATAGAATAAAATATTTCCCTTGTGTTATTCCAAACCATACACCTAAATCAACAATGAAGTAAACAATTATTTATTTTAAACAAACATTATAGATATTTTATTTCTGGCACGTAAATAACATTTTTGAACTGAAATTATAAAAAAAATCACATCAGAATTTTATGTGCTTAATCCCTAGCTTTGCAGAACAGGAACAATGAGACTATCAAGGTACTATATTGATTTCAAATATATATATTAAATATGACAGTACCACCAGTTTTGTTTTGCATAAGGCTTTACATAATGACTGTTCACTTATAACTGAGAATAACACTGGTTCTATTTTAAATAATTGTATATGTTGCCTTTTCTGTCTTAAAAAGAAAGAAAAACATATTGACTCATAGCCCTATATTGAATGAACTCGAATGAACGCTAAATCTATGATTCGGAATATTGCAGGTTGCTTTACCTCAGCTAAACACCAGCCATGACAGGACTCCAGTTCCTGTGCGCCTCGCTCCACTAGAGTGTAAAACAGCCCTTGATATTTCTAGTACAATTCTACTGTCAACACCCTCAAAACCATCACTCCTTCCTGCTTTATCATCTCACATATCAATCACAAAGACAAAAAGAATGAAGAGGCAATCCTTACCACAGGATCACAGAAGTAAAGCTGTGAGTGAATATGATAGCAGTGGTACATCTGGCAACCCAAGCTCCTTGGATATGGTTGAGACTTCGCAGAGCCTAGTTATCCAAACATCAGATAGAAGAGATGATATTGACATTGCGAACAATTGCAAATTAAATTTACCACCTCCTCTGTATGTGGGTGAGCCCTTGGGTGATGTGGATACAAAATGTAACAAAGAGCTTCATCTAATTCAAGAGAATGATAAATATTTCTGCTCAAATCACGTGAACCATTTGGTACCTACAGAAAATAGAGAATGCACTTCATCTGGGTCGGATGAAAGCAAATTGAAATGTAAAGAACCCAATACTACAGAAATAATCTTGTCTAATGAAGAGGTGGCACATACTAATTGTTGCAAGGATATCGCAGTATTATTGGATTCAATTCAGAATGAAGAGCTGAACTATCAATCTAGTATAAGATTGCACCATGTTGGAGAACACCTGGACGGAAATGCTGTTAAATCTACTGCCAGGGATCTGTGTCAAAGCACAAATCTGGAGAACGTTTGCAACAAAAGAGCAGCTAACTTAGTTTTTCTATGCAGACAAGAGACCCACCCATGCGATGATCTGTTTGAAGCAAACAAAGCAGAAGATATGATAAGTCAAAAAGGCAGTGTTCGGAATCCAACAGAAAACCTTGGAAAAAATATAGCTGTACCAGGAAAGATTACGGGGACAGAGTATGTGACTAATGTAAAACAGGAAAACTTAGCCCACAAAGATGTACAAACTGATTCAAAAGGCATTCCTGTCATATATGTTACATTGGCAAACCAGCCACGTAGCAAGTTACAGAATTTTTCAAGACAGACTGCTACTAAAAGGAGAGTTAACAGTTATACCACAACTCATGATGCCAACCACAGTTTTAATGTTTTATCACAAAATGAAAGAGGTGCGAAAAAGAAAATAGCCAAGTCAAATTTTGTGAATCAAAGGAATAGTAGCTCAATTCCAGCCAGGAGCAAACATGGTTACAAGGCATCACAGTACCTTTCTGTTCCAAAGCAGCGTGGGCCAATGCAAAATGTACATTTGCAACCAACTGTTCGTTCCGTGAAATCTAAACAAGGTCCAAGTTTACCTTCGATGGAGAATGCTGGCCTGAACCAAATTTCATCAAAAGTGCAAATGAAACCACAAATAAAATGCCTGTTGAAAAATGGGTCAGTTCCTAAAAAAAGTCTACCACATATCAACAGGAGTGCAAGTAGTCTAAGCAAACCATCAGTTCTACCGATTCCAAGATCACATTCGCTCGCTGATTTCTCAGAGTTAAAGTATTGTGATATGTTTCAGGAAATAAATCCAGTTGACAAAGGCCCAGGAATTTATGAAATGTTTGGCACTCCAGTGTATTCGATCCTGCGAGAATCCACAGCATTAGATAATAATGATCAGGCTGTTCATTCTGCCCCACCTAGAAGAGCATCGACATGTAAAAGTCCCAAATCAAATAAATCAACTGCAAAGAATATCAAAAAGAATTTGAATTCTAAAAATAATAAAAATTGCACGAATGTACAAAAAGAGAACATAGGTATATTACAAAATAAGAATGTGGGTATATTACAAAATCAAGAGAAGATTCGTCCACCGTTGAATAGTGATGAAGAACAAGATGACTTTGCGATAATTTCGGGCTGCGATTGGCATACAAAGACTTCCAGAAGTGAAGTGCTAATGTGCTGTCAGGAAAATTCAGGTCATTGCCCAGATTTTTCTGAGCCTTATGTTTATCAGGTGGAGAAGCAAAACTTGTCTACCATTACGGAGACCTCACTTGAGCAGGTTTCAGTCGGAGCAGAAGAATCTGAAAATATACTTCAGGAATCAGATCGCAATTGTGTCAAAGAAGGGGAGTTTGAACATAATCCAATCAATGAGAGCAAAGATATAATGCTCCAAAAATCCAATAACATAGATTCTTTTCCTACCAATTTATTCGAGTTAAAAAAACATCCACGTAAGAAAGACATAGAAATAATTAAAACATGCAAAGGGTTGGGATACCAAAGTAACACAGACGCATATGAATCTACAACTCTTTTGCCTAATGAATTAAATTTGAAGATTGTGGATGATGAAGAAGAATCTGCTACTTTATGTAGATTCGGAAACCACAATAACACTACCTCATCTAAAGCAGGATTTACTTCTGATTTGGATTCTAACCCAGGAAGCTTTCCAGGTCAACCACTGATGAACACGTGGACAGCAGAGAGTCCAGCACGTTGGTTTGAATGCCCCAGTCAGGATGATCTCACAAGTGAATTGCTCAGTTGTTTGGCATCAGCATTATTGTTAGAAGAAAATGATACCAATGAGCAAGTTCTACAACTGGTCACAAATGTACAGGAAAAGACAAATCATAAAACTAAGGAAAATTTACCCCAAAATGAAAACAAGGGGATGGCTGAGTACTGTAGAACAGAAGGGAAAAACGAAATAAATATTCAGGTAAACAAGGCAAGTTTTACATTGATTAATAACATTAATAGACAACACTCAAACAGGCATTAAGATAATAATAATCTTTGCATTTGATATGGCGCCTTATCAAGTCTTCGAGATGTCTCAAAGGGTTATATTTTGTGGGTGAAACACGGCACCCAATCGCGCACAAAGGCGTGGATTGAGCGACCAATTTATTATTTTTTTGAAGGAATTATTACCCCCGGGTTCCTACTTACTGCTAGGTAAACAGAGGTGTTGTGTGGAGTAAGGAAACTTGCCCAACGTTTCGTCCTGCCCGGGAAGCAAACCCAGGTCTCTCGCTTGCGAGGCGAGTGCTCTAACCACTGAGCTACAGGACTCCAAAGGTAGAACTAAGCACTAAAAAAATGTTGCATTGTGTACTTTTAGGAAATAATAAGTAATGCTTTTCATGACATATTTATTTTGTTCGGAACAGAATCCAGAATACTTTGTTACAAAACTATGGAGTACTCCTAGCAGACCAAACAGCTGCCTCGACAACACAATAAAGTCTGAATGTAGTTCCATCAGCTATGAGGAAACCATGACATGGACTAAAGGCAATGTGCTTGGCAAAGGAGCCTCTGGCACAGTGAGTAACCAACTTTAAATATCAAAAGTGAATTGACTGTATATTTTGTGGGCAAAATGTGTGGATTGATTCATTACTACTTTAAAATGCTTCCGTGTTTTCCCAAAGACTTGTATTTTACCAGAAAAATGAGTCCTGCTGAATAGGAAAATGAAAAGAATTAAACTCTACCAAAATCAACTTCTTGTAGATCGTTCCCTATAACATTTCAAAATGAATGCCTCAAGTTTCTCAGATAGTGGAATGTTGGTTTATACTGCCACAAATGATTTGAAATATTTCTGGTGGCAAAATATTCAGAAGTTTCCTGCTCCAAAATTGCATTCTCAGGACACGGTGGAAAAACAACAAAATTACATTTTGTAAAGCACCTTTCACGTTGGAAAGACGTCCCAAAGAAGCCACACAAATGGCTCTTTAATAACTTCAAAACAAGGGCTTTTTCAGATATTTGTACAGTTTTGTATGTTTTATTGGTGAATCACATTCTTAAGGTACTTTGGGCAAAATCTGAGCACATTCCAACAAAACATATTCAACACAATTTGCTTCAGGATCACAACCCACAAAGGAGATTTATGCTGTTTACTGTGTTTATCATATATTCTGTGTTTTGGGGGGGGGAGGGAAGGGGAGATTGCAGAATAACTTGGTTATAACATAATTGAGAGTTTCATACACTACTTAACTCAGATCACAGGCTGATTCTACCAGTCAGTAAGTTGGAAGTTGGGCTGCCGACATAGAAAAGCAATACTGAGCAAGCCTCATTGGGATGAGTCGACGCCCGTTCCCATTTTCCAGGTCTTGCAGACAAATGAACAATTGTTTTGATTCTCAGGGCAGAAAAAAAACTGCAAATGTAGTAAATTTACAATAAATAGATCAACATCTTAAAGTGAAAAATCAATTCATGTTGCTCTTCATCGTGGTTCAGCATCTTGAAATATTAACCCAGTTTTTTTCTTTCAACCCATTATACCTTTCTACCCTTCTGTTCTATTTCATTCCTTTCCTTCCAAAAGGTAAATAACGTCCACCCTGCATGTGAAGTCATGTTTTAATTTCTTTTTCAGGTGTACTGCGGCTTAACCAGCCAAGGACAATTAATTGCAGTTAAACAGGTTGCTCCAGATACAACAAATCACATTACAGCAGAAAAGGAATATCAGAAACTGCAAGAGGAAGTAGAGCTGCTAAAAAATCTGAAGCACATCAACATTGTGGGTTTTCTAGGAACAAGTCTGGAAGCCAAGGTCGTCAGCATTTTTATGGAGTTTGTCCCGGGCGGCTCAATTGCAAGTGTCATAAATCGATTTGGGCCCTTACCTGAGGCCGTTTTCTGCATGTACACTAAACAGATTGTACAAGGAGTGGGCTACTTGCATGAAAATAGAGTGATTCACAGAGATATAAAAGGCAACAATGTGATGCTCATGCCTAATGGGATCATCAAACTCATCGACTTTGGATGTGCCAAACGGTTGGCACACGTGAATATGAATGGTACATACAGTGAAGTGTTGAAGTCAATGCATGGAACTCCTTATTGGATGGCCCCAGAAGTGATTAATGAGACGGGGCATGGCAGGAAATCAGATATTTGGAGTACAGGTTGTACTGTGTTTGAAATGGCATCAGGAAAACCCCCCTTGGCTCACATGGACAAAATCGCAGCCATGTTCTATATTGGAGCACAGCGAGGTCCAATGCCTCATCTGCCTGAACAGTTTTCTGAAGATTCCAGAGACTTTGTTCAGATTTGTTTAACAAGGTAAGGTATTTTCTTTGTGATTTGGGGCATAACAAGGAACTTGAGTACATAAGAATTTGAGGTATTGTACAGTATTGGGGGCAAGAAACATGTCATATTTCTTATTGTCTAATCTAGCCCTGACTCATAGAACCATATTTTCATGTTAAATTTGTCAGGGTGAGTAATAATGAAGCCATAATAGACTTGTAGTTATGCCACAATACAAATAACTGTAGTTAATTGTTATTTTTTCCATTGCATAGTGACCAACATAAACGTCCCTCGGTAAAACAATTGCTGCAGCATCCGTTCATTGTAAGGCAGCAGAGACAGAACAGAGAGAAGACAAAACTGTAGCAGAGACTGAACTTCAAGTCTCAAAGTAAGAGCCTTTATGCATATCACTTCAGTTATTGTTGAACATAGATTTAATTTAAAATCCTTCTAAAATATAATATTGCTCATGTATACTTGAATGTAGTATTCTAAAAAATATTTCACTGATACTTCCTTTAATACTGTACCATGTTGAAAGTAGTTTTTTTTCAATTTAAGCACTGTACTAGAATTCTTAATCTTTTTAATTATGGCTTAATCTTAATCTGTAGTACGTTGTCAAATATTTTTAAATTCCTTCACCAATTTATTCAAGAGAGGAAAGAAAAAATATTTGCATTTTGAAAGTATAAACCTGTTGCAGATCAGGTTAATTAAAAGATGATGGTTTCAGAAGTGTGATTCATATTTGCTGCAGTACATATAGCTGCATAATGCACTAGACTCATTTCACGGTGGTCTATTTATAAAGAGATATACAAAAAAATACATTATATTAATGTTAACCTCATCAAAACCTTTTATAATTTTAAACACTTCATTTTAGGTCCCTCTTAAGAATATCTTTTCCAGCGAAAAAACAAGATTTAATTTATAGAGCGCCTTTATAGTTGGGTCGGGAAAAAAGGCCTAAGCTCTCCAGTTTATCCTGACAGCAGTTGAACTAGCCCAAAAATGTTTTAACAATATTTTAAAATATTGAATATTTAAAAATTAATGTTCTGAAGAGCAGATTGTGCAGCTGGAACCTTCTCTTGCCACTATTCCCAATGGTTTCTCATTTTCAGAACCTCATTCTTTCGGGTTGGTGCATACTTATAATAATGGGTTGGGGAGAGGAACGAAAAAGGCCAGGAGCAATGTCACCTGCAGAGAAATAAAAACCCACAACATGGCCCTGATTCCCAAAAGCATTCACAAGTCTTCTTTTGATGAACAAGAGACATTGGCAAATTCTACCTCAGTTATGTAAAACAGCAAGTGTACTCAGTCACAAATGGGAAGAAATCTGGAAATTATGTTGGTTTTGAAATTTTTAGAAACTAGACATTGTAGAAAATACTGATTAATTCAGCTGCCAAACCTAGTTACAGCAAGTCTCTGTATAGTAGTATCATGCGGAGCAGCAAAATTGAATGTGCCTATTCAGGTGGACATTAAAGATCCCATAAGAAAAATCCTATATAGCACCGTATCATGTCATTGAGATGTGATAAGGCACTCCATCCACAGTAAAGTGGAGCGACTGTATTTTGTGGGCGAGCACTTGAAAAGAGAAGCAAGTTTCCCCTGGTGTCCTGACCAATAAGCCCCAAAATAGGTTATTCACTTCATGTTTTTCTGTGGCATATTGCTGTATGCAAATTGGTTATCGTGTTCACTACACTTTACACTGAACATTGTGAATGGCTTCGAGACACCTTGATGATGCAATATTAAAATCTAAGATTATGAAATACGCAACCAAATTAAATTTATATATGTAAAAAAANTCTAAACGTGCACATTGCCTTCCAGACCCCTGCCCCTACAATTGCTTTTCTGCTGGAAGTTCAAATGATCACTGAGTCTGCCGTTGATATGTGCAACCCCATTTGGTTCTGTAATAGCTTTTTGGTCCTTTGCAAACAGCACATAATCCACATAGAAACAAAGTTAAAAGAATGAAACCAAAATTGATAGTTTTGAAGGCTTTATTTTTTAAATAGATGATCAACTCTTTTGTACAAATTTCATATGAACATTGCATTTTCACAGTAGCAATAATGAGTATAATTAACTGGTCAAAGTGAAGTTTGAAAAAAAAAGTTGCATCACTTCAGAAATTATGCTTGCAATGCAACATTTAGGGTTTGGAGACTACCAAATTTTGTGGACTAAGGAAAACCTGTTAAATTAAACAGGCAATTTCACAAATGCGTTTTAAACTATTAGCAAACAGATTCCCAGTCACTTTGACAAACAGTATTACCCTTAAGTTTTTTCTCAATCATTATTTAACATTTTACTTACTGAAGAGGTTAAACTACAATACAGTGAAAAAAATTCTATCATGTAATATATTTGTATTGGAAATACTATAGGTTGCAGAGGACTACTGGGTAGTCATTCATGTTGAAAAGCTATATTAAAAAAATTGACAGCAATAAGCAGAAAAAATGTTCTCTCTTAAATGTCCAGTCAATAAAATTTCAAACTTTGTTAGTATAATCCACTTTTGTAATTCAGAGACTAAGATTATGTAATTATGCAAAATTCCCCAAATGACAGTAGAACCCCACTTTATGGGCACCTAATTATGAGGGCAACACATTATTCTGGGCAGTTTCTTTATTAAATAATAGTGACAGTAATCCCAAACTCATCAATGAAGACATGTCACTTAGGAAAAATAAGGGAAAACAGGCCAGTTTGTTGATTGCCCTGAATTTCCACTATACAAACAATGGAAATGTTAATTGCATTAGGTCGGTTTCCCAGTCATACTTTGATCTTCAGCCTCCACCACACAAATCTTTGATGGATCTAAAAGCAAACAGCATGTTAAAGTCGGGCTGGATTGCATTTAAGGTCCCCCTCAACAGTTGACGACAGAACAATTATGAAGGGTTATGAGAATATCGCAGGTACATGCTTCTCCATTTGATGTTGATGCGAATGTCTGAAGGGATTCATCTACTAATCTACATAAATTGTTTTTTTAAATGATAAAACAAAACGCTTGGGGAAAATTTAGACAAGACTTAAAACATTCAGACAATAACAATGACAACTTGCATTTATATAGCACCTTTCACGTGGGTAGAGTCCCAAAGTGCAATAACCAATTCCACTGAACAAAAAATGTTTTAACATATTTGTAAATAGTTCTATCATAGTGTACAATACACAGTTCATACCATGCTACATATGTTGTGTATTTTGATACCTGAAAGTCACCTTACTAAAATTATATCAAAGGTGATTTAAAGCATGCAATCTTCAGAAATCACCCTTTCAAATAGGTGAATACAGTAGAAGTGTTAATATACTGATGATTTTCTTTAAAAACATTTTAAAGAATGCATTTTCAGAAAAAATCCTTGAACTAATTTGTATCAAAATGACAATTGTGGTTGAAAAACAGTACACTTAAGCCTGTGCTGCATGCAGCTTTGAGTTAGATGATTACACAGGTTTCCTTACTAGTGAGATTTGAGACTCAGCAAGAATGAAAAGGACCTAAAACGGGAGATCTGTAAAGCATTAGTTGTCAATTCTACCACAACAAACTTTCTGCTAAATATATATGTTGCAACATGCTTATTGAAGGGCTGAGCATTATGAATGTACAGCCCCAGCCAAGGCTTAAGCAATGCATCCTCATAGCACGTCTTCTTTCAGAAACATTTTCATGACATTAAGAAATGCATTATTCTTTTTTATCACAGCTCTTGATGTGATTTACTTGTGAAATATACACCAGCATTCCCTGCCAGTAAAGATTAATACATTCTAAATGATGTACTTGAGATTTCATACAATCTATGATCTTTAGTTTTGAGTCAGTTCATTGGCTCAATTCGTTTCCTTTTGGCATAACCTTCTTATAAATAGGGATCTACTAGAGTATCCTGGCTGCAGATAACCATGGTGATTGATTTGTGTAGTATGTATTTTCACCCCCCCACTCCCCCGAAAAAAATGATCTGGGCTAGAAGACAGGTATTTTTGGGCCGAGAAAAGGCGTGGAGACCTGTAGCTCAGTGGTTAGAGCACTCGCCTCGCAAGCGAGACCTGGGTTTGATTCCTGGCAGGGCGAAACTTTCCTTACTCCACATTCCTCTGTTTACCTAGCAGTAAGCAGGAAAACCCGGTTGTTAGTCGATTGGCAGATCACTTTTCCAGGGGTAATAATTTCTTTAAAAATATATAATTGGTCACTCAATCCACAACTGTTTGTGGGACACTACTGAGCACAATTGATAAGTTTTGCCGACAAAATATACAGTCAATTCACTTGACAGTATATTCCATGAAGTGTTTTGAGACGTGATAAAGCGCTATACCAAATGCAAGGATTATTATTACTTTCAAGATTTACATATCCCATAAAAATTGGCAAAGGACAGGAGACCCATGGAAGCAATAAAACCCACTAAGCCCAATTCAGAAGAGTAATTATCGTAGTTCCTTAATTCAACCTCTAATATTAGGTTTGCCATACTAGCATAGTATGTGCAGCAGTAAGCAATCAGGACTAAGGGTACATGCTCAAATACATTCTTAGTGAGAGCAATTGATCTAATACAATTGGCAGATTTTTATTCAAGTTCCAAGTGCCAACATATCAGATTTTCATAATTAGAAGAAAAATACACACGTGTATAAATACTGCAGCCAACACAAAGAACATTAAGTTTAGACTATTTTGGAAGTGGTCCCAATAAGGTTGCTAATGATGGTAAATCAACAGTGTTTTTCTGGAGCCAGGATTCAGTAAAGCATTATGTGCCCCTGGCCGTACAGGATAACTAATAAAATGGTGCTTGAAAGGAAAATTGCTTAAAAATGTGCCGCTCTTTAAAGTAGATAATTGATACCAACAATGTATAGTAAAACTGAACTGTTGAACTTACCTCTACTTTATTTGGTGCATAGCATAAACAGTTTCAATGTATACAAGCGATTTCTTATTGATGTGCTGTAGTTGATCTCACTTCCCATCAGCAGTCAGTATGGAGCATTACAGCACACAACATCTGATGCATATATAAAAGTGCCTACTATGTTATGCCATTTCCATTCATTACAAATGCATGCAAAATTTATGAAATGGTAAGTAGTACATGAGATATCTTTGGTTATCAAATCCACCTGATTTAGGCCAAGGATAATATTTTCTGCCCCCTGACAGGAATACAAAATTAATCAATTTCATACTCAAATCTTTTCTTAGAAATATATTCATATTTTAACCACTTTCAACCGAATTTTTTTTTTAAAAAATCGAGTGAAAGACAAAAGAGAAAAGGTGATAACGGTTGCCAATTTAGACATCTGAAGCATCGCCAAATATCCAACTGCAGTATTTGAAGAGGAAATTAGAAACTGATGTACATTCGGCTAGCAATTGCAATAAAATTAAAGATCCTGCTAGAAATGTATCAAAATAATCTTTTACAAACAATTTCCAACCATTTTTACGCTGCCAAATCATGCAAAACAGCTGTCATTATTCCTCAAAACACGTCCTTCAGCAAACTAATCAAGCACCAAAATGTACAATTTCACAAGTGTCTGCACCAAAATTATAAAATCAATGAGACTCAGCTAGTGTAGTACATTTCTTCATTCATTCAGAATAAAAAAAAGCTTTCCAGCATTTCATTTAACACCCAATAACAGTTCCAAGAAACAAAGCAGTTCAAATCAATACTTGTTATGAAGTTACTAAATGGTTGGCAATTCACGTACAAATAGTCTAGAACTGCCATTGTTTAGCTAGTTAATCTTCATGTAAGCACTCTCCGCAAGAAATAGGAAGGTAGATTGTAAATAAAGAACTTACAATAAATACACCTGAATCTGCTAACTACAATATAGATCAAGTTGAAGCATTATTCCTGAATTATACAAAGCACACTTTAGGCACAGCAATATGAACTACTGGCAAAGAGAGGTGAAGATCGACTATTGGGAAAGGGACAGGAGATACAGATAGAACACAATTTCACAAGTGCACAAGGATGTTAACCCAAATAATACTGTTGATGTTATGTGGAAGAAAAAAATATAGCAATTTAAATATTTTAATCAGCATGGAAAGATTTAAACCAAAAGCTCAATTAACCCTTCGACTGGCAAAATTGTTAGCCCAAATTAATCAATATTTGATTTCATGTACTTTTAGTTGAAATAAAAATCACATTGATAAGGTACAGCTCAGAGAAATTGACAATTATAAAAAGCAATAGAAAACAAAAAAAATAATGGTTTCACAATCACAAACTCAAACTGAGAGCTTTCATATTCATAACTGGCTGATGGACGTTTATATCGAGAAAAAAGGACAACCATTGGCACAATCTTAAACAATACAACTGTAAAGTAACCCAAGATGTTGAACCAAAATTATGAACATGTACAGATCTCTACATCTAAATAGTAAACAAAGCTTGTAAATGTTGCACTGGGCATTTTAAGATGACGCCTAATATGCAACCCCCATACTATACAAATTTACATAGTTATTATTCATATATTGCATAGAACTGAATACTGTAGTTCAAAATATTACAATGCTGCTCTTTACACCAATTGTCTTCCCTTCACCAGCCAAATATGGTATTACTCAACACAAAGCCAATATTGGAAAGTAAACAAATTGGTTTCTGGTTGGAGAGCAGAAGCTACAACTCAGTCAAGCTCTAAAGAGAACATCTAAAAATATCTTTGCAGTGAAAGTTTGAATGCAAGTGCACATTTTTTGATTTGAAACCAGGATAGAGCCAGGAAAATTAAGTTTCAAGACACTAAAAAAACACTTCACAGTATATTCTGTGAAGCACTTTGAGATGTGTCAAAGACATGATAAGGCGCTGTATCAAATGCAAAAATTATACCATTGCAATTTGACAAAATTAATAATATTTCAGCATTATATTGCTTTGATTCCTTTCATAGTGAAAAGTACACAACTCTAGAAAACAAGTACCCCAGAAGAAGCTGATACCATAGGGTCTATAGGGGAAAAAAGAAAAAAAACTAATACAGCAAATCAAAGTAATAAGATTGTGTTTGTGAAGTTTCAGCAAATTATAACTAGTCTATTAGCTGCATCAAATGTGAAAATCAATGTCATCAGGAAGATATTGAAAGTCATTAATAGGGGTGTCTGGAACAGATTTGAGACACTGCGCAAACATAGAATTGAATCATGAATGAATTTATATTTGCATTGCAAAGTAAAAGCAAACAATAAAAGTGACAAAAGCTGGCAGATGCAAAAAATAATTTTATGGAGGCTTATTGCGTATCAGGAGTTTTACATATTCAAGATTTTACTCTAGGCTGGAATGCAAAATGTTGATGTACTAGCAGCCATGTCGCGAAATGTTAAGGTACAGATTCTCAGTAATTCCTCCATATGCCAAAAGCATAATCGCTACCGGGCTACTTAACCCAAATACAATGTGCTTCTCATCAGTAATAAAAAGGTCACTTCCACCCATACTGCTCCCATACCACTTACTTGGGCCAGTCAAAGAGCCATATTAACAGATGCATGCTTTGGCCTCGATTTTGAAGCTGTGTCATTGTTGAGGAACCAAAGGGGCAAAAAACATATTTTATAGATTTAGCCAAAATTGCAGCCTTAATTTAGTTTTGTGTTTTAAAACAAACATTTCACCAGCTATGAGTAAACCCACTAAGTTCCTATGTGTATATATAATAAATATATATTATATATCTATGTATACATACACATATACACACACACATACATATAGATAAAAATAATAGTCATGAAAGAGCAATGAAACACTACAAGAAACATGAATAGCTATCACATTTATTGATGAAATCCAACTAGGAAATTTTAAACATTAAAAAGGTAATATCTGACCAAAAGTATTATTATGATTTGAACACTATCTTCACATACTCATGACATGGAAATTTCTTTGCTGAATGCTAACAATTAGATTACACCATATCTTTCTTGTGTTGTCCACAAATACTATGTTAGTGTTTTATGTAACTACAATAATTAAGATGCATTATAATTTAACACTAACGTTTGATGTTTATATCAGCTAGAATGGTCAGATATTACCTTTGTAAGATTTGTCCTTGCATGTGTAGTTGACTGCAAACTGTATTTACCTGAACACATCACATCATTAACAGTAACTTCTTTTACTTTATGATCCAAGCATACAGAAGCTGAAACGTTAAGATGCTGATTGACACGTTGATCCCTGTAGAGTATTAAGATGTATTTAAAGTAATCTTTATAGAAGAGCTAACCTAAAAAAATACAGCTATTACACTCATGAATTCAACATTAACTTCTGTCCCACATGAGCTTTTTTGACTTTTTTTTAAAGGTTACATTAATAACCCAATGTAATCATCAAGTAACAGCATGGTGCCTGGGTAAATTACTGCAACAAGCCATGAAATTGTTAAATGCACTTTATAGCAAAGTCAGTCATATGTAAACCTCTCTTTTTTTAAACATTTTATACTTACAAGCAGCTCCAAACCTGAGTATTCATAGTACATCTAAACATACAAAAATGTATGTACATTTTTCTCCACTTTCTGGTAAACTAATACAGCTGTCTCTAACTTCTGTTTTACATCCCTTTTGTCCTAGAAACATGCAAAACCACTGTACAATAAAAGGACAAAGAAATGACATTTGAAAAAAATTGCACTCCTTTGAAATCTGTGGCAAGAATAAGGGTTTGACCAATTGGAAAACCAACATAAACTGCCACGTTATAGGTGTGCACAACACATTAAGTATTACACCTTCACAAGCAGCAGCCTGCCATTTTTAATTTTCAACTGTTCAGACACCGTCAAAATTAAATATGCACATTTCATGCTAGAAGTTACAGCATCTGTAATTATAACACTAATTGCAGAGCACAACCCTTTAAACATTCACCTCTGATTATGCTTACGCTAATTTCCTTTTGAAAGTGGAGGATGGGGAAGCAGCGCTCAGATCAGATGGAAGCAGTGGCAGCAATGTTGTTTATCACAGCTGGATTAACAGGGAGCAGAATTCCAACTTCAAACACAGGCTGCGAAATACGGCTACATGTTCACTCCTTGGGCACTTAAGAGTGACTCCAGCATATCATAAGTGTCTTTGTAGTCCATGTGCTGGCTGTTTGCATTGTACTCTGGATTGGCGTCATGACCGTTCACCTCTGTAGGTTTCCTATCCAGTTTCATGAGGGTGCTGAGTTGTCCATAGCCCACCTGGTATGTGACAGTGGGAGGAGGGGAGGAGGGAAGGTTAACAATTAAGTTGTAAGGGTATATACACTGCTTCACAGAGGAGGAAGAAGAAGAGAAGAGGAAGAAGAGCTAGATGAAGTACCTGCAGTCTTGGAGGTTTTGCTCATTTTGGGATGGTGGTTGTGAGAGGTGTCACTGGCGTGCACCCTCTTGCGTGAAGAACTGGAGCCAGTGGAGCTGCCATCACCGCTCAGACCCACGGGACTCCGCAGAGTTCCTCCTTTGGATCCATCAGTATTGTGTCTGCTATTCCCAGTACTGCTGCTGTGTGAATGGGAATGCTTGTGGCCGCTACTATGGTGATGATGATGAGAAGAATGGTCCTTGCGCTTCTCTTTATGCTCCTTGCCTGCATGTGGGCTTGTGTGTTTGCTCTTACCACTGCCCTCATCTGAGGAACTGTGAATTTCAGAAGTGGGGACTTTAATTTTCATTTTTAGCTCATCCTTGGTAAGCTTTTCTGTGGGTGGAATGGGTATCCGTAGTTTGAGCAAACCCTTGTCTTTTTTATCTGTTGCATGCCTTTCTGATTTCTCTGAAGATGAAACTGGAATTTTCATTTTAATTGGTGAAGTCACAATATTACTATTATTCTGAGTTTGCTGTTGCACTGGTACACGTTTCTTCTGTTGTTCTACAAGAGCTTGAGCAGCACAAGCATACTGTTCTTTCACATCAGCATCAAGTGTCTCTAACTTGCGTTTCTGTACAGCAAGTTCTACAGCAAACTTCTCTCTATATCTGTCCAAAGCTAGTTTTTGAGGAACTGGTCCAGAAGGCATAGGAAATCCATGATGTCTACCATTCCCAGATTTATTAAGATGTTCATGCTTACTGGATGAATGCCCTGAACTTTTTTCAGGTCGATGGTGGCTCTGATTTAATTGCCCAGAAGCTGACTGCTGAATGCAGATCATATCGTTTTTGTTGACAGATACTGCCATCTCTTTGTGAGAATGAGCTTGTTCCACCATGTTCTGATGTTGAGGCCACTCTTGCTGGGAGGTAGAGCTGAACGATGCTGTAGACATCAGATCAGGGACTTGATGAGCTGAAATTGTAATACTACCAGAGTTCAATGATGCAGGTAGAGCAGTTGTTGTGGAATTTGACTGTTTGGAAAAGTTTGAGCTTGAAGCACCATCACCACCAACAGAAGCTAACGTAGAATCATGGGCCCCAGATGAACCAGGAAGAACATTGTCAACTGCTTGGCCATCGATTTTTGGTTTCTTTGCAGCCTGGTTGGCCTGTAAAGAGGAAAAAAAAATCCCCAAATAAAGGAAATATTTACAGAGGAAATAAAAATTAAAAGTACAAACTAATCAAACTTAATATGTTTACCCTCCAGTTTCGAATCCTCTTTAATCTGCTTGGAGTTTTCTCTAATATTTGCAGAAACTCGTGTGTTAACTCTGGAAGAAAAATCCAAAGTCAAAAGTCATGTTTTAAGGCAGTTAGAACAAGCTCATTTTACGCTGCCAAATCCGTTGTTTTATATTCACCTACAAACAATTGAAACATCCAAGGTATTAAAAGAATGGGAAGTTACACTTTCTAGAAGTTTTATATCGGTTATTCAAAATTCCAGTTGATTTTTTTTAGTGACACGAGATACGACTGATTATACAGGGCAACATCAGGTCACCTGACATCAGACATGCACAAAAAGTGCCTTTTACGAAGGAAGTGAGATCACTGGAATTTTCTGCATATAAAAAGGAAACGTGGTGCATTGGGATGAAAGTAACGCTGACTGTGACCTCATGATCTGCAAGTCAGACATTTTGGCTTCTCACGCACCAACCAGTCAGCGCTTTAAAGCACCGTCTTATTGCGCACATGTGAAGTGAAAGAGCTGACCAGCTGTCGTGCATTATAGCACCAGTTTTTTTTTTGTAGATTCCAACCACTGTGATACAAGGAGGTCCCATTGTACTTCAGATTAGTTTTCTCAACCTGTTTGAAGAGGAAGATCATCAAGTATGATCTGAGGCAGAGTCTTGGCACATAAGAATAAGAATCCTTGCATTTGATATAGCGCTTTTAACATCTCATGCCAATTGCGCACATAGTGGCTGAAAGCATTGCACTTGTAATTTTTTTTAAAAACAATTGCTCAATTGTGGGAAGCTATATGTAATAAATTAGCTAAATCCTAGAACCTCAGAATTTTCAATGCAGTGTAAAGAAAAGTACAAATATGCTCTGAATACATATGTTAATTTACAACCTGCAATCTGTAAAGCTAGTAAATTTAGAAAATTAACACAAACCATCAAGTAACTCCAGAGTCACAGTTGGATCCACATATTCCCACCAGTGTTTCCCATCTGTAGATACAGGTATCTCCCAGTTGGACCATTTGCAAGCCAGATGAATACACACACATGCTATCACAGTGGGTTTGTACTGCAAGCAGAACGTTGTCAGGTGCAAACTAGAGTGAAAATTGGTGGAACAATGGGGGAAGAGGGAAGGAGGAAAAGCACAAGAAACAAAAAGAGAAGCTATTTAGGTACTGAACAACTTGTGTGAGGAAATAAATGCAGAAGCTGGGTCACACTTCCATCACAGGCCTGAAAATGGGTTTGATCATAGTCCAAAGTCAGCATTGAAGAACGTGCTGAAAATATACATGTCCAACTCTGTCTTGCAAGAGCAGAATTGTATAATCACACATTGGTTTAATAAATATTCTTAGCAAGCCATTATTTGCTAGGATTTAAATCAAGGTTTCAGAAGCATGGAAAATATTTCCTTATCAGGCAATTATCAAACTGGAGTAAGAAACCTTCAGAATATTAAAGAAAGATCGCCAAGTTGGTCACTAGTTGCAAGGAATTAAACACTCCGGTACAACGAGAGACAAAATTAATCAAAGGAATATTTCTTATTCAAGAAACTCAGCCTGCAAAGTTTGCACAGCCATAAACATATCAATTTCTTGCAGCAGGTGACAAGGCATGGCAAACTCACATACAAAACACCCCAAAAGGAGTTCTCACTGGCCTTTATGATAATTACCCAGGTAAAAAAAATGCAGATCTCTTAAACAAGATACTTGGTGTGATTTTTATTAAACCCATGTGTAGTTGCTGCTTGTACAGGTATGCATAAAACTCAAAGCCCCTATAAGCAGCGGAATACAGTATAATAATTTGGCAGTAATCTTAGTACAATATTTTTCAATCCTTTTTTTTTACAATTCTGATATTTTTGCAAGGTGTACGATTAATAGCGACACTATTCATTAGTTCAGGTGGAATGAAGTGGCACTCTGCTGGTCGCAGTATCATCTCAATTCAGCTAACAGCATCATCTTTTAGATATGCAAGTATTTAAACTTTATTCCTTACCAATAATACCATAGCTAATTAAAATGATAATGAACGATTCTGAAATGCATTGCACGTTATATTGAACCAGAAGCAAATTTTAGAAATGACTGTATCTGTCAATAACCCATCTTTAGTTTCTACAGTAAATTTCATAGGGTTACTGACAATTTTCCAGCTGTACTGACTGGAAGTACAACCCAACAACCTGCAGTTTTTAAACATTCTGATCTGAAAACATCAGAATGTTGTTAGAAAGTCAATTAATTTGAAAAAAAGTAAAATCTGCAATTCAACGAGAAGTGTAAAAATGTGAAATGCTTTCATACTTACCAAGATGCGTGTGAATTCTAGGTTAAGTTTATCTCTTTGTAATCTTTAGTTGCTATTCAGGCTACCAATTTTTAGAGTTATGCACTCAGAATCGAGTTAATGTAACCAGAGAGCACCACTACACTTCTCATTGTGCATTAAACCCCTCAGTGCTCAAATTGCCCTTGTACAGTACACCGCACTGCAAACAGGGAGGTGCCATCACTGCAGATGGATGCCCATTTCCCTGCTGCAATAAGGGCTAGAGACACAGTAGGGGGCCCTGCAGTAAAGGAAGCAATAGTGTGCTGAAACTGTGCAACAAAGAGGGTCAGGATAACAACCTGTTGGTAGCCATGAAATAGGATGTCTGTGCCAAATCCTTGCTTGCTGTAATAAAAAAATAAAAACAATTATAAATATGTTATTTACAACACAGAATGCTGATAGTGCCCACTGAATTTACTAAAATTGTCTTAGATACTACTGTCCAGTATGTACATGTAAACAAGACACACTTACCTCGCACTAACTGGGTACATTTGACCACATCAGTATGAGGGTGCTCTATAGTAATCTCAAAGCCTGCAGAATTAAATTAACCCAAATTAGTTTAGTTTGAAATGAAGTTATGATATTTGAGATTTACACCAAACTATTAGAAATGTTACCAGTTTTTAAAGTAAAAAACTTCAAGACACATGTAAAAGTAAATTCTTTTTTGTGTTCACTGCACTTGGTGAATTTGGATGAAGGAAGGAATATTGTTCTCCAAACACCTTGAGAATACTCACTTGAAATTGTACAGTTGGAACATTAGGTAAGCCTAGTTAACCAGAACAGGTATGCGGGATCTTAGTTTAACATTTAAACTAAAGTAGAGTACCTCCTTTAATAAACTGGAGATACATTAATGAACTGGAGTGTCAGATCAAATGACTTAGAAAAAATATCTTTAATATTACAAGTCTTTTACTAGAGTTTGCCTAAACAATAAATAAGAACGGGTAACGTTTTCCCTTTTTCAAAAACCTGATCTTTTTATTAAAAAAAATGGATTTTGCCTACTATTGCTATACCTCATGCTTAACTTACATCTACTAATAGGATTAGGCAATAGACATTGGTTGCAAAACGAAAAAAAGATGTGGGAGAGGAAATTGATATTAAGAAATTTGCACCCTTAAATGGGTATTTTGGTGGGTGATATTCCTTCTACCCTGCCATGGTGCACAAGACCTTGCCCTGAAATGTCCCCTTAAGTTATTTTCTCTAGAAGAAGCATCAGATTCTGAGGGATAAAACAAGTCACATAATACACAAAATATTCATTATCAAGTTGAATGAAGTGGAGGATGAAAGAAGCATTTTATATGAAGACGGAACTCTTTTCAAATGAGTCAAGTAGGATTCTGCTTGCGCGGCAATGTCCTAGGCTCAGGTAAGGATTAATAAGGAACACCTGTCCCAATTGATTCAGAAAGAAATATTCTGGGTCACATCTTCACCAGAGAAAGCTGGGTGAACAGACTAGAATTTGCAATTTTTTTGTTACATTAAAAAAAACTTGTTTTTGTTTGCATTTTATGATAACGTATCATTCAAATGTAGAATTTAAATCACCTTGGAATAAGCTCTAATAAAAACAGAATAAAACACTAGAGGAACCCCATCATTTCAGTTAACTTGAACTTTTAAAAAAAAAAATCTTTTGAGAGATTGTAAAGCTTTCATTAACTCAGTTTTTCGGTATACACAAATTCATCCTGTTGATGCAAGTTTTAATTTCCAAAAGAAATGTGAAGTTGTGAGTTGGTGGGTACTGTGGTTTGCACACATTAGTAGAGGCAGAAAAGACAAAAAAAAGCAAAGGAAAGAATGAAACAGTAAAAAGTTGTTACCATGCAGAGTGATGCTAAATAGTAAAGACAAAATGTCTTTCCCTCCCTCTTAAAAGCAAACATAAGTTTTATTCAAATACAAAAGCATCCAAATAATTTTAGCACTGAGCTTTCAGACATCTTGCTGCACCAAGAAGGAGTCAGTTTTATAGATTCATTACACCACAAACTAGTCTGTATTTCTGGTTCCTGATACTGTAAAAAAATGCATTTTTACTGGAGGTTGGTTTTGATAGTGCCCAATTCTGTTGAAAACTGTACATACAGTTCTGATTGATTTTCCATCAATTGGGAAAAGCCCACTCAGTTAAGCCAGCGTAAAGTACATCTAGGGGAACTTTGCTTGGCAAGGATTTCAACATATTGTTATCGTAAGGAGCCACTATTTACAACCCATGAAACCAATGCCCTTTAAGACATGTCGCATTGTCTGTCTGCTTCCAACATCAAAGCTGCATGCAATTGTGCCTCAACATTAGATCAGTTTATGCTACTCATTAATTATAAGCAGCCTAGTTCTTAATACTGAACCATTGCAACAACATACGTATAAACTAGCAGCAAGTTCCATTTTTTAAAATTATGGCAGGTTTTGATTTAAATTTTCAAACTCCCCTATTAAGCAAAAGGAGAAATTAATCTATTTGCATAGATTATAATTTATACAATTTACTCCCATAGTACTTACATTTCAAGACTAATTTGATATTACTCGCAAGGTTTGTAAAAATTATTTTGAATCGGCACTGAAAATAGTTTTAAGATTTAAAATATTACATTCAGATTAGGAAGAGCTCCAGCTAACCAAGGGTGTGTCACACTAAATCCTACCCTGGAACAGCACATCAAGGTGTTTGCTCATAAGGATGACTGACCGTTTACCAGAATTTTCCTCCTGTGCTAACGTATGAATAAAGTTAATCTGCAGTGAAACTGCACATACAAACCCGTTTTGGTGCAAATTATTACTGATGGAGAACACTCAGCCAGAACAAAATATTGCTATAGTTTCACTGACTAAAAAAAGCTTCCTTCCCTAATGAGAGAAATTTCTTGTTTTCCAAATGGTGGCAGTTATTTTTAATGAAGTAATAATTTTAATATTAGTTTATAAAAGTAATAAAGTATAGAAAAAACTTATAAAATTGTTATTGGAAGAGCATAAGAGAAAATTAGCATCGGTGTTCAAAACAAAAATATTTAACTGTTAATTAGAAAAAGATCTATATTTCTGCAATATTGTTTGTTTCAGTGACAATGCATTGGAAATTTAAAGGTAGCTAGTCCAGAGATGAGCCTCCCTGGATCTATGTTATCTAGCAAGATGAAACACCATTCTTGATGATTAAGGATAAAAGCAGCAATGTAATCAAAATGGAGGGGGTGGGGGGGGGGGGGAGAAGAGAAGACGACAATGGGACTTTACCACACACGAACAGACTTGGTACATATTTTAGTGGATTTTTAAGCAACGCAAAATGATTGAAGACTGGGAATACAATCAAGGATAAAAAGTAATAGAAGGTAACTTTGCAGTTGTGAAGAAACTAGAAGACTAAAACCACCATTCAGATTATCACAGGCTATACTTTCAAAAGGCATTAGTCAGGTCCCAGAGGCCAATCAATGTTGTTAAGTTCTTGCATCTATTAAGTTCCCGTTATTGCAAATGACTATCGAATTGTAACCTAGGCCCTTTCTCGAACTTACCCAAGGTTTGCAGTATAATACTTTCAAGTATGACCAGGTCTTGGGCCTGTTGAAGGTATCCCTAAAGTTTAAAGGACATGCATTATAAACCACGAGCATTGTGGGATCTTAACAACCGCTATCCTTTATAAACACTAGTTTAAATATTAAAGTACGTGGTGAAAGAACAGTTGCAGATTCGATTAAAAATGTGTGCACCTAACAATACATTTAAAATATTGACTTGCATTCTTTCCTCTGATTGTAAGCATTTTCTACCAAGATAATTACTTTAACTTACAAAACCTGGAGATCAAATAACAAATAATGTGTACAATTGTTTAATAGTTCATTATTAAGACCCAATGTTGAAAATTGGAAGTGCATTTACAATCTATCATTGCAATTTATTCTGTTCAGAACTTACTTCACTCTTAACATCTAGTTGTGGTTCTTGTGGACTCAGGCAGGCATGTACCACCTTTATAACGTGCTCAAGTTTACGTGGCTGTTCCTCTACTTTTGCAGCCAAAAACAAAGCAGCAGGTGAAATTACCTGTTAAAAATTTCAGCAAATGTTAAATGCTTGAATCCATCAAAATCAAAAGATTTCTTTTAGAAAAAATATTTGGGATAGATTTCTTAAAAACTTAAAATTTTGGGGAAGTTACTTAAAGACACAGCAAAATTAAGACAACTGTGCATCACACTACAAACACCATTCAAAATTTTACTGGTATGAGATCAAGAAGTATTTTAAAAAGAGCTACAAATTAATAAAGAATATTGCCCTGAAATTATGTGAACAGAAACTAAAGGTTTGGGTCCCCGTTGACAAAGAGCAGAAAAATGCCCACCTTCAGGCCAACACTGAAGCCACTTCCTGTATGTTGCACCATAAGCAGACTCGCACTTCACTGAGTCTCGATAGAACAGGGATCTCCCTGTACCATTTTAATCTACTGTAATTTGGTGATCTAATGGCTTGAAACACTATGGTGTTAGTGTAAAAAAAACTAACAATTTCCTGACATATTACAATCTTTACAGATGACAGACTGGTTCACAATCTACACTGAAATTGGGCTTCCAAAAAGCAATATAACAGGGCTGCCCTATATTTGGAATATAAATATGACTAGTCTGATCTTTTACAAAACAGGAAGAGAGCCACCTAACAAGTTAATCACCTCATGGACAAGTTACAAAACAAGTTGAGAGGACATCCCAGAACACGTAACACTCATTCCTTGGCACCTCAGTTGGATGTGGGAGCTGAGAGGGGTGGGGTGAAAAGTTATAACCATAAATCACTGCAAGAGATGCAAATTCAATATTGCTATGTCATGTAATGCAGACAATATGTAACCTAATATTTAAACGTTCTGATTGGTGCCACAATGCACATTTCCATCGGAATCAACTGATCAGGACAGACCACTAACACTTCAACCGTTACGGTAATGTCAAGACAGTAACTGAGGAACTGCAAAACTGGAGATTATAAGAGTGTTGGCCTACGAATACTTTTAATTCAGGTGAGTTGATGTAGAATGCATCTCAAGAGTTTATATTTGACTGCTCAGGAATCATTCTGAACTCGAGTTCTATCTGAGCAGATAGCATGCAGTCCCATTGATTTGAAGCTCAAGGCATTTTCCATTTAGCAGTTTAAGACAAAGGCTCCTTCAGAAAAGTTGGTGCTTAGCATTATACCACTGGCCAAGTTTATAACAGGTTACATAGCTCTGGAAATCACACTACATCACCTGACACAGACAAACTTTCTAACCAACCACAAGGAGCAATTGACAAATGTTGGAGATGTTAAAGCTGGCTATCAAAGACAAGTCAACCAAGGGCAAATGTGAAAACAAAAACATATTTGAGATGGAAATGTGATGTTGATGACTCATTAAAAAGTCACTGAAGCTGTGGCTATCCTAAAACTTACAGGAAACCTTCAGCAGAACAGATCAGAACATTAAATCTAATCAGTGCTAAAATGACTATGGTTGAAGACAACTGAGAATCTGCTGCCAACAGAAGGAAGAAAATTGCAGAATGAAATCTTTATATAAGACACCTGGTCAAGATGATCTCATGATAAATCAGCAGTTTTGTTATTTTTTTAAAAAGAGAAACCAATCAATAGACATTTGAGAACTTAAAATTATAACTATTGTGAACCATAAAGTTGCAAACCTCCACAATATTAGATAATAGTAATTCTCAATTTGGTTCGGTTAACTCCCTCCCCACAACAAAAAATACTTACATTTCTATGAAACTTTGAGAAAGCATGCTGCATATAAAATCTGTGCATATAAACAATTGCAGTATTGATAGTCAACTGAGAGCTATAAGAAATACGTTAAGGAAAATATGTTGGACCGTGTGGTATAAAAAGTTAATCATGCTTAATTTCTACTAAAAAAAATGTTTCACATACTTTTATAAGAAACTTTTTATAAGTAAAACCACTTTTGGCATTTCTATTTTAATGGTACATAAAATATTGAAAATTATACAGTTGCCAAATTCTTGTGGCGAGGTCCATTGGATTAATCAACATAAATTCAAATATCCTTAAAAATTAGAAGTCAAATGAACTAAGATTTGGGGTTGAGGCTTTAGAAACACACTGTTTAATGTGCCATTAGTGGAGTCCTGTAGCTTAGTGGTTAGAGCACCGCCTCGCAAGCGAGAGACCTGGGTTCGATTTCCCGCAGGGAGAAATCTTGGCTACGTTTCCTGACTCCACACGCCTGTTTACCTCGTACCAAGTAGGAAACCGGTTGTTAGTCAAAAGGTGAATAGCTTTTCCGGGGGTAATAATTCCTTCAAAATAAATAAAAATAATTTGGTAACTCAATCCAAGACTATTTGTTGTGCACAAATGGCTGCCATGTTTCACCCACAAAATATACCGTCAATTCACTTTACAGTATATTCTGTGAAGCACTTTGAGACATCTCGAAGACACTATATCAAATGCAAGTATTATTATTAGTAGTACGTACTTTTCACTGATTGATCACAGTGCCAATGCTAAGAAATTAGCAAATCTGATTCATCATGCAACCAATCTCAGGATCATGATAGCTGTACCATATCAGAGCCTAGGCTACTGAAGGAATACTAGGTAAAGGACATCTTACTGTTTATCCCCATTCAATTGCAAAATCATCATCATATACCCACACAGCATAGTAATTATGCATTATGGGCAACATACACAAGGAGTCAAGTATTCAAATTTGAGTATTGGTGGAACTCGCCCACAAAATATACAATAGAATTCACTTTACAGTATATCCTGTGATGTGTTTTGAGATGTCTCAATGACGTGATAAGGCACTGTATCAAATGCAAGGATTATAAGATAGGTCAACACAACAAATTTACATTTATGTAATGCCTTTCTTGTTCAGAGGATGTCCTAAAGCTCTTAACAATTCTGACTTGGAACCCGAGCTAAGGGTGGTACCAAAGGGGGAGTGAAGGCTGGGAAAGGGGAAGGATGACCAAAAGCCCAGTCAAAGAGGCAGAATGTGGAGTCCTGTAGCTCAGTGGTTAGAACACTCGCTTTGCAAGTGAGAGCCCTGAGTTCAATTCCAGGCAGAGGGCGAAACCTTGGGCAAGTTTCTTTACTCCACACAGAGCCTCATAATAATCCCTCCAAAACCAAAACCAATAATAAATTGGTCATTTTCAATCTACGACTGTTTGTGGGACATTGCTGTGCGCAATTGGCTGCCGCGTTCGCCCACAAATATACAGTCAATTCACTTTACAGTGTGTTCTGTGAAGTGCTTTGGGACGTCCTCCCAACGTGAAAAGCGCTATATCAAATGCAAGGATTATTATTATTATTATTATTATCTTGAACGAAATGAAGGAGGGAGCAAAAGCAGCAATGGTACTTTGCTCTGGTATTAATTCCAAACTGAAGCAATTCAAGACAATGCAAATCACCTTGGTTACTGGTCTGCATTTTAAACAGAGAAGCTGATACTTGGAATAAAAATTTTAATAATTAAAAGGATTATTATTTAAAGACGCTACCTGAAATGGTGGGATCGGAAGTCTGTCCACCCATTATGGCTGATTTTGGAAAACTTTCAATCCATTTAATAAACAGGACAACTAATAACCTCAATCTAACTAGATTTTACAAAACCAGCAAGATCCCGATCATGAGTAAACAACGGGAATAGCCAGCAGCTACATATCTCAGCAATGGGGTGAGTGGGATGACAGGATTCATACAGGCCAAGGACCATGTATCTTTGCAGTAATATTGCAGGACCTAACCAATCAAATTTTACTCAAAGAATATGGATTACGATAGATTAGTTATATTTTACAATGTTTTTTATTTCTATATATTTTCTTCCAAAAATAAAAANTAAATTCAATTTATTTGAATTCAAGGTCACTCAATTCACAACTGTTTTATGGGGCACTGCTGTGTGCAATTGGCTACCACGTTTCACCCACAAAATAGTCATATTCTGTGAAGCGCTTTGAGACATCTTGAATACGTAATAAGGCACTATATCAAATGCAAGAATTATTATTATATAACTGCAGATACATGATTTTACCATATTTACCATTGTGAAATACACTAAAAAAGCTAAATCAATTTGTAAGTACTACTATAGAAAAAACAAATTGCTGCTACAATTCAAAAAGCAGATTTGTTAAAATCGAACCCACTTTAAAACTTGCCCACCCCTCCACTCATATAGAATGACAATGAACCCCCCCAATTTAATTTGGTAATTTTTTCTCTCATGGTCTACAAGGAAACCAGAAGGTCCTTCTGCAACCACAATCTGTGCCAGATTATAATACAGTAGTAATGCTGCAGAAACCCTGAAAAAAATCATGCAAATATACTTTGGGTGGTCTATTGATAAATCACGAATTAATATTAAATTTAATAAGGTGATCTTTCCATTGTATACCGTACTTCATTTTCACTCTGGAAAGCATAATGCCATACGTCCCATTATTTTAGCAGGAAAGGATTTGCTATCAGGCAATTTTGTGTAACGTTCAAACAGGCACCAGAACACAAAAATAGACAAAATGGTTGCCTCTCTTACAAGTCACTTAAAATAGTCTAGTAATACTGCACAAATCACCCACATTAAATGGAAGATACCTTCGGGGTCACATCACAAACCCAATATCCTTCTGCATCTAACTTTCACAGCATTACAGGAAGAAAAACTCACATGCAAAACCCTCACTGATCAATATAAATCCCCAAAAGCTCAGCTGCCAAACATAAACCAGCTGACGCCATGAGCCTTTTAACAATTGATTTTTTTTTAATTGAGCTCTTGTAATTTTCATGGGGTGGGGGGGAGGGGGAGGAGGGGGGGAGGACAAATCCGTTCTCATCCTATTCTGAAAGTAGGCCAAGATTTTTTTTAAAAAAAAACGCACTGCTCGGGTGCGGATGACTTAACATTTTGCTCGAATCAATAATTTTTTTTTCCATTTAAAAAAAACCCTCGTAGGTCACTCGAGCTCAATCAAACTTGAACTGGAGAGAAAAGACTGCTCGACCCTCTCTCTGCCCATTCGGCCACGCGAAGCATTCAGTCCAATTTCCTCTGAGCGAGCGGCAATTACCATAAGAACCAGTGAGTGGGCCACACACCCACCCACACACTCCCTCCCTCCAGTGTGAAGTGATGTGATCCCGGCGGCCATGTTGTCTTTTGTGCCCTGTTGCACCACCTGTCTGTCTGTCTGTCTCTGTCCCTTTCCCCTCCACACGTTGCCATTATTAAAACGCTTTTTTAAAAAAAACACAACGCGACCCGCGCTCAAGACTCACACATTTTGCACATTTTCTGTTACTTTTAAAATCACCCGAGAACCCCGCGGCCTTATATAAGTGTATATAACGTGTAACATATAATATATATCTATAACAGGCCCGAGCGGGTGATCAGATCAGATCAATCCCCTCCCTCCCTCCCCTCCCTTCCTCACCCGCCTCACACGCCGCTTCCACTCCGCCTCCACCACTAAATAAACTCCTTTCCCTCGTTAGTTCGACATCCGCCCTCTCTCTCTCTCTCTCGTCTCTCTCTCCTCTGATCACCGATCTCCCTCCCCCAGTCCCCGGGGCCTTCAGTCTGACTCTAAGCCGGGAGCCGGGAGCCGGGCCTCTCAGGCCTCGCCTACCCCCCGGCCCGGCCCGGCCCGGCCCGCGCAGTGAACAGAAGGTCGGAGACGGCGGCACTTTTTTTTTGTTCCTCCCTCAATTCTTTCCTCTCCTTCAAGCTCCCCCCAAGGATACACGTTGAGCCGCTGCCCCATCTCCTGCACCAGGTTGGCCGCCTGCTGCCGGTTGGACAGCTCCTTGTCGGTGTCCATGCCGCTCCGCCGGGACGGGCTGCTCTCCAGTTGTTCGCGGGTGAAATACCATCTTGACGGCGAGGTTGAAGCTGCCATTTACCCGACGCTCCCGACCGACTCCCAGGGTCGCGCAGCACGCATGCGCGCACACAATCGCCGGACGTGACGTTTAGCGCGGGCGGCGACACTCACCCCGGCTTCCGGACAGCGTGTGGGCGCTGAGCACGCCGGGATTTGTAGTTTATAATAATAATAATTTAATAATCCTTACGTTTAGTATAACACCTTATCACGTCTTCGAGACGCCTCAAAGCGCTTCGCAGAATATAGTGTAAAGTGAATTGACTGTCTATTTGTGGGCGAACGCGGCAGCCAATTGCGCACCGCAATGTCCCACAAACAGTCGTGGATTGAAAATGACCAATTTATTATTATTATTATTTATTTTTTGAAGGAATTATGAGCCCCGGAAAGCGATTCACCGATGGACTAACAACCGGGTTCCTACTTACTGTAAGGTAAACAGGGGCGTGTGGAGTAAGGAACCTCACCCAAGGTTTCGCTCTGCCTCGAGAATCGAACCCAGGTCTCTCGCTTGCGAGGTGAGCGCTCTAACCACTGAGCTACAGGACTCCCCAATGAGAAGAGATGACAAGGAGGTGTGGGGGTGGCAAGGGGAGAGAGAGAGAGAGAGAGAGAGAGAAGAAAGGGGGTGGGGAGAGCAAAGAAGGGGGAGGTGGCAGGATTGATGATTCTTGCACTTGATGCACGGTCCTGTTGAGCGCTCCGTGGCGCTTCCCGCTTGAAGGGTGTGATTATAATATAGTAATGACCCTTGTCTTTATCACATCATTAAGATGTCTCAAAGCATTTCACAGAATACACTGTAAAGTGAATTGACTGTACACTTCGTGGGCAATGTTGTTGTTGGTGGAGGTGGTTTCAGAGCACTTCACAGGGAAATTGTTGTATCTGTAGATATTCAGCAAATGCAGCAGAAAATTTGCACGTACCCTGGCACCGCAAATAGCTACCTAAAGTATAGTACTGCATATTGATTCTGATGGCTGGGACACAAAGGGGCTGCCCCAGGCCCTGCGTAGAGGTAGTGCATAGGAGAGCAATAAAAATGATTCCCCACAAAGGAGACATCGCAGAGGTGTATAACATTTTAAATGGGATTGAAAATGTAAACCCAGAAAAATACTTCTGGATGCACTGCCAGTAGAGCAAGAGGACATAGGTTTAGAGTTGCAAAGGGCAGTCACCAGGAAATATTTGTTTACAATATATGCATTAATGATTTGGACTTGGGAATCAGCAGTACAATTGCAAAATTTGTGGACGATGCCAAATTGGGGGGAATAGTTAATACAGAGGAGGACTACAACGAATTACAGCAAGACATTAATAAACTTCTTGAATGGACAATTAGATGGCAAATGCATTTATTTCAATGTAGTAAAGTGTGAGGTGATACATTTTGGTAGAAAGAATAAGGAAGTCACATACATCCTGGGAAACAAAAACCTAAATGGGATAGAGGAGCAAAGGGACCTCGCGGTACACATACACAATTCACTAAAAGCAGATTAATATGTCCATAAAAAAGGCATTGGGGTTCATTACTACCAGTTATGGTAAACTTCTATAGAACCTTGGTTAGATCACACTTAGAATACTGTGTGGAGTTCTGGTCCCCACATTATAGAAGGGGTGTAGAGGCACTGGAGAGGGTGCAAAGGAGTTTCACAAGGATGTTCCCAGAACTGAGAGGTTATATCTATCAGGAAAGGCTGAACATGCTTAGACTTGTTTCTCTTGAAAAGAGGAGGGTAAGGGGTGACCTGATAGAGGTCTTTCAAATGATGAAAGGTTTTGATAGGATAGACATAAGGGAAGATGTTTCCACTTGTGGAGAGACCAAAATCAAGGGCCATCAATATAAAATAGATAAAGTAGGGAAGTTAGAAGAAATTTCTTCACACAGAGAGTAGTGGGAATGTGAAACATGCTACCATGGAGTTATTGAGGCAAATAGCATAGATGTATTTGAGGGAAAGCGAGATAGGTAAATGAGGGAGAAAGGAATAGAAGGTTATGCTTGAAAGCTTAGTTGAGGAAGGGCAGGAGGAGGTTCATGTGGAGCATAAACACTGGCATAGACCCGTTGGGCCAAATGGTCTGTTTCTGTGCTGTATATTCTAATGTATTCTAATATCAACTTGTATTCATGTGGTGCCCATTTGCAAGTTGACTTTTCAGAAGACTGGTGTAATTAACAATTGGATCAGGTTTCTGTGGAAGATAGTTGAAGCCATTTTAAAAAAACATAGCATGTTGCTTTGAAGCTGGTAGGGGGTTATTGTGAAAGGATGAGATCAAATGGAGTAACTTAATCCAAATCATATTGTAATTTAAGTGTCAGACTGGCTCAGTTGGTGCCACTTGGAACCTATATATTCTGTTCTGTGTTGTGGGTGTGCTGCATTGTTGGAGGTTCTGCCCTTCGGATGAGACATTAAAGGCTTTCAGCCTCTCAGCCCCTAGGCTCTGGAACTCCATCCTCCAGTGCCTTCGCCTTGCTTCCTCCCTTTCCTCCTTCAAGGCCGGTCTCAAGACCTTTCTCTTCAGCCGTGCCTTCAGCTCCCCTCTCGACTCTCTACCCCCTCCTCGCTCGCTCCATTCCCTCCCCTCACCCTGACCATTTCCCCCCTGCTCGGGTCCCGACCCAACTGTCCAGCACCTTGGGACATCCTCCCGACCTGAAAGGCGCTCCATAAATACAATCTTGTTGTTGTTGTTGTAAACTGAGGTCCTGCCTGCTTGCTTAGGTGGACATTAAAGATCCATGGCACTAATCAGAAAGAAAAGAGTTTCTCCAGGCACCAAGAATTCCACAAATAAAATTGGTCATTCACTTCATGGATGTTTGTAGGACATGGTGTGCACAAACCGGCTTCCGGTTTTGCCTACAAAATTCATAGAATCACTTCACAGTATATCTTGTGAAACCCTTTGAAACATCTCAATGACATGCTAAGATGCTACATCAAATGCAAGGATTTATTATTTATTTCTAGTCAACTAGTCTATGTATTCAACTGCAATATTTATGCCACCTGTTATTAAAATGCAAGCAAAGCTTGTAAATATTTAAGAAAATAATTCCTTAGAATCATAGAATATTACAGCACAGAAGGAGGCCATTTGGTCCATTGTGCCTGTGCTGGTTCTTTGGAAGACTACCCAATCAGTCCCACGTCATTGCTCTTTTCCTATACCTCTGCAAATTTTTGTTTTTCAAGTACCTGTCTAATTCCCTTTTGAAAGTTGTTGTTAAAATGCAAGCAAATAATAGTAATAATAATAACTATTATTTGATATAGCGCTTTTCACGTCGGGAGGACATCCCAAAGCGCTTCACAGAACACACTGTAAAGTGAATTGACTGTATATTTGTGGGCGAACGCGGCAGCCAATTGCGCACAGCAATGTCCCACAAACAGTCGTAGATTGAAAAATGACCAATTTATTATTGTTTTTTGGTTTTGGAGGGATTATTATTAGGCTCTGTGTGGAGTAAGGAAACTTGCCCAAGGTTTCGCTCTGCCTGGAATTGAACTCAGGTCTCTCACTTGCAAAGTTTGTAAATGTGCGTTCATCACATCTAGGCTTGACCACGCCAACTCCCTGCTTGTTGGCCTTCCCAGAACTCTGCAGCCCATCTCCTCTCCCGCACCAAACTCCGTGACCCCATCTCCCCCACTCTTGCCTGACTCCATTGGCTCCCTATCCTTCAGAGGATCCAGTTCAAGATTCTGGTTCTCATATACAAAGTCCTCCTTGGTCTCTCCCCACCCTACCTCTGCAACTTCCTAACCCCCTTGCGAACCCGCCCGCTCCCTCCGCTCAGCCGGCTCTAGCCTGCTCCACGTCCCCCGCCCCACCCGCCCCACCATTGGCTGGAGAGCCTTCAGCCACTCTGCCCCCAACCTCTGGAATTCCATCCCCCAGTCACTCCGCCTCACCTTAGCCTCCTTAGCCTCCTTCAAATCCCACCTCAAGACCCTCCTCTTCGACCATGGCATCAGCCACACCCCTTCCCCTCCCCTCCCTTCTCCCCCCCCCCCCGACCCCAGCTCAGGTCTGAAATGCTGTACTCTGTCCAGCGCCTTGGGACGTCCTCCTGACGTGAAAGGCGCTATAGAAATGTAATCTTGCTGTTGTTCCCAACTGTTCCCTGCGGAAGCTGCAGATCATCCAGAACTCTGCAGCTCGTGTCCTCTCCCGCACCAGGCTCTGTGAGCCTATCACACCCACCCGCGCCCGATTCCACAGGCTCCCCATCCCTCAGAGAATCGAGTTCAAAATTTTTAGCCTCACCTTCAAGACTCCGCGGCCTTGCCCCCTCCTACTTCAGTGACCTTCTAACCCTCTATCAACCTGTCCACTCTCTCCGCTCAGCAGGCACCGACCTGCTCTATGACCTATGAGGCCTTCAGCCTCTCTGCCCCCACTCCATCCCGGATTCCCTTCACCTTGCTCCCTCCCTTCCTTAATAATAATAATAATCCTTGCATTTGATGTAGCGCTTTTCACATCGGGAGGACGTCCCAAAGCGTTTCACAGAACACACTGTAAAGTGAATTGACTGTATATTTGTGGGCGAACGCGGCAGCCAATTGCGCACAGCAATGTTCCACAAACAGTTGTAGATTGAAAATGACCAATTTATTATTGTTTTTGGTTTTGGAGGGATTATTATTAGGCTCTGTGTGGAGTAAGGAAACTTGCCCAAGGTTTCGCCCTGCCTGGAATTGAACTCAGGTCTCTCGCTTGCAAAGCGAGTGCTCTAACCACTGTCTCAAGACCATCCTCTTAGACCGTGCTTTCAGCCACCTTCCCTGCCCTCCACCCTCCCTTACCCCAATCCCTCCCCCCCACACGGGTCCAAATCCCTGACTGTCCAGAGCCTTGGGACATCCTCCCGATGTGAAAGGTGCTACACAAATGTAATTTTGTATTATATTTAATTTGTTCCACCACACTTTCAGGCAGTGCAATCTATATCGTAACAACTCTGTGTAAAAAACATGTCTCCTCATCTCCCCTCTGGTTCTTTAGCCAATTATTTTAAATCTATGTGCCCGGGTTACTGACTTACCATTCTGGTAATCTTTTCTGCACCCTTTCCAAGGCCTTGATATCCTTCCTAAAGCATGGTGCCTGGAAATGGATATACTCCAGCTGAGGCCTAACCAATGACTTATAAAGGTTGAGCAGAACTTCCTCGCTTTTATACTCTGCCTTCTATTTATAAAGGCAAGGATCCCATATGCGTTTTTTAAAAAAAACAACAATCACTTATGTAGCGCCCTCCATGCAGGGTAGCATAACATTGGCAGAGCCTTACTCCGAGCCGGGGGTGTAGGTGGCTCTAAGCACGGTCGAAGAGGAAGGTTTTCAGGCCGGTCTTGAAAAAAAGGGAGAGAGGGGGCAAGGCGGAGGGATTGAGGGAGAGTGTTCCAGAGTTTCGGGCTGAATGCGCATCCTTCGATGGTGGGGCGGAAGGTACGAGGGATGAGCAGGAGGCTGGTGCCAGTTGAATGGAGGCGCTGGGTGGTGGATTGGGGAGTGAGGAGGTCGGAGAGGTAGGGCAGTGCCAGGGAATGAATGGATTTGAACACAAGTGTGAGGATCTTGAAGTCGATCTGTTCAGTGATGAGGAGCCAGTGGAGCCTGGGCCAGAACTGGTGAGATGTGGGTCCGGGTCAGTATGCGGCCAGCAGAGTTCTGAATGAGCTGCATCTTTTGGATGGTGAAGCTGGGGAGACTGGCGAGGAGTGCGTTGGAGTGATCCAGGCGGGAGGAGATAAACGTATGCAAGAGGGTTTTCGGCTGCATTTGGGATAAGGTATGGTCAGAGGCGGGCAATGTGGCAGAGGTGGAAGAAGGTGGTCCCTTGTCAGGGACTGGATGTGGGGGAGGAAGGACACTGGGAGGGGTCGAGCTGGATGCCTAGATTGTGCACTGGTTCGATGAATCTGAGGGAGAGCCCAGGGAGGTTGAGGAGTTTAGATCCGCAGGAGTGAAGACATTGACCGGAGGCAAGGAGTATGGCTTCCAACCTGTCCATATTTCAGCTGCAGGAAGTTTACACTTATCCAGGCCTTGATGTCTGCCAGACAAACTGATAGAACATCGGTGGACCTATAGTTGGAACTGGAGAAGGCAAAGTAGATTTGTGTGTCATCCGCGTACATGTGGAACTTTACCTCATGTCTGCGGATGTCATCACCAGAGGGAGCATATAAACAGCTCTATCAACCTTTCCTGCCACCTTCAAAGACCTGTGTATGTGAATCCCCAGGTCTCTCTGCTCCTGTACCCCCTTTAAAACCACCATTTATTGTAAATTGCCTCTCCTCATTCTTCTTCCCAAAATACATCACCTCATACTTCTCTGCATTAAACTTTACCTGCCATGTGACTGCCCATTTCACCAGTCTGTCTATGTCCTCTTCACTGTTTACCACGTTCCCAAGTTTTGTGTCATCTGCAAACTTTAAAATGTTGCTCTCTGTACCCAAGTACAAGTCATTCATGTATATCAAAAAGAGCTGTGGACCTAATACTGCCCTCTGGGTGAAACCACTGTATACATCCCTCCAATTTGAAAAACAACCATTCACCACTATCTTCTGCTATCAGTCTCACAGCCTATTTTGTATCCACGCTGCCAGTGTCCCTTTTATCTCATGAGCTTCGATTTTATTAACTAGTCTATTATGTGGAACCTTATCAAATGCCTTCTGAAAGTCCATAAACGCTACATCAACTGCACTACCTTCATTAATTCTCTCCATTATATCATCAATTAAGTTTGTCAGACATGATTGGCCTTTAACAAATCCATATTGACTGTCATTAATTAATTTATATTTTTCTAAGTGAGAATCAAGTTTATCCCGGGTTATGGACTCTAGAAGTTTCTTCACCCCAGACGTTAGGCTGACTGGGCCCATGGTTGGCAGGTTTATCCCTCTCCCCTTTTTTGAACAGTTAGCAACCCTCTGGTCCTCAGGCACCACTCCCATATCCAAGGAGGATTGAAAGATTGTGGCCAGAGCCTCCGCTATTTCCACCCTAACTACCCTCAGCAATCTAGGATGCATCCCATCTGGACCGGGTTTCTTTTCTACTTTGAGAGCTACTACCTTTTTAGTTACCTCCTCTATTTTTATCATATCCAATTTCTCTATCTCCTCCTTTACTGCGACATTGGCAGCAATCTCTTTTGTGAAGACAGAAGCAAAGTACTCATTCAGTACATCAGCCATGCCCTACGTGGCCACAAAAAGTTTTCCTTTTTGGTCCCTTATCACTTCCCCCCATGCTTTGACCATTCTAATAATAATAATAATCCTTACATTTGATATAGCGCTTTTCACGTCGGGAGGACGTCCCAAAGCGCTTCACAGAACACACTGTAAAGTGAATTGACTGTATATTTGTGGGCGAACGCGGCAGCCAATTGCGCACAGCAATGTCCCACAAACAGTCGTGGATTGAAAATGACCAATTTATTATTGTTTTTGGTTTTGGAGGGATTATTATTAGGCTCTGTGTGGAGTAAGGAAACTTGCCCAAGGTTTCGCCCTCTGCCTGGAATTGAACTCAGGTCTCTCACTCGCAAAGCGAGTGCTCTAACCACTGAGCTACAGGACTCTTTTACTTTTATGTGTTTATAGAAAACTTTAGTGTTCCCTGTTAATGCTAATCTTTTCTCATACATTTCTCTTATTTCCTTTTTCAATTCTCCTCTGCACATTCTGTATTCTGCTTGATTCTCTAATGTATTTTGACATTTATCATAAGCTTCCTTTTTCTGTTTCATTTCAATCCCAATTTCCTTAGTCATCCTGGGAGCTCTAGCTTTGGATGCCCTACTTTCCCCCCTCATGGAAATGTGTTTTGTCTGTACCATAACTATCTCCTCCTTGAAGGCCTCCCATTGCTCGTTTACTGTTTTACTTGGTTTCAAATCCACCTGGGCTAGATCCCTTTTTAACTCACTGAAATTAGTACTGCTTCCAGTTGAGTATCTTCAACTCTGATTGATTCTTATCCCTTTCCATAACTACTCTAAATCTAAATATATTGTGATCACTGTTATCAGTAACATGCCTGCAGCTCACCAACCTTATTTGTCACATTCCATGCATTTACACTTCAGACTTTACAGACCTTTGTCTGTTTTGATTTCTCCCCTGTCTGATCCCTCCTCTTTCTGGACTACTCTTTATCGCATTGTTGGTTGTCTTTCCCAGTCCTCTATGTACCTAATTTCTCCTCTCTGATGCTACTTCGTGATTCCCTCCCATCTCCAAATTAGTTTAAACACTTCCCCACAGCACTAGCTAATCTCCTTGCAAGGACATTGGTCCCAGCCCTGTTCAGGTGTAGCCTGTCCACCTTGTGTAGGTCCCACTTGAACCAGAAATGGTCCCAATTCCCCAGGAATCTGAAGCTCTCCTTTCTGTACCATTTCTCCAGCCTGCTTTAACCTGCTTACCTTATTGTTCCTATATGCACTAGCATGTAGCACTGGGAGTAATCCAGAAATTACCACCTTTAAGGTCCTGCCATTTAGTCTTCTCCCTTGCTCATAATAATAATAATAATAATAATAATAATAATCCTTGCATTTTGATATAGCGCTTTTCACGTCGGGAGGACGTCCCAAAGCGCTTCACAGAATAGACTGTAAAGTGAATTGACTGTATATTTGTGGGCGAACGCGGCAGCCAATTGCGCACAGCAATGTCCCACAAACAGTCGTAGATTGAAAATGACCAATTTATTATTGTTTTTTTTGTTTTTGGAGGGATTATTATTAGGCGTGTGGAGTAAGGAAACTTGCCCAAGGTTTCGCCCTCTGCCTGGAATTGAACTCAGGTCTCTCACTTGCAAAGCGAGTGCTCTAACCACTGAGCTACAGGACTCCACGCTCATGAAACGCTGCCTGTAGGACCTCTACCATTTTCTTTACTATGGAATTGGTTCCAACATGGACCATGACTTCTGACTGTTCCCCTTCCCCCCTTTGGTAAATATTTTATTTTTGAAACTCATTAAAGTTTATTTGTTGTTAAACCTACTGGTTATGAGACTGTCAGAGTGTGAGTTTGACCCCATATACTGATAAATGCTGCACTACTGCCCTCAATTAATAGAAAGTAAAACATTCACAGGACAACTATTTGGAGAATGGCTTTGTTATTATTAGAATGCTGATCAGACATATGCAATAATGAACGGTTATAATGGGCACTCAAGATATGTCAGTTTCAGAAAGCAGACAGCATATTCTGTGATACTAAACTGCAGTTGGATGTTGGCGTTGAGAAGCTTATCAAACAAGCTGCACAATTGGCTCTACCTCAAATAATGTAGGCATTTCTTAACTGTGAAACAAGGAAGCTCGTTTAAACAGGTATCATGTTACGTAAATTGTTTCTTTTCAAGGCCCAGAAATTCCAGTGCATTCTCAGCAAGTAGCTTATCCTATAAAACAAATGGACATTTCATCATACATTTGCAATTTTGATTATAATGCTCTTTGAAAATATACAGCAACAATTTAAAATAACATCAGAAGTTTATAAATACTGCATACGTTTTAATGTAAACCTTACTTTAGTTCCACTGTTATATTGTTCCATGGATTCGATAAGTTTCCCTGGTTCCAACTCTCCCAGTGGGAAGGGATAGTCTGTTCCTAGCATCACTTTATCCTAATCACAGAAATATTATATGTGATCAACTTAAAAAAGTAGAAAAATTGTTCACATTATTGTTGACTGTTAATCTGATTTAAACACAACACAAACATTTGTGAAATCAAACATTACCTCTACTGATTCAAACTGAAACAGTTTGATTCAACTCACCTTTCCGATCACTTCCACTAACAAATTTAGTGCAAGTGGATCATGAACCAATGAATCTGTGTAAAAGTGGCCCAAGTACTTCCGAGGGCTTGTCTTATTGTCCACAGCACACAAATCTGGACGAACGTTAAATCCATGTTCAATCCTACCAATGGTATAAGGGAAAGCACCACCTAAATAGAAATAATACAATAACTTTGTTGCCTTTGCAATAGTGTCTTTCACGTTGGGAAGACATCCCGAGGTGCTGGACATTCATTCCTTTGAAGCCAAAGTATTTTTGGGGCGATTTTAAGAAGTCTTAGGGGGAAGTTTATGTTTATCGTCCGAAGAATTAGAAAGTGAAACAGAATGGGAGAATAAATAATAAATATTTTTATTTACAACCTGTACCCAAACAAAATCTATAAGGAATGGCATTGTGTTCCTAAATGGACTTGAATCACCAGTTCAGATAATAATAATCGTTGCATTTGATATAGCGCTTTTTCACGTCTTCTAGATGTCTCAAAGCGCTTCACAGAATTGACTATAAAGTGAATTGACTATATTTGTGGGCGAAACCCCGCAGCCAATTGTGCACAGCAGTGTCCCACAAACAGTCGTGGATTGAAGTGACCAATTTTATTATTTTTTGAAGGATTATTATCAGGCACGTGGAGTAAGGAAACTTGCCCAAGGTTTCGCCCTGCCGGGAATCAAACCCAGGTCTCTCGCTTGCGAGGTGAGTGCTCTAATCACTGAGTTACAGGACTCCTACTAGTCATAGTCATAGATAGTCATGGATCAAAGAAGCAAAATCTGACTTATTATTCCTACTCCTATTAGAAATGTTCTACTGTCACAGAGGATTGAAACATCTAACATTATTGCAGCCTAGTGGTGCAACAACAACAACAAATTACATTTGTATAGCGCCTTTCACGTCAGGAGGATGTCCCAAGGCGCTGGACTGTCAGGGAGCAGTGTGGCTAGAGAAGAGAGAACATAGATACCAGCAATCATTCTTGTTAATAATAGTGAATTCTTCAAGTGCATTGTAAAGTCCTTTGGGCACAAGCACAGAGGGGGACTTGACAAGATCTGATCAAAATAACAGAGAAACTACCAATAACTTATTTGCTGTGCTGGAAGGGAAGCAATTTTACTTCCTTGGTAGATCAATGTAAACAAGAAAATCTCCCGAGAGGTTTGAAGAGAACCTGGGGGAATGGAGCTCAATTTGATTTGCACCTGATGCCTGTACAATATACCGCAGGGAGGGAATCAAACTGTGCACTTCCTTTAGCAAGTGGTCTCCTTATCAGGAATGGCTGTGATGCAGCACAATGACTGAACTCCAATTTATATCATACAATTTGCTGTGAAATATTCATGAGGTATAATTGCAGGATTTCAAATACCTATCAAAACACCAACAATATCTAACACATATTTTGTTTAGTTGTTTGTTTATTTGTCCCAGTGTCACCATGGAACTTACCAACAATATTATCATGTCAAATCTACCTCAATTTGTAAAGGTGACCATGAAAAAGCTAATTTAAAGGATTTGTATGTAGTACCAATGACATTTAAGCACATTTTCTTTGAAAACAAGTGTAATTATGTTATGTATCCACTAGATGGAGGGCTTTCCAGCCTTGTTTCAGCAAAATTATTCAAATAAAGTTGAGAACGTCTGTCTGAGCTGCAGTGGATGATAAACATAATCCTTGCATTTGATATAGTAACTTTCACACCAGGAGGATGTCTCAAAGAGCTTCACAGAGTTTACTGTGAAGACTATTTTTGGTAGTCAATTTGTGCATAGCAATGTGTTGAAATATACTGATTAACACCTCGGGATACATTGGTTTGTTGATAGCAGCAACCGAATGTTCCAGAAGAATTGAGGGTTAAAAAGAACCAATATAGTTAAAAGTATGTGCAAAAGTAAGCAGAAATCCTATGTAACCACAGTAACAGAAGTAGCCAAGAGATAATCAGTAAAGGTCATCCTGGAGCTGGGAAAACCAGGAACTGGGGTTATCTGTACAAAAGATGATGCTTGGGCAACTCAAGTGTGACCACATTGGCCCTGTGAATTTTGATTTAATGACTAGCTTAGCAGGGGTTAAAAGTTGCTGGACTGTTTGAGGTTAGCTTCTGATTACTTTCATATTTTCCTGGGAAGATGTTCACTCCTCTGAGATAATGAGCAATAGGGTCCTTGAGCACAGATGTAAGAATAATGGACCACAGAAAGGAAAGGCTACAGACACCTGCCTATCTCAAGGCTGAGAAACAAGCAGATTGTGGAAGGCTGCTCAAAAGTTGTCCATATCTCTTTCTGCAAAGCAGCCTGTGAAGGGTGGGGGCTATCTCTGTGACAAGGGGAGGTGGAGTTAGAAACACATAAAGGAAAGATGGAACTTTGACGTAGTTGGAGTTATATAGAGGGTCAGTGCACCTCCCAGTGGAATCGATATCGATTCTACTATATCTATGTATATGTTCAGGGGTGAGCGAATTTACCTCCAATAAAAACGTGACCATTAAAAGTGAAAGAGGAGGAGTGGTGAGGTCCGTAAGGAAGGAGGGCTTTCTCCAGTGGGATCGGTGGTGGATTGTGAGAGCTCCAGGAGCTGTTGCCACTGCCCAGAGTCGAATTGGGTAATATGACTGGGATTCTGTCTGTTGCCTAGTATATCTGCATAAAGGATAGAGTATAGCTGATTTGTCTGTTCAAACATTAATAAAACCTATATTTGAAAGTAACGCGGTGTCAAGTAAATTTGACTACAAAATGTCCCTCAAAAAGCCACAAAATGAATGACAATTTTATTGTTTGCTTGGACACCAGGAAAAACTCCCATTTCTTTTCAAATAGTGCCATGGGATTTTTAATATCCACCCAAGCAGACAGACAGCAGAGGTCAATTGTAACCTCGAAGTCCGCTTTCTCCAGTTCTTAAAATAACTTATGGAACACTGGTTCAAAATTGAAGACTGTGGTTAAGATTTTGAATAGCTCTGGATGCTCTGAAATGCTGTGTCAATAGAGTAAAACTAGGCCCATTTCTACAATATGGTGTGTTCAACCATAATATGGCTCAATTGAAAAGTCAATAGAGCAAAGTATGAGTTCAAAACTACATTTCATTACTTCGAGGTCACAGAGCTCCACTGCACCACATTACTTGTGCCACACTGATTCTTTAGCAAACAATTCTATGAAGATATAACAATAACTAATCCTTGCATTTGATATACTGGCTTATTGTGTGAAAGTAACTCAAAGACCTGAGTGTTTTTGTGGGCAAATGTGGCAGTCAATTTGCCCACAGCAATGGCTCACAAATAGTCATGAAAGTAATGACCAATTATTAATTTGGGGGGATTGTTTTAGGACAGGGGGAGAAATTCCATTCTTTTTTCAAATATTGCCATGGGATCTTTCATGTCCTCAAGCACTGCATTGGATGGTCATCCTACACTATGAACTGATGGGGCTTGAATCTAAAGATGGAGACATGAATATGCTACCAACTGAGATATCGGACTGATATCTAAATTTAATATTACGCGGAGACCAGTTAGGGCTAAAAGTATCCCATAAATCCCAACTGCACCCCTTCGCAGTGAGGCTTACAAATCCTGTTACACCATGAATGGAGTAGATGCATATATTATGTAATATTTCTGTATTAATATCATCTAATTCATAATATTTTTAACAGGGTTCAGGAATAAGGAATCAGAGTTGTGCAAAGGGAAAAAGGTCAACAACAACATGCCTTTATATAGCGCCCCTCACGCAGTGTAGCATCCCAGAGCGCTTGACAGTGGCGGAGCATGACGCCAAGCTGGGGGGAGTGGGAAGTGACAGCAGACACGGTCGAATAGGAAGGTCTTCAGGCACAACCTAAAAATGGCGAAGGAAGGGGCAAGATGGAGGGATAGAGGAAGAGTGTTCCAGAGTTTTGGGGTGTAGTGGCTGAAAGCGTGGCCACCAATGTCACGCAAGCAGCAGGATCTCCTCTCCAATGTAATCTATTTTCGGAGAGGAGTTCCCGTGGGTTGACGGGAATTCTAACATTATTCCTTATTCAGGATTCCCATTAAGAAATACTGCAAATAAAACCCTTGTGCCACATATTATGGATCTGAAATGAATTACTGATAGAACATAAGAACATAAGAAATAGGAGCAGGAGTAGTTCCATTCGGCCCCTCGAGCCTGTCCAGCCATTCAATACGATCATGGCTGATCTATTCGAACTCCACCTACCCACCTTATCCCCATATCCCTTTATCCCTTTATCCACAAGACATCTATCAATCTCAGTCTTGAATATGTTCAAGAACTGAGCATCTGCAGCTCTTTGGGGTAGAGAATTCGATAAATTCACTACCCTTTGAGTGAAGACATTTTTCCTCAACTCAGTGCGAAAGGGCTTACCCCGAATTTTAAGACTGTCACCTCTGGTTATAGTCTCTCCAACCAGAGGAAAAAGTCTCCCACTATCTATTCTGTCGTGCCCTTTAATAAACTTATAGGTTTCTATAAGATCACCTCTCATTCTTCTATATTCTAGAGAATATAGGCCCAAATTGCTCAACCTATCCTCATAACTCATCCCCCTCATCCCAGGTACCAACCTAATGAATCTACCTTGTACCCCCTCCAAGGCGAGTATATCCTTTCTTAAATAAGGAGACCAAAACTGCACAATACTCTAGGTGCAGTCTCACCAGCGCCCTATACAGTTGCAGCAAGACTTCTTATATTCTAACCCTTTTGTAACAAATGCCAACATACCATTAGCCTTCCTAATTGCTTGCTGTATCTCAAACTAACTTTTTATGACTGGTGTACAAGGACACCCAAGTCCCTCTGAACGCTAACACTATCTAGTCTCTCCCGTTCTAAAAAATAATCTGCTCTACTGTTTTTGCCACCTAGGTGGATGACCACATTTCCCTACATTATACTTCATCTGCCACCGATTTTCCCACTCACCTTGCCTATCTATATATTTATCTTGTTGCATTTTTTTAATGTCATCCTCGGTGTTTACTCTCTCTCCTAGTTTAGTGTCATCCGCGAATTTGGATATATTAAGTTCGATGTCCTCATCTAGATCGTTGATGTAGATTGTAAATAGTTGAGGCCCAAGCACTGATCCTT